GATGTTGACGTAGCAATCCTAGAAGAACCGCCAGTAGGCATGTTATCATTGTGACTCCGTTGCGGCGACGTAAGAAAGCTACTGTATCATCTGCGTCAGAAGGAACTTCAAGTGATCGGAAGCTCGTCGAGGGCGTGCAATTTTTGTCATGGGCCTAAGTCGTGTCAAGATATGCAAGGCAACAGGCCCTCATCGTAGTTCGGTCTCAGTTTTGGAGTACCACATCCAACAAGTCCTCACCCGCAAGGTTTTTGGGGTGGCATTCATCAATCTACAAACATATGAATACATAATACGTTTATAACATCAACATTACATGAGGTTGAGGTATTCATGCCAAAGCACCCTGGGTAAAACGATCAGCATCTTGCATCTGCGAAATAATAATGTCTTACCATGGGGTCCCAAGCAGGTAGCACCACACTCTCTCCCGACTCAAAGATCTTTACATGCTCCTTTGTCGCGAAAGACTTGTGCACCACGACCTGGAACACAAACTGGTCGAACCACTTGTCACTCATCACATTATGGCCCTGCACGCCACTGTCTTCACCCCAAGAGTTCTCCACCTTGAACCGGACGGGGCGACCAGTCTTCTCATCCACATGTACGCCGGAGATGACCATCGCATGTGTCATGGCAGACTCGTTGGTATCCAGTCGCTGGGCCTTGGTAAGTCCCAGTGTGATATTGAATGCTTGCTGTAATGGGAAAGAAAGAGTTGTAAAAAACTGTTATTCGTATGTTAGAATCGGCTTACTTCGTATTCGAAATAGTCAGTGTCCATGATACCGACGCCCTTGCTGGAGTCGGAGAATTGGCCTACATCACAACCGAAGAAGACTGGCTGACCGGCCTTGATAGACTGTGAACGGGGTCAGAATCAAACCAAGCAATCAAAGGATAAATTTCTTACTCGGATTATAGCCTGCTTGAGCTCATCGATCTCAGTGTTCACGTCTGCTAGCGGTTAAGCTCCTGTAATACAGACAGGACAAACACGACTTACACAGAACAGGTCGTCCGCCCCAGATGTTACCGAGCTTATTCACGGTGTATAGTTTGTTGTACTCATTCCGTGGGTCGTTAATGAGGGAGAAAGACTCCGCCGGCTTGAGATTTGTGAGTGCACATTCGTTAAGATCGTTAAATGCACTAACCGAGAACTTGGCTGTGAAAGCCTTGTAGAACTGCAGAGGAGTACCCTCCCATTTCGCATACTTGCCATCTTCAGTGTAGTACTCCCAGGTGAAGGCAGCGTCGGGCTTGGGAGGAACGCCTAGACTTGCACTCATAATGGTATAAACTTCTTGCATAAGTTCCTCCTTCTTCGCACGAAGAGTCGAGAGAGCCGATTCCGGCGAGATGCTGTGATCGCCCTTCAGCGATGAAGAGAGCGCGCGAAGAGTGAGAGCATGCTCTCGGAGCTTCAACTTCAGAAGGGTGTTGAGGGGACTCGAGGCGCTTGAATGGTACGACTCGGGGTAAATTGGCTGAGGGACGAGACCATATGTCTGGAAGAGGTTGAAAACATGCCATACTATTGTCTGTAAGAAAAGCGTACCTCGAGTAAGTTGAGAGCCATGTCCCATTGACCACCGTCGCTGATGGGGTCTCTCGCGAGGAAGTTGACCAGGCGGTCATCGACAGGCAGGTCTGCATTCTCGATAGAAAGCTCGAGGTAATAGTTGGACTTGTTCAACTTATCCCAGAAGAATAGGTATGACTATAGCACCATGTGAGTGAGAGCTGGCGAGAACCAATGATCATAAACGGTCACCTGGGAGAGCTGGAATTCCTTGAGCTTTAGCTTCCTCATGACTTCATATCGAATGACATTGGTCGTTGCGAAGAGCCAGCATCTACCACTGGACTTCTGGCTTGTAACAGGCGCGGTTTTGAACTCTACCTCGTGATTGAAAACATGAGGTATCGCAACCTGTGCCGGACGACTGACAAGGGTCGACCTTAAGTTGTTGTTGGCAAGGATTGTGCGGGTAAGTTGAATTTTGGGGTCCGCAGCGGCGGCGGACTCCCAGGCGTCAACATTAGGCAGTGAAATTGAACCGTCAGTTGCCAAGGGCGACGAACCCACTGTGTGTGACGCGGAGCTCTGTGAGCGAACAAAGCGTTTCTCGTCGAAGGATTCAGATGAAGATGTCGCGTCCGGGGTGCCCGAAACTTGAGCAGGAACCTTAGATACAGATGAACCCATCGTTGCAAGGATTTAGAAGACTTGACGCGCGTCACAGTGTGGGGTTGTAAACAAGTTGTAAACCGAGACCAAGACCTTTATAGCCTGAGGTCGCTTGGTATTATTATTGGGATTAACGCGATTGGGTATGATAAGCTTCGGAGCACGCTGTCTCTTCCCTGGCTGGCCTGTGATTGGTCCGGAGAAAATGGGCATTGCGTTGCATCACCTACGTGAACTGTTTCAGGAACCTATGTAAGCACTAGTAATAGAACTGTCTTATCTACCAATGATTTGGTTATGTCTCTCATAATAGATATTTAAATGCGCCTTTAAACTAGCGCAAGTCGAGCACGGATTCGCGTCGCAGTGTTTGCTCAGCGCTGGCTGAGCGCTGAACTATGAGAATCATGGCATGGTCATTGCACATGGTAAGTCTAGGTGTTACCATCACTTGGTGAAGTGACGTGGTAAGCTAGGAGATGAAGGTTTGGTAAGGTGTACATATGAAATTCAGTCGGACAGCTTTAGGTAATGGTTGAACGTTGCGCCCCGGAACGCGCAGGCCTGGGGCTGACCCCGCTAATCATGGTCGGCGACGTGCGGAGGTCTGTGGGCAGCGAGAAACCACGTTGGATTATGCTACAGAGTGCTCTTTAGTGAATTACGTTTCCCTGATTGGCAGGCGGGAAGCGAGACGAGGTACTTATGTAGAATGCAGTCACCTATGTCATTGAGTCGGGCAGGGGCGAGAAACGCGTTCCGTCATCGTGAAAACGATTAGGTACGCGCTGTTCTGCCCCCATGGGGCACGCTGTTTCCAAATCGGTTCCGGGCACTTTTGTTGTCGGCATTGATATTGACGTGAATCAGCACATGGAGAAACACCAAACATCTTTTTAAACTAATAATCGCGCCTCGGGGCAAGATGGATTCTACATATTAGCTAGCTACGATGTTTTCCGCATCGAAAATGACAAGTGTTTTTCCTCCTTACTACTATGGCCGACGGTAACGTCACAGCCACAATCTCCTTTTATATTTTTCGGAAGACAGAGTTACAGCTATCTTCATATCGATAGACCAGAATCACTTGACCGCTTTTAAATTTGTTCATGGTTGGATAAAAGCAGCTAGCATGTGTTGCTCCAATAAACAAAGGCATCTATCGATATGGGAACTCGGCCGATGTTCAGTCTGCACGACCACGATTGAGAACCACGGTGCGGCACAACCGGCACCTGCTAATTTTCAAACTCCATGCTTCGCCTGCCAAATCTCTCCGATATACTGTAACGCTTGCTGAGGCCTGGCTCAATTCACACTTCTTGGCCTTACTACGTACCTTCACCACCCCTCTAAAGCTTTCTCCAAAGGCTCTATCGTCTGTTTCTTTCTGCCATGATGGATTTAGAGTCCGTAATAGACTGCTCTCTATCATCACAAACTCGTTTTTGTATGTGTCCACGTCAGGTTCAGCGTACATTTGTCTTGGTAGTTTTGTAGTCTTGGTTCGTTATATATGCATCTACTCGTCACTGCCTTTGCTACTACGATGCTCAGTCCGACAGCTTATTATCTGCTGTAACCTATCGTGTTCCATAGTGATAACCGTGTCAGTGTGGAACAAAATAAGTTACAGCCGGTCAGCAGATATACCAAGATTGTTGCGATTCTCTACTATATATTGCTTAAATAACATTCTCATTTGTTCATCGGTTATCTGATGGTTACTCATGGTGTTTGAACATGCTGATTCTCGACCGCAGTTCTCCTAGTAAAAGAGAAGGTTTCATAGATCATTTCTATGCGTTCTCTCCATACATATCTTCCCCAGCTTTATATCAATGAAGTCGTCCTCGGAACTGGCTTTGGGATCATCATAGGTCCTCACGTCGCCGACGTATTCACAACCGCGCGCATGGGGACCTTTAGGAAATACTATATCATTGGAGGTAATGCGCATCGTTCTCGCCACCGACTTGTTCGCGACGGGAGTCAAATTACCATATGCATATATGAAAGAACATACAAAAATGGCTATGAAGATCTTGTAGAACTGCAGAAGAGTACCCTCCCACTTCGCATACTTACCATCCTCAGTGTAGTACTCCTAGGTGAAGGCAGCGTCGGGCTTAGGAGGAACGCCTAGGCTTGCACTCATAATGGTATGAATCTTGTACATAAGCTCTTCCTTCTTCGCGCGAAGTCGAGAGAGCCGATTCCGGTGAGACGCTGTGATCGGCCTTCAGTGATGAAGAGAGTGCGCAAAGAGCATGCTCTCGCTTCGACTTCAGAAGGGTCTCGAGGCATTTGAATGGTACGAGTCGGGGTAAATTGGCTGAGGAACGAGACCATATGTCTAGGAGACGTTGAAAACATGCCACACTATTGTCTGTAAGGAAAGCGTACCTCGAGTAAGTCGCGTTCAGGGTGCCTGAAACTTGGGCAGGTGGATACAAAAGACTCGGAAGACTTGACGCGCGTTGCAGTGTAAGCAGTGAGCCAGACCAAGTCCTTTGTAGGTCGCTTGGGAATATTAATGGCATTCGGAACACGGTGTCCCTTCCCTGGTCAGCCTGAGCCTGTGATTGGTCCGGAGACACTAACCAATGCGTTGGCCCCATCACCTCCGTGAACCGTTTCAGGAAGGGCCCGTGTCAGTACCGTATAAGAGAACTGTCTTATCTACCAATCGTCCCTCATACTAAATATTTAAACGCACTTTTTGAGTGTATAGGGTCTCTATCTCTTGCCAAGGCCTTGGTCAGACTCGACCGAGAGTTTACTCAGCACTAGCCGAATCATGGGATTCATGGCAGGGTCTTTCACGGCATTGCTGCACGTGGTGAGCTTAAGCGTATCGCCAATAAATAATTGGTGAGCTTGGATTGTCTCGGACAGCCTCCATCCACACTTTTTATCCTTACTGCGTTCACCATCTCTCAAAAGGTTCTTCCAAAGGCTCTATTACCCGTTTCTTTCCGCAATAATGGATTTGGAGTTACTGCAAGTCCGTAATGCTGTAGACTGCTCTCTATCATCACAAACTCGTTTTTGCAGGTGTCCGCGCCAGGATTGGCGTACATCTGTCTTGGTGGTTTTGTAGTCTTGGTTCGTTATATTTTCCTCTACTCGTAGTATTTTAATATGCTGATTCTCGATTGCAGTTCTCGATGGTATCCCTCCTGGTAAAAGAGAAGGTTCGATAGATCACATCTATGTGTCCTCTTAATAATGATTCATACCTTCCGCAGTTTTATATCAACGAAGTCGTCCTCGGAACTGCCTTTGGGATCATCATAGGCCCACACGTCGCCAACGTATTCACACCCCGCACATGGGGTCCCTTGCAAAATACCATAACATTGGAGGTAATGCGCATCGTCCTCGCCACCGGCTTGTTCGCGGTCGGTGTCGAATTACCAGGTGCATATATGAAAGAACATGCAAAGAGCTTGCTCATAATGGTTGTGCCCACCATGGCCTTTGGCTGGGTCGTTGTCGCCGGCATGTATATCCTCGCCAAGTTAAATTTCATTCGCTGATCATCATGACAGGCATCATACAAGCGCTGTTTCCGGAGCTCAATTATGTCTCATCTCTTTGCATTGCTGCTTGTTTGACCCCTACGGACCCAGTCACATGTGCTGCCATAACTCGTTAGTCCCATCAACCATGATATCACAATTAGTAATTGATGTCTAAATATGTTCTACAGGTGGTAAATTTGCTACTAAACATGTCCCTGTGAATATTCGTCAGATATTATCTGCGGAATCCGCAGCGAATGATGGTCTTGCGTACCCGTTCCTTGCGATATCCATTTACCTCACCGTAGAGACATCCGTTCGAACTGCTCTCGGCAAGTGGTTCTTGGTGGGATGGCTATGTTTGTGCTCTCTTTTATTCAACGCTTCATAGGGTATTCAACATGTCCTACAATAGACCAGGTCATACTTGGCACTGTTTTAGGTGCCGTTCTAGGTCAGTGAAGTTGCTTGATCATCTGTGTGCATTGATCTGATTGCATTTATATTTGTGGTCCAGGCCTTCTATTCTCGAAGCTCATGAAGATATCCCACAAGAGGGGCTTTATTGATCGTGAATCATATGTGGCACAGTATTTGGCTCTCGCCATCTTCACTATGGGAATCGCGAGCACCATTGGTGCTGATGATCTTCTTGCAGCATTCGCGGCAGGTCTGAGTCCAGATTACATATATGATCACTAGGGTCTGACATCCATTTAGGTTCTGCAATTTCTTGGGACGGTCACTTCAATGTACAGACAGAAGATGATGTATTCTCTTCTGTGATAGACTACGTCTTGAACTGTGGCTGTTTTATCTACATCGGTGCTTGGCTACCTTTTGACGCCTACAATTCTGCTGAATATGGCATCACCCCTTGGAAGCTCGTTCTCCTTATGATCACTATTTTGGTTCTGAGGCGAATTCCACCCTTATTGGCACTCTACAAGTTTGTCCCAGAGATTACTTCCTGGAAGGAAGCGTTGTTCTCTGGCCATTTTGGTGAGCAGTTCTCTTGGTCATGCTGTCGCTTTCATCTAAATCATGTATACAGGTCCAGTAAGTCAGTTGAATACCATTTCTCATCATCCATTAATTCGTCCTAGATGGGAGTCAGCGCGGTTTTCGTGTCTGCCTTAGCTCTTACGCGTTTGCCAACTCCGGAAGACCCGCCTGCAAATCAAGCCCAGTATCTCGCAGCAGTTATCCAGCCTATTGTTTCCTTTATCGTCCTCGGTTCTATCATCGTTCGTAAGTACTGTCATGGGAGCGTCTCGTATTTGTCGCTAACTTACAAGGTACATGTACAGATGGCTTATCTATTCCATTCTTCAACATGGGTCGTGGCGTACACTCTCATACGGTCTCGTTAACCATGACGTGGACCAGCCGTAATCGTGCTACGGTCCCGGATTGGGTCCTTTGGGCCCGCCGTGCTCCGGATGTTGTGGAGTCAGCTGTGGATGAAGACGTAGAGCGAGGTTCCACCAGGACTCCTAAAGACACCAATGAATCTGCTGTAAATATTCCGGACACCGGTCCCCCGGATGTCCTAACCTTCGAGGATGTTCATGGGGATGTCGTGTCAGTCATGACTAGACGTCATAGTCGTGTTATAGATGACTCTTCTCCAGAACTGGTGCATGTCAGTGTTTCATTTTCTATACATAGTCCACCTAACTAAAACTGGCTGCAGGTTGAGGCTATCGACAACCACACTGGACCAGGGAATTTGGGTAATGGCGCTTCGGATGATAATCAGATTAAGAATGTGCGCTTCCCGACTGCTCAATAACAACTACCGAGTGTCCGTGGACTGGCATGTATAAATCGTACTGACTTGTGCGGTAGTCGCGACTCGTCATGTTACATACAATATCACGCTTACCACGTTGAAACCCCTCTTTCCTCCTTTGCATTCCTCGCTTCCTCTACCCTTGTACACTCCACTTTCCTTAGTGGTAGGAATAATGGCATGCACGCGTTCCCAAAGATGTTACCCCTTGAGTTACATATGTCCGTGCAAAAAATAGTCAAGGATTAATAAACACAAGCGAATATGCAGCGGGTATGTATGCGGCAAATGGTCCAAACACTATGAAACCTCTAGACTATGGAATACATATGCAATGGCGCAGGTTAGCCCTGGATGCGAACTACTGATATGGTACGTGTATGCGGGGGGTGTCCACAGAAGTGTATGTAGGGAGGTTGAAATCGACTGGAGTAGATCATTCAAAAGGATTCGTACGTCCAGCCTGAAGCAAACCCGTCAGTACAGTCAAATTCCTGAGTTGAAATCTTTCCCACCTGGTTATCCCCTCCCCGGTCGGGTCCTTCGTTGCATCCACATAACCAGTCGTGCCACCATCTCACCTCCTGCTCAGGTTCTATGGGTTCCTGACGCAACATAGGTGGAGGTGTGGATTTCATGGGAGTCATGCGCGGTCTAGCCCCTTTAGGTGGTGGTGTTAAAGGCGGCGGTAAGCCTAGCTGCTGTGGGGGAGGAACAAGCGTTGGCGTCGGAGGAAGCGTGGCTGCCTGCAATGAGTGGGTATTCGAGTCCAAGTCAAAAGTTTCGGTCATCACACTAGACCGCTTCTTCGAATCGACGAGGGGGAACAGTGTCGGGGAGATGAACCCCGGTCCTGTTTCAGATGGATGTAAGAACGGATTCGCAGTTGCGGGAGGGCTCTCGATATCGTCGAGTGGCACTACGTCGATAGAGTCTCTAGATTGAAGAGCTCGGTGGTTCCCCAACCCTCTTGCAGATGATCTGGTTGACGGCCGCTTCGACAGGAGCACGCTTGCCCTGCGTGTTACTTCTCCGAGTAAAGATGGACCACCCCCGCCTCTATTGAGGTTCGCAGATTCTCGTGCGGCTCTCCGTCGTTCGCGTTCAGCCAACTCCCATTGACGTAGGTTCTATCAGGATAGAAGCAACGTTTTAATGATCCGAACACTTATGAGAGGGAACGAAAATAGCGCACCTCTTCTACGCGTCGCGTCTCGGCTGCATCGTCATTCATAGGAGGGTATGACTCTGAGCTAGGGTTTTCTATGATATCTTCGTCTAGTTGTTTGGCCTTTCCCTTCTCTGTGCTCGTACTTGAACGTGGTGGTGAAATGTCTTGCGAGTCTCGCTGGTTATTATCCTGTGACCTTGAATGAGTATGACTGAGATCATCTTCAAAGGTTGGAGGTGAATTAGAGGACATGTTGTCGAATGCAATTGAAGAGGACGGAGAAGAAGATACCGTGGATGGCATCCGCTTTGTTCGTGGTGGTCTGTAAGGTCCCCAAAGCCCAATTACACAATATTAAAATGACGTTTACTCAAAAACCGTAAAATTCTCACAAACAAAGAGTAGCCTGTGTACATAATTTAGCCGCCAAGAGCACATCATGCATCATCGATGCATCAATCGCAACGTTATCAAGTTTCAACGCTCGACCGCTTAACTTAGAAACAGAGCTACGGTTGCTCAGCGCCCAGCACTTAGGCCTCAGCGCTCAGCGCTCAGGCCTCAGGGTCCAGGGGCCCTGGCACTTACCCGTCACATAGATAAACCGCTTGAATATCTAACCACTCATTTTTATTCGTCCTGACAGCACGGCCAAGAATACTAATTAAGGTCCATTCTAAGTATACCTATATAAGAGGATATGATGTGAAGAGATCAGTCAGTCCGTGGTGAAAAATAGTCCCCGGTTGACACATAAGACTCAAAAAGCTCAAGGCGTTTGTACACAATACCCACACCTACCGATGACCCGATTGCATCATCATCTCATCGTATACACTCCCGTTATCATCTGACAGGCACTGCTGTCTCAACCCGCTCGACTTGTGGACCGAGTGCTGGACCATTGGTGTGAACGACTCTTCTGATCCAGCGCGACTGCAGACTGTACTCCGGTTGCTATTGCCGGTGCCGCCAGGGAGAGACAAGATGGAGGTGCGAGCAATTTCCTTCATTTGCATGATGCTCTGGCGGAAGGCATTCTGCATGATACACATTAGAAAGACGGCATCAGAAATGCGGGATGCGGAACACTTACCTGTTCACACCAGTACTGGAGACGCTTTTCACGTTCCTGGTCACGTTGACGGCGGTGAATCAGGAACAGGGCAAGCAGAGTGGCAAACATGCCTAACATCCCGACCCTCGGGTCAGATGTCGTTCAAATTTTCAAAATAATGGGGCTGACCTCCGAAGATACCAGCTCCGACCACGGCATATACCCAGGTCTTGAAGTATTTTGGCGAGTCGGAACCCAGACCACAAACGCCTTTACCCAAGCAGTTAAATGACGAACATCTAGGCGTCCAGTCAATATCACGATGCATCCTACATCGAACTCAAGACATACTCTTTGTCTGCATCACAGGTCTCCCCAAGCTCTTTCGCCTGAATGCAAACCAACGACTGCGAATCGCAATACGACCCAATTTGACAGTTGCCTCTGACAAAAGGAGATGAGCACCGCACTTGGAAGGCCTGGGGAACACTGTAATTCTACTCACCGTGACACGATATCAACAAACTCGTTATCTCCCGCATAGGCGATGTAGGCGGTGTTCTCGACTTCGCAAGACTGGCCAACTGTGACATTTGCCCACCTATATCAAACAGTCAACACACAGTCGTCCAATACCAGTTTCCGACTCACATGCAGACGTTGTTCAGACAGATGGAACCATTTACGTTACGGCCGTACTTTGAAGGATCAGCTAATTGCTGCCAATTTGGAGGCGGCTGGCATTGGTCTGCGGAGTTAACACGGAGTTAGCGAACATAACCACATCATGGAGCTCCGTCGTGGCATACCATCACGGTTGAGCTGGCATGCACTGCCAACAGGCAGCCAAGGCTGGCACGCATCGCTTTCGTCGGGACAAAACTGCCCAGCAGGACACAGTGGTGGCACCCAGTCGCCTGGTGTATACCCAAATGGATATTGGTCTTTTCTGCAGCCTTTCAGTTCACAAGTGCCCTGCGACGACGAGCAGTATGTTTGTACGTCGCAATCGCTATGAAATTGAAATGTGCCAAATTCGAGGCGGTTGTTCGTGATAGTGCAGTTCTCGCCCTTGGTTTGATTACCAGCGTAAACGAAGGTGTTCCAAGAAGAAAAAAAGAGTGTAAGAGATAGCAACAACATCACGGGGGAGGGTATCGAGAACAAAGAAGAAGAGACACAAGGGCCATCGAATTTGTGCTGGCATCACATTACGTCAACCAGAGTTGGCCGTACCGATTTAGTTCCGAACTGTAGCGAACTGTATATGTAGTAATAATAAAACCTCGTGCATCGTACTATACTATTTGCCACATCCTGGGCAGCAATGTATAACATCGTGAACAAATACATCGCACTCTGCACAGAAATCATTGTGACAATCGGGGCAGCGGTACCTACCCCAAGGACTCATACCCTCCGAAGTCGCTGCAGTTGACACTGAGGTCGAAAATATCCTTGCACACGCGTGGCAAGCTGCCTGTAGCATGGACTCGCCTTCCATTGATGTTCTGGGATCAACATCATCAATGATACAGACATAAATACACTAAGATATCACTTACACAGCTTCATACGGTTTCACCGGGAATAAATGATGATAGCTCCGTGCCAAGTGAGGTGAGCTCACGATCATGAGTCCACAGATATCGCAGTCGGTCGGGACATCGCACACTTTCGCCATACATCTCGGACACAAGAAGCCTTCGCTCTTCATATCCGAATGACAGGCACATAAGCTTGGTGGTGAGGAATCAGGAAGTCGAGTAGGAAATCCCATCATCATCAAGTCGGCAGCTGGGTTTGCTCCTGGCCCTCCTGCGCGAGCGACGGCTCGCTGTGCAGGAGGTGGAACGAGCTCAAACAAGATGTCTTTGAAGTGCCCCTCGTTCATGGCCACGCCAAATTGACCTGCCCTATGGATGAATCAACATATTTCATATAAAACATTCTACTTACCACCAGTCTTGTCACATAAATCTCTGGATATCTTCATTTCCGCAGCCAATGCAACGACCGATATGCGTATTTTATTCTTTACGCAGGCATCCAGGGTGTCGTGAATATTTCCAGGGTCGCATGTCGTCAGAGAGCCAAAGATGATAAGGATCTCTCGTGAAGAGTGGGTTGGCAAGTGACTGCATAGATCAAAAATAAGTTCCAAGCGCTAAGGAACTGATGTACCTCATGCTACTCCGTGCCATCTCGATGGCATTTTGAAGACTTGGTTCACCCGTGGGCTCAAGTCGAGTTCTCTCGCTGAGACATTTCAAGACATCTTGCGGATTTCCTGGTAGAATGAGTATGTTACTTGTTAAATCACCCTGCAAAAACTTACCAGACATCTCCCCGATCCTTTCGCCAATACCCGCACGCATACCAACGACGCCAATCTGTCCCAGAGGATTCTGGTCAAACCACTCTACCACAAATTCCCTTGCGTACTGAAGCATGAGATCAAAACGAGTTGGGCGCATGTCGCGGTCCATCATCGCCGCTGAAAGGTCGAGGAGGAGAACCAGATGTCGGATGATCGTACGGCGGATAGCAGCAGCAGGTGCAAGCAACCTGGTTCACTAGGTCAGTGAAGCTACAGTGGGAGACGTGAAATGGATGGACCTCCTCCGCCTCCCCCGCGCCATAAGATCCTCCACTGCGCCCTGCAGACTTCCAGCCTCATCTTCCTGCACAGTGTCCCATGAACGCGTATAGGATGCCTCCCAGGTGTACGCTTGCTGTAAAAATATGAATATAGCTCCTTGATGAATACTACCTTGCTGACCTCCTTCGCTTTTGCCTTGCCTTTGTCCTTTTTACGTTTGTCAGTGGCTTTGCCCTTTCCCTTTCCTTTCCCGCGGTGTTCAGCATCACCGAGCAAGGAAATGTCTGAATCAGAATCTACGTCCATGAAATTATCATCTCGATTCCTGGGTGCCATGGCTGAAGCTGGGGCTTTTCGTGAAGTGAGAAAATGAAGCCTTGCAGAAATGACTCGGTCGTCGGAAACATATGCATCTTTGCGGTGGCTCGGTGGCAATTACTCTCAAAATACTGTACAATTGTATATTGATTATTATTACTAGTACTAGCAATAGTTTGTTCACATTTATATCGTGGCTATTCTAGTGGGCGCACGGTGTGCATATCGGCTCGGCCTCGTTCATCGGTCACGGCAAGAAGCAGCCTGAGAGTTCAGTGCATGACCAACACTCAAAAGATAACAGAAACTGAATGGGACAGTCAGTAGAAAACTTCGACTAGCAACTCCAACACCCATCACAATGCATACAGTTCCGGAGGTGGTAAAGACAGAAGCATGATACCGAAGGGTTCATAATATAACTAGGTACAATGACAGAGCCTCCCACTTGAGTGGGTGTCGAGGACTCGCTACTACACCAATAATACATCATCATTCATCGATACAGACTAAACAGATACCTTGATCAAATACTGCAAGGCCGTGATATCCATATCCGCATTCCTCGGAGTGATACTGCAAGGGAATGGCAAAGGGCGCCTAACAAAATCGATAAGCTATCTCTCCAGATAAATCCTATTGAACCCCACGCACACAGTAAGCCCTGTATTCCAGCGTGGCTCGATCTCAATATCTTTACCAGTCTCGTCTTTGGCCCTGGAGAAATTGAAAACTGCAAGCAAAGAGACCATGCCAGACCATATAGAAGCTTCGGCGAGATGACGACCAGGGCATATCCGTCGCCCAAATCCCCACACGAAACTCACAGTATCGTCTGTCAGGGTGCCATCTGGGTTCAGGAAACGGTCAGGATTGAATTCGGACGCATTTGCGTATTTATCTTCGTTGTGGCACATTGCCCTGAGAAACATTGAGTTACAAACCACAAAATAATCGATCTTCGTACCAAACATTCGGGGTGACTGTAGCACCTGTACTGCGAATGAACGTGGACTCCAGGATGAGAAGAACCTCGCACACCTTTGGGTATGTAATAACCTTCGTAAATGTCGCTTTCGACAGCAGCATGCATGATCGCTGTAATAGATCAATAATCCAATTCCATTGTGCCGAGGTGAGCGACGCACCAAGAGGGAAAACTGGGTGCCACCGTAAGCACTCCCGTAAAATGGCGTCAATGTAGGGCAAGGATGGACGATCGTGAAATGTGGGCAGTCTCTTTGGGCCAACCACACTATCAACAAGTTTTTGCGCTTTCTGTTGTACATCTGGGTGGAGAATCATGACCAGCATGAAATTCATCAACACAGCAGCTGTCTAGTACTTGTCAGCGTTGGACTGAATCACTAGCTGTCGCTTTCGGCCTACCGTCTCAGTGCCAGCTGGCGAGACAATCTCGTTCAGCCTGACAAATTTACACTGAAACGTATTTCCTCACCTCCAAGAGCGGTTGCTGCGGATTCCTGTATTGCTTTCTTCTGCCAGGCAGAGTCGCCGTGGCCATCATCAAGCTCCGCCAAATGTTTAGCGACCATGCAAGGAGAAACAGATCCCATAGCCTGAAAAGAACTTGAGAAAAAATAATCTCACAAGATGTTGCATTTACCAGACCACGCACTGTGTGCGCAAATGGCCTTTCCAAGTTTTCCATAGCCAATTCCTTGGCTAAAGGTGAAATTCTCTTGAGACGCATCCCAGGCAGCCAAGAGGGGAGGTAGAGAACTGCAAATTAGAGGGTAAGAAATTGGTGCATATGATAAACGACCGAGCATACGGAAAGGATAAGCACTAAAAACGGCAGCTACCTCTGGTCTCAACTCTTTCAACATGAGATCCAGAGCCAAGGTTGCGCGCTCAATCATGTAGTCATGACGTCGTGCTGCATCATACGAATACACGGCGGACATGATGACTGAACCTGAATGGCTGGAGAACTGTTTGAATACCAAGGTACTCGGTAGATGGGCATGAAATCTACCCACGCTTCAAGATGTTCCGGATAGTTCAAAGGATCCTCGAGGAGGTTTAATAAAAGGTCATGGCTTTTGTCTACTTGCATGGGCTGAAAAGTGGGGACTGCGTCTTGTCGGAAGGACTGATGTAAAATTTTGCGCTGAAGGCGCCATCTACTACCATATCGCATAAAGGCGGTAGTATAGTCGACGCCAAATCTAAGAATTCATGGCTAATTAACAAGAATACTGGAGAATTCGACTAATTCATACAATTCATTGGTTGCGATCTCTGGTCGGTCGGAGTAGTTATGTGAGCGATGCTCAAGGAGGTCTCTTGCAACCCGCTCAGAGTTGATAATGATATTGTCCTGACCAAAAAGCCGAGTATATACCACGTCACCTGGGAAACATTGATTACTAATGGTGATCTGCGTTCTAGGGGACAACTTACCGTATTGATTGCCCCATGCCTTGTAGGTTAGCCAAGGGGCGGTCACATCGATTGCCAGTGCACTACCTAGGATTGGGAGTAAAGCTGGACCAGGTGGTAATTTACCACTGTGAGGCAGCTTCGGTTTGGCAAAGTAATTTCTGAGTACCAAGCTGATGGCAAAGGCAGCAGAAACCAGTCCAAGCGCACTGAGAGGGTCCAACATGGCGAGTGTTAATAACACAAAGTGAGCGCTGTGGTAGGTGGAGTTTTGGGGTCTTTTATATTCATAACTTGAAGGGGTGCAAGACAATTTACCTTAAACGAGCATTCAATTTGAAGTACGTGATGACCGATGAACCGGAACGCCTGATGTGTGACGGAGCAAGGACTCCATCTGAGGGTGACAACGCACCATAATAGCATTATGTTAGCAATCCAAAGTAGAGCTGATCGCGGTGAAGGTCCAAGTAGATCGAAATACTAGAAAACACTCAGGCTAGCGTCAATTGCATCCGAAGTGGAAAGACCTCAACCACCGCGTCATAATTATGTAACAAACTCACCGGGCAGAACTGTTTCTGCTGGTAGAATCCTCCCATGTGCAGGAGTTCATTCTACCCCTGCCCTGCCAAGTGGCAGGATGGCAGAACCTTGAGGTACCGGAGCATGCGTGAGATGAGTCCAGTGCAATCCTAATTGTATCTACCCAGGCACAACGGTATCGTGATACAGTTTGCGGGGTCCAAGGTGGATTATCTATTTCCAGATCGTCGTCCTGCTGGTTGCGCTCGACTCCAAACTATCAATATACTTATTCTACAAATCTAGACAACGTACTCACGGTCGACAGCCCCTAACTGAAGTACATCCTGCCAAACACCCTCCACCCACCTGACACACTCATCTACTTTTACAAACACTTCCTCTACAACCTTCCTCAAGTACTCATCTTCGAAACCTTGCACCCGACCAATCGTCAATTGAGGTGTCTCTCCATCATAAGCCGCATCAAATTCTTCTGGATTTAAGACTATCGCTATCCGAGCTCGCTTCTCAGTACGCTTGCCATGCTGTCCTGTCTGCATTCTGGGCACCGGTCCCGTATGCGCTCCAGCTTGTTTAGATTCCGACCGTTGATGCCTGAGTGCATCACCCAACGCTTTCAGTATCCGTTTCTGTAGTAGCATAAACACAGGGTCATCATGGTTGAGTGTGCGAGAAACAGCAGCGCGAAGCCTGGTCTCTTCCTCTCCAGAGAGCATGGCGCCATCCAGCTGCCGTGCACGAACAACTTCATCTGCAAGATTCACAAGCTTTGTGTCGCCTGAACCCGGTTCTTCTGTGATTTCGGCATTGAGAAGGATCCACAGCCGCTCCATGAAGCTCATCGCGTCATTCCCCTGTGCACCTTGAGGCACACGAATTAAGGTGCGTAGAGAAGCAGCGATCACGAGGGCTTGTAGGTAATTCTGAATTTCGAGTAGCGCGGGAGTAGAGAAGAAAAAAATCGGTGGAAGGGAGTTCTCATGGGCTTGTGGCTCTTTGGTTGGTAATTGACAGGATATAGGGGTCGATGATCCTAGCGCCAGTACAAGTCGCATGATCCATTTGAATTGCGGCTCAGCAGCGACGCCGTTAACCTGAAAAGACGGTTGGTAGTCCCCAAGCCATACTGGCCAGATACACTCTATCCGCCAGCGCTTCCAAATATCCAAGATGTCTTTGCGTTCTTTGGTCTTTGCCTGTTTAGATATCATAGACTGTAGCTGCTGCTCAGTCATGCTTCCCAACACGAACTGGGAGAGCTGTTCTCTCATAATGTCCGAGATCCTGAGTATCGACTTCACTGTGTCTACCACTAGCGTGGCCAATGAGATAGGGCGCGATGACCGGAGGGGAGGTTCATCCAGTGAACGAAGAAGGTCATCGAGTTCTTCGTCCTGAACTGGCGCGCAACGCTTGCGCAGAGAAGTTACAACCTCACGCAGATGCATGACAGCTGAATTTAATGGGGAAGACGTCGGAGGTAACGGTGAGGAAAGTGTGGTAATGACAGGACTCTGAGATGGGAGAAGAGGTGTCAGTGCAATGAGGAGGTCTTGGTACAGCGATTTAATGCGCGGTAGCTGACAAGAAGGCTCTGGATTTGAGAGTGATTCCACAGCCTAGAGAGCCCTCAGATGGTAGAATATCCGAAACATATGAAGCCGCACCTCATCCCAGAAAGCTTTATGCACGAGATCCTCAACTTTGTCGCGCAAAGTAGGTTTTTCAGCGTCGCCCTCTTTGGGTGAGCCAGACAGCATTGAAATGAGGGACTTTCCTGGAGGGACAACGCGCTTTGGATCTGTGGCAAGCAAGTGATGGAAGTATGTGCGATTGAGAATTTCTACCAGCTCTAGGGGAAGCAATATTGGATCAGATGTCGGAATGAGGGGGGACGGTGCGAATTCAGGATCTGGATAAATGATTGAAAAAGAATCCTGTGATGCTTTGCTCGCTGGATGAGAAGGTGCGGGTATATTGCCGGTGGCGGGTGTACGGTCTGATCCCTTGGACGGTCGAGTAGTCAATAAACTGCGCAGCGTATGCAACAGTTTTTCGTTATCTTCGGATATGTCCCATAGCCCTTGATCCTGTAGCCGTTGGAAATCTCGGATAAGACTGTCCCAAGTGACGCGCTGAGTAATTGCTTCGTTGTGGTGCAAGTCTGTTAACAATGAGATGGTGTCTCGAAGTAAAGCATTATCTGGAGCAATCTCTGCTTTGGCCTTAAGCTTGGATAGAATGGCCTCCATATTGGTCGATGACGAGCTCGACACCTTGCACGACCTAGAATGTGGTGGTCGATGCAAGGTCGATGACAAGTAATTACATCAGTACCCGAAAGGAGACCATTTTAGGATCACACGGCTTACATTTTTGTACGTCACTGGAGCGCTCAGTTGACTGTTAGCCAAATTCCAATAGCTATATACAAGGACTACAATTTTAACGAACTCTACGACCGCAGCAACGGTTTGCTTGCCTTAATTTCCAGCGCCTGATGTCACAGTCAGCAGCAGCTTCACTGACGACCTCAGTTCTCACTCTCACCAGTACTATCGCTCAGGCCACAGCAGAGCCATCCGCCACCGACCTGGTTTCTGCTCATCATGCCAGTCCAGTGGTAGCGTTCATAATTGGCCTGGCGATCATTCTGCTTGCGTCCATTCTGAATGCTGCTGGTCTAAATATCACAAAGTTGGATCATGTGAGTTTCTACGACGTGTCACAACTCAATCAATGATTATATTTTGATACGCCCAATTTACAGGTGCGGACGAGCACCATTCCAAAGTCAGCCCGCAGGCGAGACTGGCTACGACCGCTATGGCTTCTAGGCATCGTTTTATATATTCTATCCCAGCTCATAGGAAGCACGCTTGCCTTGGATTATATGAGGGCAGGCACGTTGTCTTATTTTCTCACATCATCCCTTCCTGATAATTAGCTCCTCAGAATATGTCGCCCCTCTCGGATCTACATCTCTCATATTTAATTTCCTATTCGCTAGATTTTTAATTGGGACCCCAGTCACACAAACAGACATTTATGTGAGCTCCTCCTCACTCCATTTGCACGCTTCGCTAACCAGACTCAGGGTACGCTGATCGTGGTACTCGGCGTAATCGGTATCGTTGCCTTTGGAGGTGTCAACAGTGGTCTGTCAACGGAAACAGATGTCAACCATCTCACAGCTCTATGGCAGCGTGGTGGTTGGCTTGGATTCTTTTTCTGCATGTCTGTGGCCCTCATTCTCGTTCTCATTTTCACAAATTCCCTGGATGATGTTCTCGCTGCACGGTCAGACTTGGACTCGGAACCTTTTGCGGGCATGAGCACACGGAGGTCGCCCGAATCAAGCACTACTTACCTTGGAAAAGTCAGGAACAACTGGAATGCATGGATGTTATGGGTCAAGGAAAAGTTAGAGACCTGGACTGCGCCTCAGGATGATACGCAAGTCGCATGGGTGCTTGGAATTGGTTGGGCGTGCTGTGGGGGTGGACTTGCTGGAGGGTGTCTGGTTTTCGCCAAAGCCACGTGGGTTCCCTTTGTCTCTTTCCCAGTTTTGCGTTTTTCTGACTCGGAATTAGCGTGAAGTTACTCACAGGAAGCCTCTCGCACGAGAACCCCGGAAACCAATTTGGCCATCTAGCACCCATATTCACAATCATTCTACTCGTAATCACGGCTGTACTTCAGATCATTTGTCTCAACCGTGGACTTAAGGTTTACGACTCCACTCTCGTTGTCCCAGTTTTCTACGGCGTCTATACTGCAACTGGGTATGTTCATTCCTCCTGTTTTCCTGTTTCAATTACACCTATTCTTATCTGTGACCCAGTTTTCTGGACTCATTGGTGTTCAACAACGCGGTTGACGCCTACAAGCCATGGGTACTCTTCCTGATCTTCGCCTCAATAATGATCCTTATCTCCGGTGTGGTCCTCCTAACACATAAAAAACCCGAACGATCGACTCGTGCGCCTGCTGCCACCGCGCTGTCTGGCTTGTCATCTCGCAAGGCTGCTCGGTCCTCTTCAAAAGTCAATCGTATAGTTGAAGACGATGACGATGACGAAGAGCAAGCTTTGAGAAAAACGGAAGAAGGGGAGGAGGATCGGGCAGTGCTATGGCAAGTGGGAGATATTAGCGAGGATGAGGATGACCAAGTTGGCAAAGGACATACGCCAAGAGGTGTGCACGTAGCTGGAAACACGACACGTGTCACTGGAGAAGGATCCATGCTGATGCGAGGTGAGGAAGTGAACTTCGAACAATCACACGAACACAGTCACTCGATTTCCTCAGACACGACACTGGCTCAGAATCCGCAGGATCCATTCCACGATGATGATGACGACGAGGAGTTTGGGCAGTGGAAATGATGGATACTGTTCATGGTACAACCTTATACATACCCCAACGTTGGACTGCACATATATGCAATGTGTTCATAATTGCTTCACCGTAGATACATTACTATTTAGCGGAACACTACATTCGCACGCGTCTAATACTTGCTTCGCGAACTTCGCAAGATTGGTTCCGTTGATCGGGTTTGGTTGGATCACAAATCCGTGCATATGTATTTGCTCAATGAATTATTAAGTAGTTAGTGTGTAGTTGGTCGACTTTGTCATCTTCTTTCTCAAACACCATGGTCGAGTTAAACTCAGCACAAGAAAAAGAACTCGACGAACTTGACGACGATTATCAGTCAGACGACGAGGACCCTAACGTATTTAAAGTCAGAGATGCATTAACACCGCCGTCCGCAATGAGCTACTCTGCGCAGGAGTTACACAGTGCGTCGGTTAACACACAACTCATGGTACATTCTCTTACATACCTTCAGGATATATACACGAAGGCTTTATTGATCTGAACCCCATTTATCAACGAGGCGAGTTACCAGAACCCTACGCACTTGACGTATATTGAACAATCACTACACGCAGACGTTGTTTGGTCAGAGACAAAGCAAATCGGTCTCATCGACTCCATCTTTCGAAACTTCTACATCCCCCCTGTGATATTTGCCGTGGCCAAAGATGATGATGGGGAGCCCGTTCGTATTTGCGTGGATGGGAAACAAAGGCTCACGTCAATACAAAAGTTTCTTGACGGCCTGGTGAGTGCTTCATTGTAGTCACGCGACGTTTACTGGTATCTTATGCTACGCGAGCGTTAACAGATACCTCGTGAGTGTGATATTTGACGATACTTGGTCTTCATGTTGAACATTCAACTACAAAGATCGAGACGTGCATACAAAGAAGAGCTATTGGTTCGTTCGTTCGGCGAAGCAGAAGAATACACGCCTAGAAATACCAGAAGAGTGGAAACGACGGTTTGCAGAAACCAGAATTACGTGTGGTTCGTGTTTTGACTGCATCGCCCCTCTGAGCTACTTACCTTTGTTTCCCTGTAGTCGAGTATCATCACTTGACTCCTGAAATCGAGCGCGAAATCTTCCAGCGGGTGCAGCTTGGTGTGCAATTGACTGCTGCAGGTGCTGTACTTCTTTAATGACACGATTTGTACTGACGAGCGTGTGCAGAGAAACTTCAAGCGATTTCGTCGCCATGGGCTGACTGGATCGCGGACCTCGAGCTGCGCCATGTGAACGTAGACCATAAGGGACTAGCCAGTGTCCTCGAGTGGGACACTACACGCGGAAGAGACTTCCAATGCATTGCACAGTTAATCTATTGCTGTGATGGCCTCCCAGACCACCTGCTTCCTACAGCTCAAAAACTAGAAAAATGGCTGAAGCGGGTGGATAAACCACCAACGAAGTTCATGGCACTGATCAACGATGTACTGTCGGAGTTTTGGCACATCGCGACAGATTCTGAACTTAACGCCGCTTTCACCGAAGTCGACAAGCGCGTTGCGCCTGTCGAATTTGTATTCGTCGGTATGTGTCATATCTTTAGAAGTGAATAATTTGTTTAGCATATGCTCCACTTATGTCCCACAGGCGTCATCCTTTTCCTTCTTCGGGACGACCATACAAGTGAAGAAAAAGCGAATGCCGTCCTACATATGCGTTTACGGATACGAGAACAATTCCGCGACGTTCGGAACAATGGTGTTGTAGGAAAAGCCTTGTGGAGTTTCGTTGATAGCATAACTGGTCAATCTGGGTTGAGAGTGTTGGATGCGAGCGCTCCAATGCTGGCGATTGCGTCCACTTCCACTTCCACGAAGCGGAAGAGGAAAGGTTCGGATGCCGATGATGACTATCATCCTTCGCCAATCAAGAGTCTAGGTTCGAAGGCAAAAACGCGCGCATCAGGCAAGAAGTGATTGTCTCGTGAACTATACGACAGGGATATTAACTGCAGAGGCATATAGTAGATGATTGTATACATGCCTCCTGTAGATAGGCTATTGTAAATTTCAGTTGTTGTAACTTACTCTCGCAGTGTACCATACCCCCTCAGTATCAGTCAGAGCTCTGGCATGTTTGAGCAGTAGTTTGTCTCTTTCCTTGGAGTTAACGGCAATGTCAAGTAGGAAATGTTCGATCTCCTCATGTTTCCATCGTTGGCGAGTCAGAAATAGCTCAACGAATCTTGCAGCTGGGTCAACCGGTAATGCAGAAGATGGAAAGTAGGTCAATGACGCTTCCTCTCCGATTGAGGACAGATTTCGAAGGTAGTCTCCCTACAAATCATGTCGTTGTGGTTCAGCCAAGAATTAGCATAGCAACGCACCGAAAGAAGGGATAGCTTCACAGAAGACTCGAAAGTGTCCCCTACTACGTTTTTCCATTTCTTGAGGAATTCGTTCTCAGAGATAGGGTTATGCTAAGTCTGGCGTCAGGTATCGGCAAGCAGAATCAGTAAAGAACAAACAAACTCTATGATGGCGGAAAATTCCTACTCCAAGCTCTCGAATCACCGCATCTACGTCCATTTTCCAGAGGCCTTCTTTTACATCCCCAAACCAGGACATAACCTGCTTCGATACTACGCGGGGTATTTCATGTTCATCGGCAAGCACAGACACCAGCTCCTCGATCGGAGCAGCTTGGTGTGAGAGGGACATTGATATCAAGTAGTTTAACAGCAGTTCGAGAATAGTGCTAAGATGCGCTGGGGCTATAGGCCGTAGCTGCCCTAAAATAATATTAATATGACGACTCGAACAACCATCACAGGGGGTCTTGCTCTTACCTTCAAGGACGAGGATGCGTCTCTCTTTCAGACCGAGGACGAACTCAGCTTCGCTGGCCTGTATTTCGCTACGAGCCTGCTCGTAGCTATATTTTGGCATGGTTGCCTTGTGAACATGGATGAGACGATATGCCTCATACACACTGCATGCTGGCCCACCTGCTTGTCTTCATCTCCTTCATCATATTCCATATCCCTCAGCAAGATGGAAAGCTTATGCAACTTCGGTACCACAGGCACCAGCTCCAGGATCTCATGCAATTGGTCTCGGATGTGCACGGTCCCATCTGGATCCGATCTGGAGGGTGTCACAACCAGCACGGAATTAGACAGCACGACAGAACGGACAGCATATGTCTTTTGTAATGTACATAGTACCGCGTCCTCAGTCGGGTGCCCTTTGATGAAGAGGCTGGGTGTTACAGTCTTAAATCAGATAGTAGCTGACGGTCGAGAAGAAAATCCACCTAGCAGTTTTCTCAGAAGCAGATTCAATTATTTGGCACAGCTCTGGAGGAAGCTCCAAAAGCCTAAAAGAACCTGTGTCCTGAGCAGTAGCTGTAGACAATCTAAGATCCAGTTCACTCATTGTGGTATGGGTATTAAACTTGGGTGTCATCGACGCGCTTGTCACACTCGCACGTGTTGCAACGGTCACGCACAGATCACAAAATAAAACTATTTAGTGTGGAAAACACAGAACATGTCGATGATACGTCCATTCACATAAATGCGATCAACTCTGATGAGCGCGCGTGTCAACAGGGTGAAATTTCACGCGGACTTCTGAGATCTCCTTCCGCGCCTCCTTCAACGTCTGCGAGATCTTTACTTCCAACCTTGATGTGGCCAAGACTGACATATTGCTCGGCACCTCAGCTATAAGGTCCACATACATCATGGAGCCTGCACGCTTAGCTCGGAGATGTCGGACGGCAAGCAATTCAGCAGTGTCATGGAAACCGTTGCCGATGACAGAGGATGGCGGTGATGATGAGGACGAGGAGGAGAGAAGAGGGTCCAATGCGTGTGCTAGCTTTTGTTGCGAGTTCGCCGAAATACCAGCATCTGTAAGCTCAGTGAACGCGCCTCCAAAAAGGTCTAAACCTTGCTTGAGGATGACAAAAGAAACGACGAGCCCTGGTGAAGGTAATGAGCAGTGTAGAAAAAAGGACCTGGTAAAAAATTACTCACCCCCTATAGGATCCAAGGGTAATGCAGGGAATAGCCACGATCCTATAATTGCGAAAAGGGCAACGAAACTCGAATATGCGTCACTGCGATGATGAACAGCATTTGCATAAAGCACTGGGCTATGTTCTTCGTCGGCAACCTTCTTGGTTACTCGATACAGCCACTCCTTTGCTACGACGCTGACTGCGGCGAACCAGGCTGCATTGGGGTCGAGGATGCCAGTATGACCATGCGAGTGGCCTATGGCAGGAACATTATAAGCAATAGACGTAACTTGTTGGAGGAGGTTATGAAGCGGGCCGGGTGGGATGGTGGAGACAGTTGTCGCCAGTGCTTCCACGAGGAGGTGATACGAATGGAAGCCGATGGCTAGTGCTCCTCCGATAAGCAACAGTGACACGGTAGTTGTCCCGAGAGTCTCGAATTTGGCGAATCCGTATGGATAACGTGCTGAAGGTGGCCTCCTTGATAGTTTCCAGCAAAATAGGACAACAACGTCACCGAGCAGATCTAGAAACAATCATGTTAGTGCAAAGAGCCAAGCTATTCGTTGGAATCACGGACCACTCATGGAGTGACCGGCATCTGCCAGCAACGAGGCAGAGTGCATATACCAGCCCGCGAATCCTTTAGCGCCAGTCAAAGCCACGTTGGCAAACAGCCCTATAAGTGTTATGCGGCTCCCTCTGTCACCTAATAATGGATAATTAGCTAGGCTTCGACTAAGCAGGGGGATCACAGCTTACCACTGGCAGCAGTTTGAAGCGCCTGTACTATCTGCTCTGCATCATGTCCGTGGTCATGTTCATCATGCGAGTGTGAGTGAAAGATCGAATGCGAATGTTTGTCATGGGCGTCGTTGTGACGATTTACGCCTTCCTGCGTCATTTCTTCAAGTTGTGAACCTCGCTGCGTCGAGTTTACTCGTCGGATTGCCATTCCAAGGCACGTTGTAGGCGGATACGTAAATGACCTGGCAACACGTCAGTACTCCTCAGGTCCGGGACTCTGGATGTGCCTTGTTTAGTCTCCACTCACCTGACACTATCTGAAAGCAAGAGAGTAGGGACCCTATAACGACGCTGTAGGTCCGAATGATATACTCTACTTTGCAAAGACCCCCTTGGAAATAAATACCGGGAGACAACAGGCAAAATGAATGGAAATGATGCCAAGGACCCCGTTATCCGAGTCGAGCCCACCGCGGTGTAAGGAGCGGTGTGAACAGCCCTGATCAAGCAGCGCTCAAGGTTCGCTGCAGCCTTCATGGCTGGGCTTGTCACAAATGAGACAATAGAGATATGGTCTAATGATACACATAAGGATGTGGACCAGGCATAGTCAGAAACACTACAGCCTTGACAGTGACGGTGTGACTTCCCCGCGATGTAGGTTTGATATATGTTCGACCGGATTGGCAGACGGAGTTTAGAACTAAAATTAACTATGCTAGTCGCATCTTGAGAAGGTACTCTGTATCGTCAAGTACCTTCTAGGTTCACCGTCACAACTCAATTGTTGTTATGATGATACAAAAAATAAAAGAAATAATAGTCTCTTTCTTGTCGCCGCATCTGCACCAAACCAAGATCGTCATATTGTCAACTCGTGGTTACTCAGACCAATACCGGGTCCTTGGAATTGTATTGATAGGTTGAGTTCTTTCCGATAATCTTTCACAGCACTAATCACACTTTAAAATATGTAGAAAACGGGTCTAACCTTTTCCCCCTCTGCTGACTACCCTAGACCAATCCATCGGTACCGTCATCGCATGCTGGACTCGAATAGTATCACCACGGACTCACAAGCATAAGAAAATGATCACGATCGCCACCTGCCCCAGGGAAATCTCCGCATCTGCTCCCGAGTACAAACATTGACAATAGGTACCATGATCTCGTCCCATATCGTCCGCAGCAGTGCTATCAGTGCTGTCCTTGGCTCCTTTCTTCTGCATCTGAATCGCGCAACAAAAGGTTATCATGAGCGAATGGCTAAGGAGAAGAAGAGGAGATAGTACATAAATCCGGTACTACATATGTGCGAGGCATGTATCAATAATCATCAAAAGAACGCTCTAAGATGCAATCGGCCAAGGGACACGGCAGATAAAAATATTTTCAGCGAGACTTCTTGACATTCCGGGTGGAACGACGCAGTGGAGGTTTCGAAGGTCCTGCCTCGGGAATTGGAGGATGATCTATGGAAGCGGACCCTGCTGAGGGGTTAGTAGTAGGTGCGGCTTCAACATAGGTGTCGATAAACGCGGTCAAAATCTCGAGAACCTTCTCGTGAGTGGTCTCTATTCTCTCTGTCTCGTCGGGCTTGTTCGCGAGGCAAACCAAAGTCTGCCATTGTTGGACGAGAGGCCTAAACGCTGCGAAGTAATCCGAGGTCATCTTCACCATAAAAGTTCCGCTCATGACGGCCCCCAATTTCGCGAAACAGCAGGTGCGCAGAAGCCCTCTGAGATCGGCCTTGCCCAAGGCCTCATAGGCGCTCGCCCATGGCAGCGAATCTCGAGTCCAGGATGGTGACAATTTGCCGCGCGGCCCCCCATACTTCGTAACAAACTCAAAAAATATATAAAACAATGACTCCAGGTCATCAGAGGGCGTGTGTTCAATCAGCCGTCGAACATCATTGGCCGGGGCGACGTCCTTGCCCGGATCAATGTCGCCCAGGTTGGTGTTGGTGTCCAACAAGGTCATTTTCATTATTCTCTCGAGAATACGGATGGAAATGTATGGTAAAGTGCCCTGTAACAATAAAATTGACAGCACGCACGGCAAATTTCGGAAAAAAAAAACTTACAGTACCAGGTGAATAAGTGCTGGTCGTATCCACTGGCAAAATTGCAGCATGGTCGAGGTCGATGAAGTAGCCAGTACCTTCATAGATAACAAAATTGTTGGGACTGAGGTCACCGTGTAGGACTCGTCTCTCAATCATTGCACGGTGAGCTAAAACAAATAATCATGGGCATGTTTATGTTCTGCGCATTCGATATGACTCACCGATTACAAATTGACGAAAAGCCGTGATCAGCTCCTTTCTAGAGTTGAATTGAGAGAGAGGCTCTCCGCAAGGGCTCAAGAGAAGACGCCGGTGCAATCTATTGCAGAACGCGGTGTCGTCTCGTTGATCCTGGTTATTTTCCTTGCGAATACGCGCTGTACAATCAGGCTGCCCCTCGTAATAGACATCCCAGTCGTCAATAAGTTCGACGACGTTAGGAATACCCTTGAACATCCTCAGGACGGTTGGTTCGTGCATTTTTTTCGACTCCTCCACCCAACAATCTTTCAGAGCGTACTCTACTCCTTCCTTGTTTCTAACCCGATAGCAGATCGTTCCTCTGCAGAAAAATCCATGACTCTTCCACAGCAGAGCCATGATTGAATAGACGTCGTGCTTGTTGTCTTGCACCCAGCCTATCGCCCCATCTGCAAGATTGTCATGGGTGCCATTACACGCAGCATGACACATGTGAATAGTGGGATCAAGGCCCAGGTGGAGGGGTTTGAAGGTGTCCAAGGTGCGCGGCAATCCACCAACAGGGGCGCCAGCAGAGGTGATTCTATCACAGAGAAGCCGGTCAATGTCAACGAGGGATGAAACTGTGGTGTTTTCCAGCATTTTGTCGTTGTGGCGATCAACCAGAACTCAAGTTGGCTTCTATAGAGCATTCAAAATGACGTCGTGTGACATCATGCAACAGTCCCGTCTCAACTCACTATCATGAACCAGGGTAGTATGAAGCCCGATGCTTACATTCTGTCCTTCCTTCCTTGCCAAGATATCCTTCGATGTACATCCGTGAGTTGCTGATACCCCTATAATGTACTGACAGTTGTCTTGCAGGTATGTAGAGACCTTCGCCAGACGTAGTAAAAGCTTTACTTCAAGACGCTTGTTTTCGACGGCGTGACATGTCCATGACAGCATGAGAGCAAATGTCACGGGAGAGCAACTTATGTAAGAGAAAAAAATTGGTATCCGGTGGGCAATGCTGACCCCTAGTACGGTAGTGGCAGATGAGGCGATGAGTAGTATGGGATGCCACCAGTGAGGCCCATGACGAGATAGGGGGTTGGCACAGAGTGGGTGACTGCGGTGGTGATACCGAACTAAATTGGGTGATTAAAGCACTATGGTTAATAAGATGAACGATCTGATGGGCACAAAGAGCGACGTACGAAAGAGTCTTTTGATGGTTTGACACTATCTACTGTGAACACGCCGCCAGCGATGGAGCGGGCCCAGTCTGCCATTGAGTTTCCGACTTCCTCTTTCACATTCTGCTTCGCGTGCTTGAGAGTCTGCCTTCCTGGTCTGCCTGAGACCGAGCTTGCTGCGAAGCATGTACTTGTGCAAGGTTTACGGCTGCTGGACGAGCAGTGAATTGGAAAGAGGTTTGGAACTATGATGAACGGCGAAGGGCGAGCGGGGCACGACGAAGAGCAGCTGTACGAGTAATTGTACCAAATTTGAGTGTGTTCATGGTTGCAGTCAAAAATCAAGCTTGGATGAACCACACCCATTCAAAATGACGTCGCATGACATCATGCAACAGTCAATTATAAGCCGCAAGCATCATACAAAGTTGGAGGGCAGAAATGAAATCACAACGCCCATTCTATCAGGCCGCCAAGGGAACACGCATGACTACAGTACTGGGCCCGCATCAGACACTATGTAGGCAACAAGATCCCACACCAATAACAAGATCCACACACTTAAGCCAATGAAATAGTACGGGAAAGGGGTCTCAACTCACCATCATGAACCAGGGTATGAAGCCCAAGTTTCTGTTCCTTGCTGATCTCCATGTTTACATTCTGTCCTTCCTTCCTTACCAAGATATCCTTCGATGTACATCCGTGAGTACTTTTATTTGCTGATACCCCTATGTACTGACAGTTGTCTTGCAGGTATGTAGAGACCTTTGCCAGACGTACCTGTCATCTTCTGAGCTCCAATATATTGTTGAACTCAGTGGTCAACAACTGCTTCCTGTTGATCTCCCTCTCGATAGCCACACTCCTACTATCTCAGAGTATCTACAACTCCTGAGGGACAAAGCTCATGCATGGTTCAAGTTGAACACTCAACCTGTTGAACACGTCGATGTCTCAAACAAGTACATTATGAAACTTACATTCATGTCAAATGGGCATTTCTGCCTCATGGATGACCCAACCCTGCAACATCATGACTATCTACGGGGTCCGACCATCTCCAAGATCTTTCCAATACTACAAGAGCCCTCACAGCGAGTGTTTGACTGTGTATGGCATTCAGATACACTGTCCTCAGTTCCAAATGCACAACTAAATGATATTCTCATGGACCTGACACAAAATCTGCTCGCTGCTGCATACCACATTCTTGATGGGCCGGATGTCCATATCGACATTTTACCTTTGGATGGAGGTGGTGCTCACCCCCAAGCTGCTGGAACTATGCTGTTTATGTTACCAGAGCTGCGTGGACCTGTCATATCCCGTATTCCGGACCTACATCCGACAATATTCCCACGCCTCATCCGGACCTTCGGACACCCTATTCATGTCTCCAGTCCTCTATCCATCCGGATCCCTGCACCCCTGCACATCCACATCCACATCCACATACATTTACCTCCATACCTCAATCCACGTGTCTCATCCGGATGTCCGGTCCGGTCCGGTCCGATCCGATCCGATATACGATAAGCTTCCTAATTCAATTCCTGTGCATATAACGTTAACACAGCCTATTCCTCTATTTGGTATTCCTTGTCCTCGGTATCTCGGTTATACTTACTACCGGTATGCTTACTGATCCGTTAACCTATGCTTCATTTCCGACTCGCGCTTGATAACTTTGCTTATGCTTCATACATAGCCTCGGACGCTTGCTTACTGATCTTTCTGTTATTTCCTTAGTATATAAACTCTTGTATATGTCCTGTAGTTCCTCAGTCTGAATATCATATTAGTCCTCGCACTAGATCTCACTCTAAGTCCTCACATCAGTTCTAGTCTATCGACTTAGTCAAAATCCATCTCGGGCCTAGGGAGAAATTCCCTAGGCCAGAGCTCCACTTATCCGCTCATCCGCTTATCCGCTTATCCGCTTATCCGCTTATCCGCTTATCTGCTCATCCGATCCTCCGAAGGTTCCGGACGTTCGTCCGAAACTTTCCCGCGGTCCTCCGGACCTATTCTGCTTCGGACTTTGTCCTTGCAGCCTTTCCTCTGTTTGCTTCTACTTAGGACTTGTCCTAAGTAGCCATTACACGTATCCGTATCAGGACGAAACCTCATCGTAATTTCCGGAAGTTCCTCCGGAACTTTCCCGCACTCGTCCGGAAGTTACTTGCACTCGTCCGGAAAGTCCTTCCGAACTTTCCTGCGCTTCGGACGTCCTTCGGACGTCCTTGGACTTTCTTCGGACATCACTCTGAAATTAAGGGCACATACTCAGGTAAGGGGCGCAGCGCACGAGCTGAAGCCAAGCCCCTCAGAATCAGTCCTACCCTTTGTGCACGGTCTTAACAGTATATTCAGATTCACACCTTACGGAGTATACTGAATCCTTAGATCATACCCGAAATCGGATCCGACTCCGTCCATTGGAAACTGTGTATTCCTCATCCGAACCCTCCATTTTCCTGTTTCCTATTTCCGATGAAAACTCCGGATTTTCCGGAACTCATATTTCCGATCCCTGCATATGTAAACACCCACCGGAACACTCAAGTTCCACCCTTCATGCTCTGCTGTCACTTCCACTTCAGTATCATGAAACTCCGCTCCTGAAACCAAACAGGATTGTCACCTCCATGGCAGAACAAATAGGTTTTCGGACTTGATGTCCTGTATTCCCTGATCCGATCCTATCATTTACGATATCCGATACATCCTTACACCTCCGATGTTTTCCGTTTCCGAACCGTTTCCTGAACTGGCAAAGTCAACTCCGGAATGCCTCAAACATTCAACTCCTTCGGATTCTCCTTGTACCAACTAGAATATACTTGCTCACCCACCATGATCCGTTGATCAATAGGGTATTGTGCAAACCTTCTTTCTGATTGGTACTACAGGAAATGCCTTAGACTTCTGACGTCGGATCCGCATTTTTGCGGAACCCTTATCTTCGGACTAGCCGTGTTCTTTCCACTGGTTGATTTCCAGTCCGCCTCCATGTTGGATGGCACCTCCTCCGGTCAAAGTCCGGACCCCCTATCTACCATTCGTATCCGCCACCCATTTAGCATTCACCTTGTATTGGTATCCATTACCCTCCTTGTAAAGGAACTCCGTCTTTCATGATGGTTTTCTGCCAAGTGTTCGGGTTTTGTTTCCTCTGACAATGGCCCGCTCGGGTTCCTGCCTCCGAAATTCGGACGGCACTCTTTCCTCCGCTCTAGCCCCTATTTTCCCTTACACCATCCGGAAATGCCTTGTTGATTCTCCTCCGACATTAGGAATGTCTTTCGAAAGGGCAGATAAGAATTTTGCTTCCATTACGTCCTATGCAAATTCCTGACCATTTCCTGGCTTCATTATCCACCTCCAGGCCTCTGATCCGAAATTCCGGAGCTCATCCGATTCATTCTCCGGAAGTAGGTCCTGGAAAACCATCCGTTTCTCTCCAGAAGCCTGTCAGTTCTTACATCCGACTTCCCGTCCGAAATCAACAACTTTCCGAACCCCTCCGCGTTTTACCCCTATTTTCCGGAAGTTTGTAACTCCGGATCTCTATTGGCTTTCTTGATGAAGGTCTCCGCCCCTCCGATCTATAACTCCGGTTTGCTCCTTGTCATCTCTGAACTTTTCCGGATCAGAATAAACATGCTTTGCAATTGTTCTTTACTGTTACTGGTACCACGTCCACTCCAGTTCCTGCCCATATTTCCTCCGGGTCCAGGAAATTAATAGCTCCGGATAGCTCTGGATAGCTTCGGATAGCTTCGGATAGCTTTGGACGTCCAGACTTTTTTAGTACCAAAAGTATTCCTTCATGTTATGGCTCCGGATAGCTTCGGATAGCTTCGGATAAGCTTCGGATAGCTTCGGATAAGCTCCGGATATCTTTGGATATCTTTGGACGTCTGGATTTTCAGTACCAAAGTATTTCTTCGCATTATAGCTCATCCGTCCATTCCGTTATCAAATCTCCATGTTTCCAAAAGATCTGTTCACTCCTCCGCTCCAGGACAAGTTACACCCGCTCCGGATCCGAAACACTCCTATGGGTATTCTATGCCATAGCCCGGACATGTTTTATACAATTGTCCATCCTCCGTCCTCACTTTTCCACTCTGCAATCCTTCCATCCATCCTCCTGTCCTTTTTCCTCAGTATACCAATATCCGACCTTTACCCCTATTTCCGGAACTCAATCGTCCGGATTTCCGATGGCTTTCTTGATGGAAGCTCCTGCTCCTACCTCCGATGCACCCTTTGTCTCTGGACCGCCTCCATTCGGAATGGATATACTTTGCAATAGCTTGTAGTTGCTTCGGACCCGCTTCCGCTCCTGTCTTAAAGTCCCTCACCGTTCAATATTGTCTTCTCTGGAATCTGTTTCGGATCCGGAAAAGCACTGGTGATACCTCCGAAATTTTTAGCACTACAGTCCTGCGTTGCGTTATATCTTCCGTTCCATTCCGTTCTTGTGACTCACGTCCAGTTTCTTCCGAAAATCCAAAGCTCCTGCTGGAACCCTGTGCCCATTTTTCCTCCATCAATGTTTGGAAAATTCTCCCAAAAGGGGGGATAGGGACTCCGCTTGAGTATTCACTTCACCCTCTTCAGCTTGTGTTCCATCCGGAATTTGCTTGCTCCGTCCCATAACGGAACAATTTTCACCATCTCGTGCAGTCATACATACATGTGCAGCTTTCCTATCCGACCCGTAACCTATCCGGACCATCCAGATGCATTCTCCAGTCGGATCTGCTTCGGATGACCATGGAAAACACGCACATTGCATTGCACATCATTGGAACATGTCCGGATTCATCCATCCTTCATTTATCAAGCCTGTCAAGAGTCATCCGACACTTCCACCTCACTTCCCTATGTTCCGATCCACCTCCTATGGGTTTCCGCGCCATAGCCTCTATCCTCCGAAGCTCCGAAAATCCGAACCACTCGCAAACACCTCTGTCCTATTATATACATCTCCTCCGATGATCCATTCTCTTCCTCTGCTTTTCCGACTCAATCTCCGTTCCGACTCCCATTGTATATTTCACCATAGACCCTGGCATTGCCAAACACTTACGTCCGGACCTCCTATCATGTTTTCCGACCACATCCGACCCTAATCCGAAAAACCCAAGTCCACCGAGTCACTTCCACTGATAAAACCAACTATATATCCCTAGTTAACGCAGTTGCCTGTTGCAGGACTTGCGAGCTAGAAGGATCCGGTCCATTTCAGCATACACCTCCACCTGACCAGTGTTGACCTTCGGACCATTGATTTCCTGTCCATTGCACCCTTCCGGAACTGCCTGGAAAGCATTTCCGAAGATCCATCCAAAAATCGCGTCTTTGCAGATATCGTCAATCCACGTTTCCGACTCTCTGTGTTTCCGATGCTTTGAGTTTCCGATATCCAGTATCCGTGTTTCTGATCATCCGTCCGTCCCATCATAAGGATTTCCATCCACCACACGCGTTTATCAAAAGCCTCGCACCGGATGCAGAACCCTGCTATTTGCGTTAACTTTCAGTACACCTAGAAACTCCGTCCACGACCTTTGATAGTGTGCAATCCGTGCTCCGGAACATTTCCGGTCATAGGGGCTAATTTCCGGATTTCCGATGATGCACTTATCCTTAGCTGTACCTCAGCACAAGCTCTGCTTCGTGGAGATAGATATGTCTCACAGGACTCCTCCGTCACATCAGAAAGAAGCCTGCATTTCTGCATTCACTCTCGCCCTCTTTTCCTGCACTCGCTGCATTTCCGTTATCCTGACATGAAATCCTCCGCTCCGTGAGCTTCCTCCGATTTTCCCACGCATGTTCCGGACTTCCGGTTACCTTCGGAATTATCCTCAATGTGTTCCAGACTTCCGCTCCGGAAATCCATTTGTCCTCGCGTCCCATCGCCATTCTTCATCACCGTCTATGACATCCAGTCTCCAGATGAAGTACTAGGCATAATAATGAACCATGCATGTGTCAGGAACATTTCCGAGACCTCCGGAAATTTTCACTCATAGGAACCAATCCTCCGGAATCCATCCATCATTATCCTTTGCCATATACCAGCAATCTCCATTCCGAACTTCCTAAGTCTTCAGCCTCGAGGGCTCGGCCTTAAAAGGGGGATACTGTCATATCCCGTATTCCGGACCTACATCCGACAATATTCCCACGCCTCATCCGGACCTTCGGACACCCTATTCATGTCTCCAGTCCTCTATCCATCCGGATCCCTGCACCCCTGCACATCCACATCCACATCCACATACATTTACCTCCATACCTCAATCCACGTGTCTCATCCAGATGTCCGGTCCGGTCCGGTCCGATCCGATCCGATATACGATAAGCTTCCTAATTCAATTCCTGTGCATATAACGTTAACACAGCCTATTCCTCTATTCGGTATTCCTTGTCCTCGGTATCTCGGTTATACTTACTACCGGTATGCTTACTGATCCGTTAACCTATGCTTCATTTCCGACTCGCGCTTGATAACTTTGCTTATGCTTCATACATAGCCTCGGGCGCTTGCTTACTGATCTTTCTGTTATTTCCTTAGTATATAAACTCTTGTATATGTCCTGTAGTTCCTCAGTCTGAATATCATATTAGTCCTCGCACTAGATCTCACTCTAAGTCCTCACATCAGTTCTAGTCTATCGACTTAGTCAAAATCCATCTCGGGCCTAGGGAGAAATTCCCTAGGCCAGAGCTCCACTTATCCGCTCATCCGCTTATCCGCTTATCCGCTTATCCGCTTATCCGCTTATCCGCTTATCCGCTTATCCGCTCATCCGATCCTCCGAAGGTTCCGGACGTTCGTCCGAAACTTTCCCGCGGTCCTCCGGACCTATTCTGCTTCGGACTTTGTCCTTGCAGCCTTTCCTCTGTTTGCTTCTACTTAGGACTTGTCCTAAGTAGCCATTACACGTATCCGTATCAGGACGAAACCTCATCGTAATTTCCGGAAGTTCCTCCGGAACTTTCCCGCACTCGTCCGGAAGTTACTTGCACTCGTCCGGAAAGTCCTTCCGAACTTTCCTGCGCTTCGGACGTCCTTCGGACGTCCTTGGACTTTCTTCGGACATCACTCTGAAATTAAGGGCACATACTCGGGTAAGGGGCGCAGCGCACGAGCTGAAGCCAAGCCCCTCAGAATCAGTCCTACCCTTTGTGCACGGTCTTAACAGGACCCCAGAACATTCTCCCAAAAGCTGAGGGTTGGAGGATTCAGAGTCTGGGGAGGCTTATGGCTCTCTTGCACTCCCTGAGACTCAATAATCCAGACAGGATCCTGTGGTGGTTGCAGATTTTGGACTGGCAGCACTCGACAATGTCAAATGTGAGCAAGCCTTGTCGATTGAAAGACTCAATGCCTGATGGATTATTTAGAGTGTCCTCAGCGACGCTACATCTGGAAGTCAAATCTCAATCGATTATTATTTCCTTGGAACTAGTAGATTGCTTACGATTGTCGGCATCAATTTGAAGGTCTATTCCATCGAGGATATGTCTCAGGCGCCGCAATTGCTCGCATGCTTCTTGTTGCCTGCACCTGTATGTGGTACACATTTCCTCTCCAACAACTCAAAGGACAATGGTGCACAAAGTAGGCCGCAGCCTGGGATGCAACAAAAAATGTGGAAATCAGATCCTACTCATCGAATCATATCCCAGGCTGAGCATGTCGCCTTCCCTCCATTTTGTCATTTCTACCAGGATTTTCTTCGAGCCTGACTTCATTAAAGGGGGGTCAATGGCAATACCTTGGAAACATTGGGGCCCGTTGAATACTCGTATTTTCCAGCACTGTCCAGATGTTGTTGATTCTGCTGCTGGGAGTCAAATCTTGAAGGTGGAACATGCAATTGACACAACAGATGGTAATGATTTCTTGGAGTACAGTTTGCGTGTGATGGACTTTAGCCCATTAGCTATCAAGTATGGGCAGGGCCTAGGACGGTTGGTGAGAGAGCCATCTACAATAGACTTGGATGGACAGTCGTTAACGACGTCCTTGCCTTATGTTGAGGTTGTGTCGAGCAAGATATCCAGCTCTACAGATGAGCTGCTCTTGTCATCGATTGATGAAGACAGAATTAACTCGTTCCATGTCGATAATTGCTTTGTAAGCTCCTCCCTGTCTCAAGGAAGTCTGATCTGATTTTATACCTACAGGTCAAGGTCATTAAGATTTGGGAAGGGGTTTGAAGTGTGCTCTATTCAGGGCAATACATAAGTTCTACATGTAGTGGAAGTAAATTGTTAATGTCGAGGATGCAATTGAACAGAAACACGTATAAAGAAAGAGGAATTTTAATGGCCCAGTGAGAATGAGAAGCGTATGTTGAGTGCTTGCGAGACACGTGAAGCATTTGGCAAGGATTGCGAAGCATCGTATATCCAGAGCCTGTTTAGCGCATGGCAGGGGGAGAGGACTGCCAGTTGCAGCCAGTGCACTGGTGCTTGGAGCCTGAAAGGTGACTCTCGTGATATTGAACGTCCCCGCTGGTAGCATGCTACTGCGTGAGGCACCAGCGGCATTCGAGACCCTGGCGGTAGAAGTATGGGCTTGCTGGCGACGAGGACATGGCAGCTGTGCCAAATGCCCTTTCCCACTGATGGCATCAGCGCTACGTTATATGGAAATATCATCCGAGTCAATGGTAGATGTATTCGGAAGGTTAGAAACCTAACATATTTCCCTCACGATATGGAGATGTTCAGCATGGGAGTCCTGTGTGGGTGGTTGGATATTATGGCTCTGGAGGGCAGAGGGTGAGAAAAAGATGGTTGATCACGTTCTTTGTCATGGGACGTGATGGTAGTAGCGGTGCAGTTGTTATGTCAAGGTGGGGAATGTCTGTTGAACTGGTCAGAGGTGCATTGAATCTGCTACGACATGAAGACTTACATTGTCAAAGAACCCATGGTGAGTCCAGCGAGTTGTGGTCGAGGCTTTGGGCCTGGAATCGTCTGCTGGAGGAGTGAAGTTGAGGTAATTGCAAGATGACTGTAAAAGCTTTACTGCAAGACACTTGTTTTCGACGGCGTGACATGTCCATGTCAGCGTGAGAACATGATAAGAGACACTCTCAAGCTCATCTCCGCTTTCAAGTTGCTCTAGATCTGAGGAAATATCCGTGTGCAAACTACATACAAGCTTCCAGGTCGACTTGATCAATTGTTATGCTGATACAAAAAAAATAAAAGAAATATTCTCTTCCTTGTTGCTGCATCTGCACCAAACCAAGATCGTCATATTGCCAACTCATGGTTACTCAGACCAATACCCCCTTATATCGGGTCCTTGGAATTGTATTGATAGGTTGAGTTCTTTCCGATGATCTTTCACACTAAGAGGCTGTTCGGCAACCAGATGTTGCCTAACATTTGGCAAATGTCATCTCGGCTTGGATTTCGCCGAAGTTCGGAGCTTGAATCATAGGCTGAATTCAGACTAACCCTAGCACGCTGACATGGGCTGTAGGGTATAATACACTGTCCTTACATTTGTACTCTATGCGTCCGTACACCAATGGATCCTCAATCGCGACTCCAGTGTTTCATGCCCCAACATCCAGAAGTTCAATGGCGCCTCATCCAACACTCAATCCTTCTAGTCAGCATCTTAATCAGCGCTACAGCCAATCTACTACAGCCGGTGTATGCCAAGGATCCAGAACCGTATCATACATCTGCTCTCTCGGGTGAAGGCTGGGTGATAGAGCTATTGACTGGCCACCCAGAACAGATTCGTTGTGAACTTGGCATGCACGCACATGTGTTTGCACAGCTTATATCTGAGCTTCGTACCCTTGGCTATACCAACTCCAAGTTTGTTTCGCTAGAGGAACAACTCGCGATTTTTCTATATACGTCTGTCACAGGACTATCTGTCAGGCACGTCGGCGAATGATTTCAACGCTCCAATGAAACAATTTCTCGGTAAGTACACACTATTAGTTATGATTTGCAGATGTCTCATTGTATATCCTATGTACTAGTTATTTTCACAAGATGCTCAAGATATTCTCGTCTTCACCCTTCTACACAAGCTATATTCACTTGCCAGATGACTCCATTCCTGATAAAATTCGCTCTGACCCTAAGTTCTGGCCGTTTTTCAAAGATACTATTGGGGCTATTGATGGTAGCCACATTCATGCTTTGCCTCGTGCATTCGAACGAGGTCCCTATCACAATCGGAAGGGTTTCATTTCGCAAAACTGCCTATTTGCTTGTGATTTCAAACTCAATTTTACTTACACACTCACCGGCTGGGAAGGATCAGCCACGGATGCACGTATCTACGAGGCTGCAGCAGGCCATGACCTTCGAATTCCTGCAGGGAAATATTTCCTTGCAGATGCAGGCTTCCCTCTGCGGCCTGAACTACTCGTTCCGTACCGCAACGTGCGCTACCACCTTGCAGAATGGGGCCGTGCAGGTATGAGGTACGTGTACTGGTGTTATTCTTTCTACAATTCAGCACATTATTTACAGGCCAACTATGAAAGAAGAGCTATTCAATCTGCGTCACTCGTCTGCTCGAAATGTCATTGAGCGGATTTTTGGTGTCCTCAAACAACGTTTTCGAATCCTCCATCTATCACCGCCATATGCTATGGACATACAAGCGCAGATTCCAGCAGCGTTGTGCTGCATTCACAACTTCATCCGTTTTCATGATCCCTTGGAAGGTGCGCTACCTGAAGCAGACTATTCGGACGCTCACAGCACACACACCGGCGCTAACTGGGAGTAGGCAGTAGAAGAAGCTTTGGCCGCAAACAACGATCTGCATGCACAGCGTGATCTCATTGCGCATGCGATGTGGGTTGAGTATCAGCGTATTTTAGAAGAACGATGTGTCCTTGGTAACAATGATGACGATATTTCAGATGACGAGGATGGACTGGACTAATTCTCACTAGTAGCAAGCACCATGTACTTGTATTTGATCCATTCCAATTGGTATATGATTCAATGATGCACGAAATACATGTAGAATGAGCAGTACATGAAATGGATACTACATGTTAGTACGAGACGAGAAATGTAACAAGCACGGCAAACAAGCGCGGCAACACAAATGGTATGATAGTACTACTGCAGAGAGTCCAAGAGCTCTAAGATAAATGCACGGCGTGTCTCATAGTCATCCTTGAGCCCAACATAGATAGCAAGCTTGTTATCCCCCCCTGCAAGGGAAAATATGCGCAGGAGACTGGCTCTCTGACCAACCGACAAAAAATCCCCATCTTTGCTGTGCATAATCTCTAGGCCATGAGAGATGATATTTGGTACAGTTGGTACAACAACCTGAGGGACTGGTGGTGGAGGCGGAGCGGCTATGGTCTTCTCGATAACATCTGTGAGGCGGTTGATGCTACCTTGCATGTTCATGACGGCAACTGCTGGCGTAATCTTCGCAGCAAACTTTGCAGCACTATTTATTTCTGGCTGCATGCCAACTTGGGCTGACACTCACGCCTTCTTGGGAGCTGGTAATGATACCAACGTTGATGAAAGAGGAACAGGATTGATGAACGTGGGAGGGGCAGTGCGTTGAGATGAAGAGTCGACAAAAGTGTCAGTGCGCATGCGTTTACTGGACTGTGAGCCGGCAGCCTGAGTAGTAGCGGAGGTTCCATGAAGTTGGGCACTAGGTGGCATCATCAAGTCAGGGCTCATGTCGGGCACATCACTGGGGGCAGCGGCTCCAGAAGTGTCTACATCCATCTCAAGAAGGTCAAGGCCTCCGTCAAAAACATCAAGCACGTCATCTGTGGTATTGACAGACAGAGGAGGTGTAGTAGCCGGGTGTAACGCATGCCTTCCACGAACGCCACTATTATTGCCTAAGATCATCTGCATGTTGTCATATGGAGCCCACCCTTTGTTGCGAAGGGGGCGCATCACAGCTCGTGACTTTTGGGCATCAGTCAAATGCAATAGAATCGATTATAATTACATACCTTGGGGTCAACATACGTATCCCAAACACTGGCGGCAGCTGTCCCCTCGATTCCAGCCCCCGCACATTATCCCAATGGAAACCAGACACGTTGCGATAGATCTCGATTTGATTGTAGATTTTTTTGAGCTAAAACATGCTCGTAAACTTATAATCATTTGAGAAATGATCACATACCGATGTCCACTTTGTCTTAACCATCTTGCCCGTCTTCGGAGGGCCTATTGTTTGAATTGCATGATTGTCGTTGATAGCAGTGGCTGCGCTGTTGAAGGTGGGCATCATGAAGTTCCCACCATCACCACCCGCTGCCCAATTCTGAATCAGGTGTTGGAGTAGAAGGTCCACTTCTGTGTCTTGCCAGTGTGCCTTTACATTGTCCAACATCGATGTTACTTCAGGTTGAGCCATGAGGACTGTAGTAAAGCTAGCACAAAGAGCAGTGAGTGCAATAACAGAGGTGCAGAGTCTCTGCTGACGAGAGCAGTCAATAAGATAAGAGTTCATGGTAGATGTACAGGTATGAGATGTAAGGTTTGAGCTCCGACAATTGAGACGCTTGAAGCCGAGAATCCTCACATGACATTTGCCAAATGTTAGGCAACATCTGGTTGCCGAACAGCCTCTTAGTAAACACAGTTCAAAATATGTAGAAAACGGGTCTAACCTTTTTTCCCCCTGCTGACTACTCTATCGGTACCGTCATCATATGCTGGACTCGAATAGTATTACCACCCCTTGGCGCCCGCCTTTCTTTGTAATCTTTGCCAGGTCTTCCCGTATCTTGTAAACTGGAATCACGGAAACGAGCCCATCGGCTGAGTAGTCCTACCACTATCGTTGATGCACTTCAATTACGCACCACTGACGCACTTTTGCATTTCCTTCGACGGATGGACATGATGCTGTCCGAACCACCAAAATAAACAGAAAAACCACCCAATTTAATTTCCTCAACTTGTTCGGGGCCGGCATCGCGAGAAATAGTTGAGTAAGGCTTGTGCATATATTTATATCGGTGTCATCCACCACTCGATAACGAGCAGGACTTGAATCAGTAAATGCTCTCCAAAATAATCTTGACCTTTGAAAGCAACTCTTCATCCTCTTGACCAACTGCACGGACCGCGATCTGTTCAATGTCGGCCGTTGGTACCCCATATTGGCTCAACGTCCTCTGCAGTCCGAGCTCTTGCACAAGGCTATGGAAACTGAGAATTCATTCTGAGTGTATGGCAAAAGATACTTGCCTAGCGATCATGTACGATAGTTTCTTGACATCTCCGTCAACAGTCCCAGTTGATGGCTCTCTGAGATATAGTAAGGCTTCAGCAAGGTACTCCTTGTCTTCTTGACTTGCTATTTCCGCTTGTAGGTTGACGACCGGTGCAAGTGTCAAGCACTAGAAATAGATCGTGATCAAGAAACTATGCGCGGGTTCCGGGTGTACTGACTGAGGTGATGCCATGCGGTATTCCATATGTTGCTCCGAGCTTATGACCAAGCGTGTGAGATAATCCTAACGAGCTTCACAAGAAATGATTGAATGTAAGCCACCACCCGCGTGAAACAACTTACCTATGCTTTTCAATCCTCCGCGGCCATAAACTCATCCATGACGCAACTTGCAGCCTCTGCCTGGCAACGAGATCTTCGCTATCTTTCTTTGATAATACAAGAAAACGGAAAAGATCAGCGATGGCAGCATGGCATAGCCTTTTCATTGGTAAGGGCACTCCAGGTCTGTATAGACTCTCTGTTTCCAGATATTTAGAAGCATAAATCATCATATATTATCCTCTTACCGACTGCATGGTCCAGCGCACGCACGCCAGTAGAAAGCCTTTGGAACGAAGTGAGCATACACCGGGGTCACTGAATTGATTATCTACCATAATTGTTCAGGTGTTGAAAGAGTCAACTCGGCGTCCAGTATGATCCCCGCTGGAGTAAGCTGTTGATGACTGATAGCTACCTTGTCACCCTGTTTATTGGTATAACCTGCGCTACACTAGAATATCTAAATGAGAAAGCGAGTTATTTATATCACTTCGAGATCTTACCGTGTACTCGGCCGCACTCAGGGTTGTTGGTATTGCGATTTGCCGCAAGAACTCCAGCTCTTTGCCAGATGTTTCTTGTGCTCTTTGCTGCTGCAGCCTGAAAATAATAGCCTTTGATGCATCGACGGGAGAACCTCCACCAACGGACACTATAATATCGGCGTTGACTTCACGAAACTTGGAGACGCCGTTCTCGATACCAGCCTCAGGAGTATGCTCCCCGATTTCCGAGAAAGTGGCACCAAATGCATTGTATTTCTTCAAGATGTTCTCGATTTTCTCCACGATACCAGTCTACGCTCCGAGTCAATTATATTGATTGATAAATTTGAAGTGATTCAAGCATCGACTCACCTTGTCGCGGAGAGACTTTCCTGTTACGATAAGTGCTCGTTTGGCTCCAAGAGTGTCCAAAAGTTTTGGGAGTGCGGTTTCAACGCACTTGGGCCCGTAGTAAACGCCCTCGAGTGTGTTAGTATATGCGTAAGACCCAGCTGGCACTGTCTCATTGGCAGTCGTCATGGTGGATAAGAGGTATTAATAATGTTTATTTCCTGTGAGTGAGTGAGTGGCCGCGGTGGAATTTGATATGCTTCATTGAGAGGACCGTATAAATAATCGCCATATCATAAGTTATAACTGTCATTGCGACAATTGTCATTATCGATATCAGTACTCACTGAGGCGGCAGCCCACATGTGAAACTCCAAGTCCACTGGCGAGTCGTGCACTGGCACAAGAACCTATTTGCACAAGGTTGGTTGTATTGACCTTTAGTTGTTGATCTGTCCGACATAACGTGCCGCTTGGCGAAAACCACTATCTGACAAGTTCCTGCCGGGTGAAACGGTACCGCCGCCCGCGGACATGGCCTGCGACTTGCTCGGCCCGGTAACAGTCTATTTTTATAGTAATTTTCCATCGAGTGGACTGACATCCTACTTAGATCCCAAATCTCACGACAGCGAACGACCATATGCATATGTGCATGCAACTTAAAGCTTAAGTACTGGTGGTAGCAATTATTTAAATAACGCAACCATGAGCTACCTGCACAAGTTTCGTCGACTACCCACATTGACCCCACTGTGTCCGACGGCCAGGAGACTTAATACTCTCTACAATAAAAATTGCGCCTCCAGGATCCAGCTATTCTCGTCCATGTCAGATAGAAGCAACGAACCTACCCAGAACTCTGGACAGCCGTTTAACTTTGCCGCCTCATTCCGCGAGACTGACCCACCAAACCCCAATTGGCAACTGAGGCAGGGCCTCCCAGACCATGTCGAACCTGGAAAGTCGTGGAAAGCAGAAGAAGAGAAAGGCTGGAAGACTTGGAACCTCTCAGACATATCGCCAAGGTACGCGACCTCGTGCAGTGTTGTACAAACAGTGGTAGCAGAAGTTCTTGCTTCTCAAACCTAACCTTATCGTTCGCATATCACTGACTTGAACTGCTGACAGGGAGATATATCCTTTATTGACTTCATGCATCGTGCCTCGCCCCATCGCGCTTGTGTCCAGCACGTCTTCCGATGGGATACCTAACCTTGCTCCGTTCAGGGGAGTTTTTTTCAGCACATTTTAGCCGACCAGTCTGACCTAACTTCATTGTACAGCTACTTTTCGATGGTGCGTCGGACATCTTTTCGAATGCCTTGAAGTTGACTTGTTTGTGCTGCTGGTACCTGAAAGGTCGCGCACAATCCGCCGTTATTGAGCATTTCCTTCTCTCATTCTCCGCGGACTGGGAAGTCAAAAGATACCAAAGAAAATATACTCGCGACAAAACAGTTTACCGTAAGCATCGTCAGCGAACCATTCATAGAAGCAGCAAATATCACAACTGTCGACGCCCCTGCTGATATCGACGAGTGGGACATCAGTGGTCTAACCAGATCTGCCAGCGTAAGCCCATTCCGTTTAGCAGCCGCAGCAGTTGTTGATTATGTGTCGTTCGCGTACGTATTGACCGCAATGCTTGCCCTTACATAGATAGACGTGAGGCCCCCATGGGTCAAAGAAAGTGCCATCAGTTTTGAATGCGAGGTAGGCATGCACTTTGTTGTTTTATTTGCCATGTTCGCTTATCAATGACATCGGCTTCACAGTTGTTCCATTCCTACGAGATTCGTCCGCCCAATTCGGACGAGGTCACGAACACATTGGTCTTGGGCCTCATAAAGCGGACACATATTAGAGAGTCCGTTTTGACTGCAAGCGGGACCGTTGATCCCGCTAAGCTTCGGGCCGTGTCACGCTTAGGCGGTGATATGTACGCCAGGATCGGTGAAGGTTTCGAACTTTCCAGGCCACCTTGGACAGTGATACGAGGTCAAGTCACGTCTGAAACAGAGTAGGAAGTCTGTTGCACTATAGCGGATACGAGCTCGCATTGATAGAAGGGTCCGCATGTTCATATCAGTTTGCATTTGGAAGGTTTCAGGTCGAGGGATGCGAACGTTTCGAAGATGCCGAGACAACGTTCCTTTGCGTAACCATCAACCACTGAGAAGAGTCACGGATATGGAATGCGTGTCAATGGACCTGATCTTTGTAGCGAACTTGGTCCGAATAAACGACAATGTATTTCTCACCGCATGGAACAAGCTGCACTTCCCCATGGTACCAGGTTGAAATGAAGCAAAGCTTACTCCAGGAGGCGCATGCCTTGAAAAAGATTAACCAAAAGTCAGAAACACAAGGCATAAACGTGGAGGAATGCACTGCTACATGCTTTAGAAGATGAAGCCACGATGCAGAGCACGATGCGCGTGCCTTATCGATGATAATTGTTTTGACAAAGAATGATCTTCCGGTGCAGATCAACGCCCCATCAACTGGAAATAGCACACGAATAGCCCACGAGCAGGTGACAATTTTGACAGGGACAACATGTGTTAGCGAAAATTACGAACGATGATGGTCCACCATTCGCCGCGTTAACCTCACTAACTGTTTGAAGAAGCGCAGTCAACAGTCGCCGTGACTCCTCGAGGCAGCTAATGCTCCTTTGTATAGATAGTTGAGACAGATGCACTCCAACACTTATGTGTCCGTATATTATTCCACAGCCTTGTCTCCGGAAGCTTTTATTAGTCACGTGTATACAAGTACTTCCGCCGCATTCGGTCTCTCGCAGTTTAGAGCCTTTCTCTTCGTTTGTTCTTCCTCAACATTCAGCGCTCAGCGCTCAGCTCAAGTATTAGGTGTGTCTTCAGTGCTTTTTTTCGTTAATAATATCCATGATAAGTTTTAAAGACTGTCGTTTGCAACAGATATTCTTGCTACTGAGGCGTACCCTAACCTTCCGGGTCGGATACGGCCAACAAACTACGTGAGTCGCTTCTAAAATCACATAAACATGTGTACCGATGGTTTGTTCTGCTCTAGGGTTCTTCCCGGGCATGGAGAATGATCCAGGGTCGGTTGCTGAACAACGCGCCAATGCGGTTGCAAAGCTCAAACGCGCTGCATCTTTACCACGACTGAAAAATGGAAGGCGGCCCCAGATGCACAATGAAGTTGTTAGCGAAGGCGAGAAAACCCTGCATGATGATGTCCAGGATCCATCGCAGGACACACCCCCCGAGTGCGTCTCCAATAGCGACTACAAGCCGATCGCACAGCCCGAAGAAAACCCAGGCTCGCCTGAGCCGTCAAATGTGAACCGCAAACGCCGCTCACGTTCTCGTTCACGTTCTAGGGGTTCCAAGGATCTCAGAAAATTCAAACCTCCTCAGTCTCCTTTGCCAACGTCTGTTACGCCTAGCAATGATTCTTCTCCTGACGATTCACCACCCTCGCGAGCTGAATACCTTCCACATTCAATTCTCGCACCAATACCCTCCCATCTTAATCCATTACCCAATTCTCCGTTCATTTTACCTGGTTTCTTAACGGCAGAGAGCCCTTTTCTACCTTCTGGTGCTTCTTCTCCTATCCCAAGATTTCCCACATTGGAGGCTCTGGTGTCACGTCAAGGGCTTCAACGATCGAATAGTGCAGGTGCAGCCCGCATGCTAACTTTACAGAGCACATTACAAAAGCTCACGGGTGGCACGGAATTAATGGAGTCAACATTTCCATCTCCAGCAATGTCGCCTCCGCCTTCTGGCACTAAACTCGGTCGGAACAATACTGTATCTGGTGGGGAAAGCAGCGAACGTAGCACTGCTCGAAGGCTTATGATGGCTCAACTGAACAAGAGGATGATAAAGGAGACGGATATAGAAGAGGAAGATCCTCGACCATTCAGCCCTTCAAAGCGACGCCAGAGACGACGTTCAAAACGTCAGTCCGCTAATCGTCCTGTGGTGTCGACCACAGATGAATCCGATCTTGTTTCGACCAACGATGCAACGCCAAACCGTTCCAACACCCCTCAAACTCAACCTGATGAATTAGCCCCCAACGTCCAGCGCACATCTTCCAGCACTCCCATACCCCCGATACCAATATATCCTCTTGCAACCCCAAGCATCAACCTCAACGAAACCATCAACTCCAGCCGTCAATCCACTCCTGTGCGAGCTGTGCCACCCACTCACTTTGATCACGCTGCCAAAAAAAGACGGGAGAGTGTTCTGATAGAGGATCCAGATGACGAAGACCGGATTCCTCCACAGTCGACGTATTATGGATTACCAGGTGCTCCGAGTCGGCCGCATCCTAGCCTTTCTCCTCGCCTTCCCCATTCATCAGACGTCTCTACTGACTCACCACTTCTTGATGTAACGAATGTACCGATATTCCTGGCCCCCCATCTTGAGAGGACTCCGTCTCGGCAAGCCAGATTCCCTTCTAGTCCCTTCGCGAGACCTCATAAGGAGATATCGTTGTCATCTGACCAGGAGGAGGAACGCGATCAGGAGGAGGAGGAATTTTTCCCAACAGAAGCTTTTCGACGGTCTCCATATCATGATGGTCTTAACCGAGAAATCAGTTGGGTGGCAGAGCCAGGTGAGTTCTAGCTGCGTTGGTTGATCAGGATACCTCTCAGTCGTTTTGCGGTAGTGCCGGAAACCCCCATGCCTGTGCACGAGGAGACAGAAGAGGAAGAGGATGACGAACTGCTGCAGGATGAACCGGCCCAGCAAATCACCGAAGATGAAGATGACCATCCGCCTCCGGATTCGCCAAGAGAAGGGTTTAATACTCAGATCGAGGAACCATCATCTCGCGCATCATCGGATTCAAAGGAACTTGTTGTGGAATTGGAGACGTCTCCCTTGCCTACTCCCGCACTCACTTCGCCGACACCCTCCTCATTTGCCAACCTACCTAACACCGCTTCCATGCTCCGTAACAGTGATGAATCGGATTCTCAACAGTACCCTCAGCGGCTTTCGGTGGCTATTCGCATGCACAGCGATAAATCTCCGGTTGTAACTGAGCCTGAGTCGACCGATCCCCAAACAGTCCGGGCAGAGACTCCCTCCAGGCGCGAAGGTAGCACATGGAGCAAGATCGTTCACTCCTTGACGAGGAGTGCTTCAAGTAGTGGGCGCCGGTCTCGGACGAACTCGATTGCGACAAGGGAGAGAAGACAGCACACCGACTCCAGCATTAGCCGGGAGAGTGGAGTGAGTCTTCCAAGTCCAAAAATTGATAAGAACGACAGCATCAGTTCGACCACATACCCACACGGCCAGCCATCCTCGGCGTCGACTTCGGTACATTCATTGGTCCAAACCGCTCCTCCCAGCAGCGGGGTATCTCCTGTTCCCATGACTCCCTCCACTGATCCTCTGGCGAAGTATACACACGAAAAACTCATGCCTTTCCCCGGGATCAAGAAGCTGCAAGAGCAATGGAACCGTCAACCTCACTTTTCGTCTACTCCTGATATCATTCTGTCGCATCATGTTGAGGCTGATATACCGCTGCCATCGAGTTCTTCCAGTAACACCCCTTCTAATTCTCCTGAGATAAATGGGGACAGGAAGTTAACACACCAGGCATCAGATACCCATCTGTTGCATATCTACAAGGCTCAAGCACCACCGCTTTCTGCCTCTGCATCCACATCCTCTCATGACCACTACCAGCATGGCAGTCCCCACTCACCATCCTCCATTATGCTGAAATCCCTTCCAACTAACCGAGATGGGGTCCGGAGATGGCTCAGTGCCAGGAAGTTGTTCCCCCAGCCTTCACAGTCGCCGGTGGGCAATTCGCCTCCGACGCCTAGTCCTGAACCGAAACCCGCAGTAGCGTCGAAGAAGCCATCACTCTCTGACCTATTCCGATTGCGGAAGGAGAATGATTTGTCCGCTGAGCTCCAAGATGAATGGGTAGATGTTGATCGTGACAAATCGCGCAGTTCTGTTGGCAATGGGCAGCTAAAGAAGGCGAATGGTGAATTCTCCCCGACCAGTCCAAACGACAGCTTTATCCGTGATGAGCTTCAGAAGACGCCGCGAGCGAGTAAAATCGCTAGGCCTAACGGCCAGCCATACTCTGCCACAGATATCTCCCTAATACCTCTCACTCCGGCAACCCCTTCTCCCCCTGAATTCCCATCTACCACACCTGAGCCTTGGTCTTCACTATCCGACTACCCCCATCTCACAACATCCGAGTCTTCTTCGTCCAACACTTCCTCGCATTATTCAAATTACCCTGCGAAAGGCGGCATACTGTTAGAGCGCTTGAATGACATGCTGGGCCGAGGTTCAAGAAGCCCGGTATGGCTATCTGCCATTGATGAGCCTCCGCGAAGATTTCTACGATGTTCTCCAGTCTTCCAGGTCGTGAATTCTAATATCTGCAAGGATCGCTTCCTCTTCCTGTTCAACGACATTCTCGTCATTGCCAAACCTCGTGCTGAGGATTCCGATACGTTCCTCGAGGTGACGAAGCCTAATCCTGCTGATCGGAAGTTCACCGTCAAGAATGTGGTATTGCTGCGACAACTCTGCTTCACCAGCGAGCGTGAGGAGCCGTGTTCGAGAGCCATCCCAAGAACTCCTGCAGTACAAGCCTTTGTCGAACAGTTCTCCATAGATCCGGATAATGCAGTCACATTGCTCTTCAGCAGCTTGGATCATCGTGACGACCCTGCTGCACTTGCGCAACTCCTGTTCAGAACACCACATATTGACAGGGTGCAGCTCGGTGATTTTTTGTCGCGGCGTACAAGCCGTGTTGTACTCAAGCATTATCTTGACGCCTTTGGGTTTATGGGAATGAGGGTGGACAAAGCCCTCCGGTTGTTCCTTCAGTCTATTCACATCCCGGAACGGGGCAGCCACGGTATCACTCCTCTAGACGTTCTTCTCGAGCCGTTCGCGAACCGGTGGTATGAGGCAAACGCAATCCACATTTCTTACGACAAAGATTTGGCCTACCGCTTCACGAGAGCCATCGTGCAGCTGAACGACGTCCTGCATGGTGCTATCTCTCATGAGCCGGGTCAGATGGGGCATCCTAAAAGGAATATTACTGCAAGAGACTTCCTTGAGGCTTTCCGACGTCATGACAATCGCTTGTCGGATGAGTTATTGGGAGATGTCTATGATTCCATCCGTCGTGAGCGCCTGTGCCAGGCGCGTAACTCAACGTCTGGCGGCCCACCAGAGATCACTGTCACCTTCAAACGCACACTTCCTCCGCGACTCACCTACCGGGTTCAGTCAGAGCCAGTCGTCATCCGTATCCCACAACCAGATCCGCAGTTCAGTATTGAGTTGTTTGGGCACGATTTGGTGTTTGACCCACCTGTATTGTCATTTGCGAAGTCGGCAGAAGCTTCCTTCCGGGTGACGGGGCGCGCTTTTGGACTGAAAACAATGTCCATGCTGCGGTCAGGTCCGAATGCCCTACTATATGCTGGCCTAGCCCAGAGTTACACTATAGCAGTGGAGCGCGCTTTCATGCGCAACACCTTTCAGGTGGCATTTTTGGATCACAATGGGGCCAAGCGCAAATATATGTTCAGTGTCACCGACCCTGTTGTTCGCCACGAGTGGGCAGTTTCGCTCAAACGGGAAATTGATGCTTCTGTCGTAGCCGCTGATCATCCCTACGGCATAAATTGGCCGTCCCCGCAGACGGCTCGGTTTTATAAAGCATCGTACAACATGTCTTTCAAGGTGTTGCAAGATACCCTACTCAAGCCATCTGCTTCCCTGGGCGACACCAGTCCCTTTCCTTCTAAAGTTGACCATGCACTAGCGCGCCTCACCTCATCCGGCCTTCATGCCCGCGACCAATCCAAAACATCTGTTCGACTCGGTGTGAACTGTACATCGGAGCCAGTGCGCTCAAAGTCTCGGAGCAAGGTGTACCATCGCCATGGACCTGGAAAGATGGAGTCGGAAGGCAACACCCTTGGCTTCCCTCACGAGAGCAGCGACGATTGCGGAGATGATCCTGACACGCAACTCAGGTCGGATGATCAATACTGGTCAGGAAAAGATTTAGCGATGTACTGCCAGCAAAATAGCTCTATCGCCCTTTTGCTGGCATACCTGCAAGTCAGCACGCCAGATGTTAACGGCTCACAATGACAGTCTTGTTTCAGTGAGACTTTTGCTTTGTCGTATATGCCGACCACTAAAACTTTGACCCAGTGTCTCGTGTTTGTTCCCGATCTCCCTTCTGAAATCTGTTCCTCATCTGTTCTCTCTATATCTCACGCATCCCGTTCATGTACATTCAATCGTTCCGCTTTTTTTCCATTCTACACATCACTATTGCTATATCGTCCACTATCATTACCGCATCTTCTCGTCTTTAAGTCACATTTGAATTCATGATACATTCTGGAAGGAAAGCACCACACTAAGCTCGAGTATTACATGCAAAAAATCAATTTGTTGATGTGTCACAGCCACGCTCGAGTCCATCTTCGTAAAGGAACAGCCAAAACAGCCTTTTCCGGCTTCAAAAGCTTCCGAGTCCGTGACCAGGGCTGTCCAGTGTCCAGTAACAGTTGTTCACCACTTTGAATCTTTTAAGTAGTTACTTGACTAGATGCCCCAGTAGGGCACGACGTATCCACTGCCTCGTGTCAAGTCCCAGTTCTTGTCTTTCCCTTGAGAGACAGGTCATGGCTCGTATCTATGCCGGTGCGAATGCACAACTGGGACGCTCGTGGTATGACTATGGTGAGTAAACTCTGTTTTCCCAGTTCTGCCACCGCATGAATTGGACAGACAATTTCCGAATCGAGTGGAGTTCTCCCGACCGCTATGAGATCGTCGATCGTGTAGGAGGCGGGAAGTATAGCGAGGTGAGAATTTTGTGGACATAATCCACGAATTTTCAGCTAACCAGTTCACAGGTGTTCGGAGGGTTGGATACCGCTAACTCCGAGACATGTATCATCAAAGTACTCAAGCCTGTAGCAGCAAAGAAGATCAACCGTGAAATTAAGATTTTACGCAACCTCACTGGAGGTCCAAATGTTGTTGCCCTTCTTGACGTCGTTCAAGATCCTTCATCAAGATACCACAGCTTAATCATGGAATATGTGGATAATGTAGAGTGGAAATCGCTATATCCAATCCTTGGCGAGGTAGATATCAAGTTCTATACTTTCCAGCTCCTTAAGGTATGTTCCATGACTTCATAAATCACCCCAGGAGCTTCTTTTAAGGCTAATCCACGAGGCCTTGGATTTTGTGCATTCGCGAGGAATCATGCATCGTGATGTGAAACCGGGAAATGTCATGATTGATCACCGACACCGGAAAGTACGTTCCACGTTTGCTCCGTCACGATGAGATCGCTGATTAGTTGAAATACAGCTACGCGTCATTGACTGGGGACTTGCTGAATTCTATCATCCTGGGACAGCATATCATATTCGGGTGGGTTCACGGTACTACAAAGCGCCCGAGCTGCTCGTGGGGTATAAGCTGTACGATTACAGCCTTGATCTGTGGAGCATAGGATGCATGCTTGCTTCGATGGTGCGTGACATTTTTGCGTTTCGCTCATATCCTTCTTCTAATTATTCGGTAGCTGTTTCGCAAAGAACATTTCTTCCGTGGTTCGGATAATAATGACCAACTCTTGAAAATCATGAGAGTTCTAGGATCTGACAGTTTCGATGCCTACTTGAAGACATATGATATACCATTTGAAACAGACATGGAAGCCCTTCTGCACTCGTCAGTGGCATGTGCTGGCACGCATTTCAATGCTGATATCTCGTTCCAGTTATCCAAGACAGCCTTGGGCACGTTTTGTTAATGCTGAAAACCAGCAGTTTGTGACGTCAGAGGCACTGGACCTTCTTGACAAATTACTTCGTTATGATCATCAGAAACGGCTAACAGCACGGGAGGCTCAAGCCCATCCATATTTCAGTAAGCACATTTATTTCCGCTATGCTTCTCTTCTCAAGCTATATACAGATCTGGTCAGACTCGAGGCAGCATCAATTAAAGGAGACTCAGCAGAGTACGTTAACGACTCTGGATTCTGCTCTATGTAAAGGAACTAGGGGGGTTATTTATGTAGGTGTACTCCTGGATCTCACGCTTGTAGAGAAGTTGTGTATCGGACGATGTTGTCACTATTAGGGTCAAGACACTTATGCTGGAGAATGTGATCAGAATTCAAGCACGCGGTGACTGCATCAAAACAGGAAAGTCCAATGAAGTGGCAACGTGTTCAGCCCAAACGAAAACGAGGTAAACACACGCTCTCGGATATGTTCAATTACTCCAGGCTTTCTACACGCCCTCACTCGCGTCTATCGTCAGGTCAAGGTGGTAAACTGATATAACGCACCACATTCATCATCTTTACGTCCTTCCAATCTAACCTGCGTCAGATAATGGACTCAGACTACATACATCACATCCGCCCCAGGGCAATTAGCAGTCCTCACCATCCTAATTCGCTTCCCCAACACAGGTGTGCCAAAATAGCTGAGCTACCGGTCTCTCCATCACCAGCAACCCGAGTACGCTTTCCGCCGCATGAAGATCGGAGTTGTCCACATGATTATACCAGCGCTCGTCCTGTCCAATGGAGACGCATAAATCCTCACGCACTGGCATGCGTCAAGGAGCAGGAGCACTACGTGCATGGCAGACATGAAAACCCAACAGAGCAATGGGTGAACGATCAGATCCACTTGGCAAGCCGGCCAATCCATGAGCGCCGCTGGATGAAGCCCACGGAGACAGAGGAATTTCGACATAGAATGCGAGATGAATTCCTATACGAATATGAGGTGGAAGCGCATGGGTGGATGTCATATGAAGAAGATATGAGACGAAGAATGCGGGAGCGCGAAGAGGAGAAGAACCGCCTGATACAAAACGAAGTTAGACGAATCCAAGCCCGCGTTCGCCAGCGGAGAGACAGCGAAAGACATGTTATTGCTGAAGAGCGAAGACGGGAAGCTGAGAAGGCGAAGGAAAGAGTGATGAGGGAGCAGGCGAGGCTGGAACGAGCAACAATGGACGCTTGGAATGTGTACGAGTTGCGATGGGTAGCGCTATCCGCTGCATATGACGGAATCGTTCTAAAATTCCGTGATATCCCGTGGCCACTACTTATTCCTCCGCTGACTCCAAGTGAAATCACTGCGGAGGGAATCGCGGCATTTATTTTGTCGACGGCCCATTCCCAAGAGCAGTCCCCGAAAGAGAGGATACGCGCTGCTCTCCTCCGCTGGCACCCAGATCGATTCTGTAGAGTGCTGGGGAGAGTGCGAGAATCGGAGAGGAATGCTGTCGAGGAAGGCGTAGGGATTGTGGTTCGATGCCTGAACGATCTTCTAACGAAGGATAACAAGGCCTCCCATATGGTAAGCACCGTTCCTCATCAAAAGTTCAAAACCTAGCACTACCGTCTGCTCACGGCCAGTCCACTGCAGGCTAGACGAGGATCGAGGTTATGAGTGAACCTATTGCACGACGCTGGCCGCGGAGTCGCAACTTGGGGTCAGCTCCCATACCTTGACACATTCCAACTACACTGTGTACAACAGCAAAGGACGTTCAAGTTCCTGTTAATAAAGTGTTTCTTCATAATAGACTCCAACATTAATTTGGATTTTTTTTTCTGAGGCAAGGTCTGAAGCCAGGAGATGGCATTGCATAATCAAGGAAAATTTAGTTACTCCAGTATTGGGAAATTTTATTTTTCCATCCTTGACTCTATGTAGACAGTGCAATATTCTAACACAAGGGCCTTGTGCTCCTGCTGCACTTCAAGGGAGAGCGTTACTGCGGAAGGCGGAGCGATGATACAATAGCTAAATAGCGCGAAGCTGGTTATATATGGTGAAGATACGTTGAGACTCCGAGTCGCTGTATATGTATAGACACAGGGGAGTAGTCTGACCACCTAACATACCGGGTCCACAACATAACTATCGTCGGTCGACGTCTTACTTAACGAAGTCGTGCGAGAGCGCGACACGACCACTCCATTGAAGAACGGAATAGACAAGCCATCTACGTACATTTGAAATCAGCAACAATACATTACTACCTGCCACGATACTTACGAATGATGATAGAACCAAGGACGACAAAGGACACTATAGGCTGGATAGTTGTAGCGAGGTACTGTGCTTGATTTGCAGGCGGGTTCTCTGGGGTGGGCAAACGCGTGAGCGCTAGGGTAGACACGAAGACTGCGCTGACTCCCATCTGCGACGCATTGATAAGTGATAAAAAATGGTATTGAACAGACTTACTGGACCTGTATACAAGATTCAGATACTTGAGGTGAAAGCGATATCATAGATAAGAGCTGCTCACCGAAGTGACCAGAGAATAGAGCTTCCCGCCAGCATGCAATCTCGGGAACAAATTTGTATATCGCCAATAAAGATGGAATTCGCCTGAAGATCATGATGGCGATCACAAGAAGAACAAGCTTCCACAGGCTGATGTCATATTCGGGAGAGTCATAGGCGTTAAAGGGTAGCCAAGCGCCAATGTAAATGAAACAACAACAGTTCAGCACATAATCTATGACAGAAGAGAAATCGTCATGTTCTATCTGTTCATGGAAGTGCCCATCCCAGGATATTGCACAGCCTGATGGGAATGTCAGACCCTACTAATAGGTGAAGCATACAGACTAGATGCAAACCTGCTGCAAATGCTGCAAGAAGATCATCCGCGCCAATGGTGCTCGCAATTCCCATAGTAAAGATGGAGAAAGCCAGGTACTGGGCGATGTACGATTTACGATCTATAAAGTCGTGATCAAGGGATTTCTTCATGAGTTTGGAGAATAAAAATCCTGAATCACAAATGCAATGCAATCAGACCAATGCATTCGGGTGAAGCGACATTCCCGACCTAGAACGGCTCCTAGAACGGTGCCAAGGATGACCTGGTCTGTGGTAAAGAAAGTTGAGAACTTTACGAGACGCCCAACACACAATAGCACAAACATAACCATCCCACCAAAAACCACTTGCCGATAGCAGTTCGAACGGACGTCTCTATGGTGAGGTATATGGATATTGCAAGAAAAGGGTAGGCAAGGCCGTCGTTGGCTGCGGCCTCAGCCAACAAAATGTGGCGAATATCCTCGCGAACATGTTGGTGGGCAAATTTACCGTCTATAGAGTATATGTAAGTATCAGGGGTAGTTCATGATTGGCCGGACTGACGTGTGATGGCAGCACATGTCACCGGGTCCGTAGGGGTCAAACAAGCGGCGATACAAAGGGCTGAGATGTAGTCGAGTTTCGGGAACAACACGTACATCACCGCTGACAACGGTGATCAGTAGGTACACGATTGCATCCGCGATGACTTACCAGCCACTACGACCCAGCCAAACGCCATGGTAGGCACAACCATTACCAACAAGCTCTTGGCATGCCTTTTCATATATGCAGGTGGTAATTCGACTCCAGCTGCAAATAAGCCGATTACAAGGACGATACGCATGACCTCTAGTGTTATGGTATTACTCGAGGGACCCCACGAATGGGGTGCGAAGATGTTGGTACCGAAAGGACCTATGATAATCCCGAAGGCGGTTCCTAAAACGACTTCATTGACATAAAGCTGGTGGAAACATGGGTCAATTGTCAAGGGATTGATAGCAATTACACACCTTCTCTTTGATTAGGAGGGACACTAGTGAGAACTGTGGTCAATAGTCAGCATACTACGGTATATCACAATTCTCATGGAGCCAGGTAGACAGCACCCGAAAACGACCGCTCGTAGTCAGCAAGAGCAACGACGCGCGTACTGCATGCATGCATGCGAAAGGAGCTGGAACGAACCAAGACTGTAAAGCCACCAAGACAAATGTACGAGATCCTCGCCGGCGACACCTGAAAGAAAAATGAGTTGTTGATGACAAAAGAACAGTCGCTGACCGCACGGACCTGGAGTAAATCTAAAGCCATGTTCAAGTGTTGTCGCAAAATCTTTCGCCTGATTCCAGTAGTATTTATCCAAGCAGACACCAGATTGCTGCAGTGCAACGGGGCCGGGAATTAACCATGGAGAGATATGGCAGCTGTTCCACCTTGGCAGACAGCCTGATAAATACAGTGACGGTAATGAATTATCCCTGAAATGCTCATCACGTCAATTACATTTATGTAAAGTTGATGAAAGGATCCACTCACGACCTTTAACTGCATGGCACCTGCCAGCAGCGGTGGGAACTAATGATGTACAGGAGTCCATGTATGGTTTCTCGATCGTGAACCCTTGTGCGAGTGAGCAACTTGAAGGTATTTCTCTTCTCAAAGTAGGTCAAGCTTTCTGTGACGCTGAGCCACCTCTGTGAACCGTAGGGGCCAACGGACGTTGTGATAGGGCTGATACGATGAAGCAGCACGAATAGGGCGCCGCGCGGTGGAGTCACTTACCAGGTTTGTGTGTTGTGCTGATTATAGTTGGAAATTGGAATGTAGGAGTCGCGATTGCGGTAAGTAGTTGATGAATAATCAGGAGTTCCGGATCCGGACCAATCAGCACTAGGGTGGCGCCATGGGCTGGCAGAGGGAGAGTTCGCTACAGCTGCATACATACAACATGTAAGGTGAACTGTGAGTGTGGTGCTACTTCCTCCCTGCCAAGTAAGCTTACATATCATTATCGACAAGGTTGTCGTAATTAATGTGCCAACAAAGTTTCTTGTACAGAAGTGCGCTCGCACCGCAGAAAGGTTTAGATAGAATGTTCGAGGCCAGGCAGGCTGTGTTGTATGCTACGTTCGTGCGCGTTATCGTATACTAGTAGTGGCCCTGGGTAACGTTAAACGACACTCGCGCGCCAAACCCCTGACTCCCATCTTTCCTATGGGGTCCCACATGTATCTCCATTCAGCACTTACAATATATACTTTTCAACGTACACATCGTTCGCATCCCACGAACCAGAAATGGTGGCACAAGAAGAAAGTGTCATTCGGGCATTTGAAGTAAAGGGGGATGCGAGGACTCGGAGAATGTCCACATGTTGGTTTCTCTGCTTAGCGTCGCAACGGAACGCCAAGAACAAGGTGCCCTCATGTTGAGTATGCCACAGTGCTCTGATGCTTCGAACAATCAGAGACAGTATTGAGCTGCAGTAGTGAAAAGACGTTATCACATGGGTGTTCATGCGGTCCGTGTCGAGAGCAAGTCGAGAGAGTGATCGAGCTAGGACAGCTGGCCTGGACAACGAGCATGTGGCGTTCACAAAAGAGAACGAGTGGGGATGGGATTTCAAGAGACATTTTCCGTAGTGGAAACGACCATCTGCAGGCAATAAGTTGGATCTAGATCAATCAGTGTCGAATACAAGAGCATGATGGATAAAAGATATTCACAAAAGCTCACATACATGAGGCCTTGAAGTCTCAATTAGACTATATGAGATATGCGAACGGGTTATACACGGAAGCAAGCACAGCATTAATATTCTTGCGCATCTTGTTAGTGATAAAAGTTCGACAAAGCCCTCCCTACTGATGTCAAGGATATACTCTGATTTGAGATGGATCGAGTACCATCTGTCCACTCTGGAGTCGGAAGAATGCAACTTATCCTCAAAGTGTCGGGCTGTGGACATATATATCGCGCACGCTTCATAATCAAGGGATGCCGCAGCTGGCTCTGTATTCGGGAGCGGACTGCGGATAGTACACAGCGCACGAGTTGGGGCGTTCCAGTTCGCTGCGTTACACCGTGTTCTACGAGGCTGAGCCTTGAGCAAGGGGTCGGGGACTTGACAGTCTGAGTGTAAACAGTTTTGTCCCTTTCACGAAAAATAATTTGTGGTGAATTATATTTGGCTCGGAACTAGTAAACGTAAACAGGTAAAGCGGGCGTCATCATGAGAAGTGACAAATCCAAATTTTTGGACTTTACTCTCGGATTTTGATTTTTGTCTGCCTCACTATGCTCCGGACTATAACACGACTGCCGCTGCGCAGATGCGTTCATACGAATGCCAGATCCTCGAGCACCCGTATATTTAAAAGTTATTCGAGCAGGCCTGGACTCGCACTGGGAGCTACCGTCACGTTTGCTGCATACATGGCTTGGTCGTTGAGCTCGGATAGTCAGCGGATATCACTTGATGCTCAACCTGTGTCCGGTATGCGTTCATTGAGATCAACAGCAGTGCTATTCTAACACATTCACAGCTCCCAAAAAGCTTCCGTCCTCCACAAATCCCTCACTTCCCGCTACAGACTCCCCTCCGCCTCCAATACAGACAGAAGAGACATACTCTGAAACGTCAGTACCAATACTAGAGGAGGACGCGGATAAAACACCACCGGCCGCGCCAGTAGAAGCACAGAGTGAAGAGCAGTCGTCTGGGGGAGCTTATAACCCGGTGACAGGCGAAATCAATTGGGACTGCCCGTGCCTCGGTGGAATGGCCCATGGTCCATGTGGTCCAGAATTCAGAGAGGCCTTTTCATGTTTTGTTTACTCTGAACAGGAACCAAAAGGTATCGATTGTGTGGAAAAATTCAAGGCCATGCAAACCTGTTTCCGGGAACACCCCGACGTATATGGGGAGGGTAAGCTTGTTTTCCGATTAGGAAGTCTGTTGTACTGATTCCGTGGCAGAAATTATGGACGATGATGATGAAGAGGAATCCCAGGGTCAAGCTACGCCCTCGGGTACTAAGCTTACTGAGGCGGAGTACGCAACTCTGGATAACGTAGCTCAGGAACCCGCGCAGCCCCAACATCCCCCGTCACCTGTTTCCACATCATCCGCCTAGAGCATCGTTATCTTAGAGTATCTTGGTTAATTATCCCTCATATATTCACCACTCAATATGGCAGCCTATATGACCATACATAGCGCATGGAATTCAATACAAGAAACTATGCTAAAGGTATATGGAATCTCGTGTCAGTTTGAGAACCGCTTCTCTATGACCTGGTCTTTCAACTTATAGCCGTTGGCAGCGAAAAGCTTTGAGCGCAGGAAGGTCGATGTATCATAGATGTCATGCTCCTTCGCCTAGAGAACCAGTGAGTTCATGGCAGTTCCTACAAAGGTACGAACCACTCACCCGTTCATCAAGCTCAGACATCTTGACCGTGATGAGCTCAGGTTGCTCGTGTTTCTGTAGTTGATGGAAACGGGCCTTTTCCTTCACAATCTGGCCAAGAAGGAAAGCTAAGAGTTCTTCATAGTCACGAGCTTGCGTCAAGTATTTTCGGAAGCCCTGTCCAAACCATCAGTGCCTTTCCTGATAAAGTGATAACGTACTCACCCTTTCAAGGGTCTTTTTGATTGACATCTTTTGAGTGCTGACGAAGCTCCCTACTGCAACGGAGATCGCCATGTCAATGTCATCAGCGCGAACGTATTCCCGTAGGGACATTTTTGCACTGGCTTCAGCCATCCGAATCATGCTCTCCAGGTGTCGGACGGTGATGGGGTATGAACCTGTTGCCAGTGACTCGCGACGAAGATCAGAAAACAAGCGCGCTAATTTATCCTGGTCCATGTCATAGAGCTTCGGGCGTATCTTCTCTCGGGCGTACATGATGTATTTACGGAGGATATCTTGGGGTATAATCTGTCTAGACTGTTAAGGAGGGCCACAGCTTCAGGGACTGAATAGACTTACATCAGCATCAAGGGTGGTGCCAACATCCATCTCATCTCTGTCAGCTTCGAATCTAGGGTGACTGCGGAGGTGACTTCCAACAACGAATCGGGCTAGTAGCTCGTCTTGCACAGGATCCACGTTGTCTTTGACAACACACAGCACGTCAAACCGAGACAGGATGGGTTCTGTCAGCTCGACGTTTTGCTGGAAGGGAATTGTCGGGTTATATCTTCCGCGAATCGGGTTAGCAGCGGCAATTATGGCACATCGAGCTTGCAATGTCGTGACGATCCCAGCTTTCGAGATTGAGATGGTTTGTTGTTCCATTGCTTCATGAATAGACGTCCGATCTGCATCATTCATCTTGTCAAACTCATCAATGAGACACGTTCCTTTGTCGGCAAGGACAAGAGCGCCTCCCTCCAGCGTCCATTCCCGAGTTACGGGATCCTTGCGGACGCTGGCAGTCAGACCAACAGCCGATGCACCCTGACCAGTCGCGAAAACAGACCGGTGAGCTGTCTTCTCTGCGTACTTCAGGAATTGTGACTTCGCCGTTCCAGGGTCGCCCAAGAGCAGTACGTTGATGTCACCGCGAAGGCGGTGTTTACGGTTGATGTCTTTCGTAACACCACCGAACAAGGAGAGGGCGAGGGCCGTTTTGATGTCTTCATGCCCGTAAATCGAAGGTGCAATAGACTTGACGATACGCTTCCGAATACGTTCGTCTCGTGCGAGGGCGCGCATCTCCTTCTCGTCTTCTTCAGTAAGACGGAACGCTGCAAACAGATCTTCCTTTTTGTTGATGTGGTTGGCCTCGATGATTGTGGAGAAGACTGGGAACCCGTTCTTCGAGTTAAGAGAGGCGTCAAAGTTGTTCCTGTATATCCCAGTCACTTCCTACGCTAACGTGCTTAGTGCCGGTTATCGAAAGCGCCCACGTTACTTACAATCTCCTCTCCAGGCTTTGCCAAGTCAATGAGGTCCCATAGGAGGATAACTTCACGATGCCTTGGTAGACGCCCCGGAGGGACTGACCCAGGGGACTCCTGCAGCGTCATCTTCTGGTAATTGCGGTACACCGTCTGTCATGAAGCATTTAGCAGGTATCGTCATAAGTTCGAAATACGACTGACCTGCTCGGAGTTAACAGGAAATGGGCCTTTGCTCTCGCAGTTGGCGCAAAAGCTAACTCTGACCTCCTTTGTTGCATCCTGGTAGAATGGACCGAGAACAGCACCACATTTTCGGCAGTCAAATTTAACGTATTTAAGCTGCGGGAATACACCACTTCGTCGAGTTACAACACCAGTGACTCGGACTAAATTGTTTAGGTTAGAGCGTCGGAGATCACGGAGTGAGGAGCTCAACGGAAGATCTGCGATGCGAACATGAACTTCCGAGTGGATCCGTTCGTACGATGGGTAATACACGAGAATCGCATTCAGCGCGACCTCGTCGAAGATTGTAAGCATGGCGGCCGGGGAGTTTGTCAGAAAGTAAGCCAGGATAGGCTTAGACATTGCTAGATGAAGATAAGATACTTCCAGTGACTCGGCATTTGCTGCAATAGACCATCAGTAACTCTGCAAAAGGTATAGACTAATAATACGGACTTTCTCCAAGATTACGAATGCGTTGACCGTAGACCGATGCGCCGTTTTCGTCGACGTAGGTCATCAAAAACTGCCGGAAATGTTTGACAATTGATCGGCGAACACGGTCATTCGCAATCCATTCGACGATAGATTTAGCCTTGATGTCACTCAGTTGCTCAAGGGGTATTTCCTAAAAAAAAAAAACATGGATGAGTACACGTCCGACTGACCGCCAAGATTTTCACCAACATCGTCTATACCATCCACATCATCTACATCACGACGCTCGTCATATTGTCGCCTTGTGCGACGCTTCATTCTCGCAACGCCGAGATCATCGCCAAGAGCATCTTCATCGTCCATGTCATCATCCTCCAGGAACTGAGGTGCACGGCCTCTATTAGCTGCTCGGGTGCCTTGCTTTCCTGTGCGTTCAAGGCGATCGCGGCGATTCATCTTGGCTTCAGCCGCTCGTCGAGCTGCTGCTGAAATTTCGTCAAAGTTTCCTTCATCATCGATATCTTGGTCGGAGTAGCGATCCAGTAGTTCGTTTGGTGCATAATCTCTATTTTCAGCAGGGTAAAAGTGAGATATCTAGAAAAATATGGACTTTGACACGCACTCTTCGAGGGTGTCCGCAAACAAATCTTCGCCTTCACCGTCGTTTTCATCATCCTCATCTATATCACGTACTCCGTCACGATCATCCAAGCTATCATCTGTATCGGAGAAGGGTGCTGGAGGCGAAGACGGTGGGAGAGACGATTGTGAATCACTCCGTCTTGGAGTAGGACGTGGAGCTGGGGATGAACTGGGAATGGGAGGCGACCTTGGACGCTTCGCACCTCTAGGGGTCTGTGACTATGATGTAGAAATTTAATAAACATCAGTCCGATTTCTGTGTCTTCCGTGCTCACCATGGTGAATAGCGATAATGCGGGGAGATGGCAAGAACAAAAACACGCGTCGCGACGCGTTCAATTGTCGGAATTTTAAATTTAAAGCGTGTTCGGTTCCCACGCAAGGATGTGATCCATCCGTGCCGACCAAATCATTCCTGGAATCCTTTGTGATATGCCTAGCGTCGACCTCGAAACCGCGATCAAGCAAGAGGAAGAGTACCTGCGCAAGGTTCATCCTACCGTGGATGATATTCCAGGGTGCATGACCCTGTTTGATGAATTTTTGCAATGCCATGGTATGCTCTAAAAACGCTTCAGAGTGCTGGTACTCATGAAACTTTCAGTTCTGGGGACTCAAATAAAATCTTTATACAGATACGGTCAAATGTCAGAGTGTGGAGTTAAAAAAGAGGACTTCAAATTTTGTATGAGCTTGAAATTCATGCACCCAGAACAGAAACGGGACGCTTGGATCCGCCGCCGTGCCGAGTGGTGGGCTCACAGACGACTCGGGAAGAGTAGCGAAAATGTGTGGGATATGAGGAAGTAATGTCCACCCTTTGAGGTATTTCTTCGCTTACTGAATTTACTTCAAGGAGTCCTCTACCAGACTGGCCCCCAGCCCTTTCGGACAATGTTCCAGAGAATGTTGAAACTATCTCGTGAATGATCAGAATGACTTACCCTGCAGACTCTTATAGGGGAATTCGATAGCCCTGTTATGTTTCTCATCCACGTGTGCATGGCGGCGCTTGGTCTGTCTCAGGCGGGACGCAACCTTTGGCCTTCAAACACAGTGGCCCTCTTCGCGAGGAAACAAGTTCCACTCTATTGAGCTCACATTACACTTATTTCGTTCTCCCTTCTGATACACTCAACTTATTTGCATAACTGTGTGTTCACAGCTGAAGTTCTCCTGAACACTGAAACCAACTCTCTGGATGTCAGCAAGACTAGAATATCGCACGTTCTTTGAACTATCCCAGATAAAGAGCTGCTACTTTCTGTTCGCTTTGATTTTCAGATACATCAATATGGTTGTGCGCATCTACTTTGGCAGCACAATCATATGCACTTTGTGGGAACGTTCCAGGTAGGATTTGTCGCATTTTTTAAGAAGTCGTGAGGACGGTCGGGAGAACTAAGTTGAAGTGCCTTTGTATGAACCCACCATCCAGCAAGTCCGGCCGGATCCTCTGCAAGCGAATGCAATCGAGCCTACAGAGCTATAATATTCACGTCTCCGCGGCTGCACTACCATTTTTGGTGAGTGTCCCTAACATAATTTACTGTCACATTTTCATCGCACCCGTGTTTCGAATACACGGCGGCCTGTCTCTCGTCATCTCGTATCCGAATCCAAGTCAGTGCAGGAGGACTATTGCTTACTCCAATGTTGTTATTCACTTGCCCCTTTGTCCACTCGGATCTCTCACATGCAATTGATTGTCTTTTGTTGCTCGTACACGATCTATTATAGCTCGCGCGTCCTCCCATCGCTTTCAGTCGGACTTGGCAATGACGATGTTTTCATTTGTATGATTGTACCCTTCCATGTCAGTATATATAGCTCAATTTCACAGCAGGATCGGCCAAGTGTGTCTACATCAACGGATCAAGTTGGGAAACGGGCTTCTTGACCGCCCCACGGGCAACGCTGTGAGATCATTTTTTCCGATACAAATATTCGCTAACATGTTAGTACGGAAGGGACGACCGTCTTCCTTCGTCTATGATCCGCTATGGAAGGCTTGGCCAACATCTACTTGGCCCAATGAAGTCCATTTTTTCAGTAGGTGCCGGTGTGACCCTTGACAAATTGTGTCTAGCCCGTGGATGTCGGATCTAGATGCTGCTCTAATACTGATGAGTCAAAAGTTAGTCATGCATATGGCCATCTTTTTGCTGCCGCCAACATTTACTAAGTATGTATGGATGTACGCAGCAGTCCTTCAAAGGGCTCATTAGCACGATATCATTGATCATCAGGATGCCCATATGGTCGTTGTGGTACTCGCTGCCTTCTAAATGCTAAGATCATCTTCGTCCTTGGCTTGGGACATGCAATGCTGGGGTTAGTACGCCACGTTATTTAGATCTCACCATCGTGAGTTTCTTCTGTAGGCCTTGGCAGATTCAAATGCGATCACGGGTTGATGTGGCAGTACCGGTGCTATTTTTTTGCGGCCAGACCATCGCGCACTTGCGCCGACCAAAGAAGCTGAAGGTGTCTGGGTCGAGGGAGTGCCTTCTAAGATGAGTGAAATATATTGACTTCTATCTCGGAAGCTGCACCAGAACGAATTCCAGGTTGTTGGTATGGTCGGTCAGGGCCTCCTCCAAAGCCGAACCAGTCTCCCCAACCTGGACAAGAGGTATTCGACTTCTTTCATGCGGGAGCTCCACCCACATTTCCGCACACTCGTCAGACTTCTCCGCCAGTATTACGCGCGAAGTCTCGTAGAACTTGAGATTTCAGTTCCACAAGGGTTCTCTCTGGAATACCACCTGTCTTCTGCACATCCTTTCCCCAAACGCTTCCCATTTCCAGATGGACTTTCTGGGTATAATAAGTTGGCGCTGATTCTTTGTCGTTACTTTTTTAAGCACAAAGGCTTGCTCAGAGCGGTGCCTCCAAGCAATTCTTGGATGGGATAACTCGCACGACTGGTCGGGTCCATCCAGTCTTATGTTCAATAAGGACTTTCCCCGCAATCTAAGAACAAGAGGTATGCTCTTGTTCCAAAATCGGCCTTTCTCGGCCCCTATGGGACTGGATTGCGCGATTCTGAGCCACTACATTTTTCCTGCATCTCTGCATCCTTCAGTGCACGCTCATTTCCGGGGTTTTCGCGCGCATTTATCACCGTCGGTATTGCCCATCGGTTCTTTGATCGAATACGAATATAAGGAAGAAGATGTTTTGGAGATGGACAAGGGAGAAGCGACGTTTTTTTGAATCACAGGATATGAGTGATTTCATGATATGAAGCACGCTGTAGATAACGTTGATTTCTATTTATAAAGTCAATTCAGTTGAAGACATCTTCGATGACCGAAGCTAACGTTGATCAACAGAAGGTGACGAATATTCTTGATTAATATTGTTATTACATAGTTACTGGCTGTGACGTTATAAGACTTATGATCTTCGGATCCCTCAGGATTTTGCAAGTCAAGTTGTATTACTGACAACGTTGTCTATCTTCAGTGCTCCGATTGGTACAGTCAGCATGATAATTCCTGTAGAGTACACACAACATAAAAAAAAATAGATGTACCGCAAGCTTAATACTTGCGATACTCGTCCAATACACTATGTTACGATCCCTTCCGTTTTCTCCCCCTACAACTGTATACAATATGATGTCCATGACACGTAAATCTCCTCTCCCATCGTATACCGCTCGTGGAGGATCGCCTGAGAATGAACCGAGCGCGTTTCATTCCAGTAGTGTACATCGTATCTCCAGGATTCTCCGTTGATCATGTTGCCTGACATGTGTGTTCATAGATAGTCGTCCAATGAATAAAATGTGATGAGTGTCCCAGTATTGGGCCGCCTATGCGGACTTTTCTGAGTCACTAGGCCCCGAGTATTTGCGCTCTATCTGGGCCTCCTCTGCATCACGCATGCCACCGGCATGCCAGTCGTCAAGATAGAAATACACAGCTGGTAGGCCCACGAAGAGACCTCCAATAATGTTACCAATCAAAGACGCAATTAGCGACCTGAGAAAGTAATCAGTAAACATTGAGATGCACTGAACAAAAGACTTGGTGCATACTTGCGAATGTACAGGTCGGTCGTAAGCTAGAAAGCAATTAGAAATGTACGAAGTGAGGTTAGCATGTGAAAGACGTACCTCAGAGTGAAGCATAATGCTCAACGGGAGTGAAAACATATTTGCGATAACTGGTAAAAAGTATTGGTGAAAGTTTGAAACCGAATGTTCTGCAACTTACCATGGTCGAAGCCGCAAGACACGAAGACCTAGAGAACATAAATCAGTCAGGATCACCACCTTTGTCGATTTTACGAACCCAGACGGGGAACCAGATAGCTATGATTTTCGACAAAGTTTCTTTGGCCCCCATTCCTTGCTAAACACCGCCCGTGTGAGTAATGAGTCGGAGCAACACGACAAAATACGTACCCAAACGGCTATGCAAACAAGCCAGTTACAACCAATGCCGCGAAGGAGAATCTGATACCAGGCAGGTGTGATGGCTTTCGTACTAGCACAGGGTTGAGACAGTGGGATTTCCAGATTAGGATGAGGTGACTCACATAGCGAATGACTTTACGTATGAGGCATAGGGATCATTCACCATTAGCCCATCGTCTGTATGAACATGTTAAGCTATACGATAATCCAAGCCAATGAACGCGAACTGACATTTCGAAAGGATTGCTGCAAAGAACAGACTGCCAACGAGATTTCCGAAAAAGACTGACACAATAGTATACTTAGTATCTGAATAAGATCCGGCTTCGGCCGGTACTTACCAACAATCCAGTTGAGGGGAACGCCCCACCAGGGAATCGCTCTCTTCAATGCAGCCATGGGGAAGATCTATAAGTTGCGTGTCAATGTGGTTCTACACCAGCGCTAAACTGCCTACCATAAGATTACTGGTGAGTAGGTCAAAACCCTGGAGCACAATCCTGCGGAGGGTTATAACAATTAAGCCATGATACGATGGTACCGAAGCCGTCGGTACCTACATAACGAGTCCGACAGGGAATACGAGACCGCCAAGGACCTTGACAATTCCTGGATTCGAAGCTGTCAGACCTGGAGAGCCACCACTAATAATAAGATCAAGGAGGCCGCCGAAGGACAACATAACACCCGCAAGGACCTAATAGCAAAATTAAGATTTAGAACACATGCATGCACTTGTTACTTACCGCCTTGAAGAAGGTCTTGTCCAACCGGGTGTTGTGCTTGGCTACAGCTTGCTCGACCAGAGCAACAGCCACTTCGGCTGGGGTGAGAGTGAGAGCGCTTGAAATGGACATTGGAGCAGTGGTAGTGTGCGATCCGCTGAGGTCCAAGGGGGATGCAAGATTCGAAATGGTGGCATAGCCTAGCATTTATATGTTTACAAGGTCCTACACCGGTTCACGGTTCCTGACAAGCGAGATACCAAAATAACTGGATTTCTCGTGTGCAGTTACTACTAGTGGGCCCTGGGATCCCGATCCCTGCCAAATGGATCTGCACATTTGGATTAAGGGCCGAAATTCAAAGTTGGGCACACACGGATATCCCTTGGCCCAACCCCATCTTCCCGCCGCCATGACAGCCCCCGACTACTATAAACGGTGACAAACTATTACCTAAACATCAACTCCTTTTAAGCTTTCAGTCCCCAGGATATTTATGTCATGTGATCATTCAAATATGATTAAATAAAATAACGACATGTAGATTAATACTCTATGCTGGCTGGTGTTAGTCTAAAGTCCGATGAATGTCTAGGGTTACTATGTTTAGCATATGCCCTGTGTCGTTTAGCATTTGAAATTTAAAATGTACGCGGGAAGATGGTATTTTAGCGAAGGGTCATGGGTGTGAGCGGTGCCGGTGAGGGGCGGTTGGTGTGTGCGCCCAACGTCCTTATTGAGTGATCAAGGGCTTACCAGGGCAGCAGCACGGCATCACGGCAGAAATGGCAGCAGAGACTTGTTCGCCGTGATAGCTAGCCTTATTAGCCCTACCGCATTGCATTACTGACAGCGCGACTTTTCCCTGGACGGGCCCAAATAGGCCTGTCTGTCAACCGTCGTTAATGACTAAGCCTTCTTTCCGACCTATTTCGGTTTCTCGTAGCATCACAATCAACGTTCCACCATTCAATAATAATTCAATTGCACCACTATGCAAAATGTAATGGACTGATGACGGACTAATAGAGCCTAGTGGAACTTGAGTGGTGCTATCATTAACTGGCATTGTACTTATATTGAATCATACAGCCCAAAGTTCAAATCACACGACCAGTGATATCTATACTGCAGAAAGGCCCATCAGAAGAAGTAACTTCAGGTCGGCTCTGTGATTACCGACGAATTGGCGACGCATTCTAATCGGATGTGGTAGGCTAGGGCAGGCTGTACGAGAACGTGAAGAATTTTGTTTATAGCAACAAACCGATTCTCTGCCTTGGAGATATATATTGTGGGCCTCAGGGTCTGGTTATCTTCATGGCATATTCTGTTCGGCGGACAATCAATCACTAGTCAACTTGGCAATGCACACTAGTACTGGGCCGAGCCAGGCCGCCTCCGTGCCCGATTCCGAAGAGGCTCATTCAATAATGTTGATAATGTTGATCTGTCTAACGGAGTCGTCTATTATGCTCAGGCAGTGCATGTTTCTCCACTTGCTGACCGTCATCAGGGAAACGTAATTCATTACACATGATTACAGAGTGCTACAGTAATGTTGATCTGTCTAACCCGGGAGTCGTCAATTATGTTCAGGCAGTGCATCTTTCTCCACTTGCTGCAATGCAATGCATAAGCTCCGTTATGTTCTTGCAGTTGATTGGCAGATCAGTTGTCTGCGCAATCTGCCTTGATCACGATATCGATAACTGTGTGGTTACGAGCGGTTACAATTCATTTACAAATCCCAAATCGGTACCCGGGCTCTCACATGACGATGGGAGACTTGGCATTGATGGGACCAAGTTTGTCCGCGTGTGTGTGTAAATACCAATAATTTTAGAGGCTGTCTATACCTTGGTCCGGCGCAATCAGTTTCAGAATCACTTTCTGGGAAAGAAATCCGACGTTTCGTTGCTACATTTCTGACGACGCTAACCGAGTCAAACAAGTCCACGTCCCACAATCGAAGACGCCCATCGGAGCCCGCCTGGACACCGGCTCATGTGATGACGAGTGGCCGAACCAAATATCCCATTGCATCTAGAAAAACCTTGCACACGGGTCGCAGTTGTCATTCTTGTCCAGAATGTTTGGCAAGATTTCGTCCACTGATGAAATTCTAGCTGTGTGTGTGTGATGGTCGCCCATGGACACAAACCAATACAATCAAGGTGATCAATTCAAAAGTTCATATGAGGGTATCTATTAAATGCGCACGATGCACGCTTCCATGCATCCATACTTTGACGTACTAGCCATCAGTGTGGTCTCACTTCTCTCCAGATCGGTGTGATAGCTTGGGCGACTGTATTAGCGGCAACCTCGAGGCAGCTGCGTTCTACATCATCCCGAATAGCTGACCACAGCTTACGGGCACGCCATCTATCCGGGTGGAAACGCCGATGGCTTCTTTCTACGAAATCTTTGTAATCTTGAGGTCGCATGGAGGTCTTGACAGTTGCAAAAAATCTCTCCACTGCAGACCAGTCGACATCCTCGACTGTTAGACGGGAAGGATGATGGAGCACAGGCCACGGGATGTCAAGAAAAGTGATCGGCTGATCAGGCGTGAACTTCGCAGCGTCAAATTCTTCACTGAGAACCCTGTATCGTTCCAGGGCTCGATGACTCGTCCACGTACCAGACTCCCAGCGTTGACGCTGTTTAAACCGGCGCTGTTCTTGCCGTCGCCTTTCTTCTTCTGCATCACGTCGTTCAGCTTCCGCTCGGAGCTGGCGTGCCTGACGTTCGGCCTCCTCACGTTGCTGCCATTGTCTTTCTGCCTCAGCTCTTCTCCGCTGTTCGGCTTTGGCCTGGCGCTCCTGTTCTTCAGCACGCTCAAGCGCCTCACGCTTCCTTCGCTGTTCTTCCCAAAGAGGTCTATCCCGGTCAAGTTCTCGCATTTTGCGAATGGACTCTGCAAGCTCGGCTTGGCGCATTGCCTCTTCGTCCGACTCTTCACTCTTACGAGACTCGGACTGCTCTTGCGAAGCAGCGGGCTGAGGATATGTCGATTGCGCATTATGATCACTCACTGAAGAAGAAAAATATGAACCGTTGAAAGAGCAGAGTGGGACCAGTAACATACGCAGTTCGTCGATATCGATCGGGTAATAATCAGCAAACACTTGTTTGAATCCCTTTTGATGGCGTTCGTCCATTGCCCTAACTTTTGCTTGTTTTCGTGTTTCCCGTTTCACCTTCGACTGATTGAAAGCCTGCTTGGCCTTACTTGGTGATATGGTCCGCTGACGCTTTCGCGCATGGCCATTGGTAGGGGTATGTTTTTGTGGCAGTTCGTCGTCCGTGTCAGCGGTAAATCCGTTTTCTATCGCCCTCGTCAGACCGCTATAAAGAGTAGAGATTGCAACAAACTTTTTCGCTTGGCATTCTCTTCAGCTTGCGGCACAGCAGGCCCAGTATTGCTCTGAGATGCAAATTGTTCCGCGTCCATGGACATCGGTTGTCCGTCAGCCTGAGACTCTTGGCTATATTTTGCTTGTGCTCCCTTAATCTTCTGCCATCGATTGTCTCGCTCCTTTTTTAATTCTTCTCTTCCAGATCGTACGGCATTCGACAGGGGCTTAGTTCTTGGACGAAGAATGCCATCAACAATCATTTGTTCCACTTCTTCTTCGTCCCCGTCAGATTCGCTGTCGTTGCTGTGATCATCACTGTCTACACGAGCGCGCCGCGAACGCGCTCTTTTTCTCGGAAGCAGGTTATCCGCTTCAGGGGTAGGCGTGCGTGCGCGTGCGCGTTTTGGGCCTGGCAGTGAAGGAGCTCTAGAGCGCTGAGCCTTAGGGTCAACCCTCACAACAGACGTAAATTTAAAGCCAAAGTGAACAGTGCACCGATATTCCGGGTCCAGCTTGTAAATCTCCCATTGCTCTTGGTAGCAAAACACGTGTTCTCTGAAAGTACAGCATTCCAAACAACTGCAAGGACATATATCGACGATATCGCTCACCCGCATATTTCGATTACTCGTGGCCAAAAGCCCTCATCGCGCACATCTGCATCCAAGCGTGCTTTTGGCACAAACCTCCAAAAGCTCGTACCTTTGGGTGTTGTTTCGATGACAATACGTTTGGGAGGGGGAAGATCCTCGCCGATAGATAGTTTATGCAGGTCTGGGATATCTTCGCCAGCAAGAGCGGTACGTGGATCGAAGGACGCGAAGGAGAGCGTGGAATCTGGAGCACGCAATAGACGGGAGGGTTGGGTCGGGTCAAGAAGACCAGGTTCAGTGCCACGAATGGTCCGTGGCGCATATAACGGTCCCGTAGTAGCCGGCTGGGAGCCCATTAGACGAAGCTAGACTGCTTGAAAAAGGCTACAGAAAGAGGTTGGAATGATGAAAGAAAACTATGTACCTTGCTAGTACCATTCGATAAATTTAAGGGTAGGTTAAGTCATAGCGTTCAGCGTCACGTGAGAGTACAATAGTTTATAGGTGGCCAGATATAGTATTCATTCATTCACTGCAGTGACCAGTCAAGACTCTTTTTGTCCAATGCGATCCTTCGTATGATACATTGTTTTCAAATAGAGAGTATGTGACGGTTGCGTGCCGCGGCAGACATGGAAATTGGACTGCGGCATGTCGGTAACGAGGTAACCAATCCATAGTCATGAGATTCGTGTAATGATGCACATAATGTATTTTACAAACTGAAGGTCACAATGCTAAGTGTGGAGGAAGATATATATAAAAGATAAAAGTGGTATGAGATAAATGAACCATAATGATAATGCCAAATTCCAAATGCAATGGTAATGCTGATGTCGATGATGATAATGTGTAGGTAATGGCAACAAGATGAAATGTAATAGTCAAGATTTCAATAGACGTTATATTCGTTCGTAAACATGGGCTAGGACATGGAATATGTTGCACTGTCCGGGTACTCACAGCGACCTTCAAAGTACCCAGAGCCATATGTCTGTAAAAACTCCTCTAGTTCAGCTGATGCAGAGTTCAGATCGTTCCCGGAGACAGGCTGGTATTGAAAGTCCACGTCGAAGGCGGGAATGGACTGCTGAGAGTTGACATCGGGATCCAGCTTCGGGTCGAACTGCGGCATGCGGGAGGCGGAGAGATCGACAGGGACAGTTGATGGTTGGAGGTAGTTGAAGGTGGGGGTGGGGAGCTGAGAGGGCTGTTCGTAAACGGAGGTGAAGCTCTCGGCAGGAAAATTGGGGAAGAGTCGCTCCCAGGAGAGTTCGGTGAACTCGCCCGAAAACTGGGGGATGCCGGAGTCGCTGGACTCAGCGGGTGAGAGCGCATCGCAGGGAATGAGGCCTCCGAGACCATTTAGATCCAGCGATGCAGGAATATCTTCCTCAGGCTTCATAAACTGAGTAGATGGGTAAGGTGCGGCGGCGGATCGTCGAGCAGCTTTGCCCCCGAGGTTGCGACGCGCCTTGGGCTCGTAGCCGTGTAGGTGCTTGCGGTGACGCGTCAAGCTTGCTGGATCGGTAGTGGCAAACGCGCACCCAGGGTGGGGGCACGTCTTCGAGCGTTCACGGGTGTGGGTCCTGATGTGCGTCTGCAGGTTGGACTTTTGGAGGGTCTTGTAATTGCAGTCAGGGAATGGACATGCGTGCATACTGATCAAGATAGCAAATGGGTCAGGAACCATCTGGTACAATAGGGTACGAGTACGTACAAAGCCTCCTTGTGTTCATCGTGCATACGCATGTGTCTGGGAAGATCTGCCTTGCGGCTTATGGTCATGTGGCAGACATGGCAGTCAACAGATGTCTGTAGAGAAAGTGTCATCAGTACAAGACGCATGATGCGAGGTAGGCTGAAAACGTACCATGTTACGTCCTGCAGCAGGCATCTCGTGATAGTGTTTGGGAGGAGAGAAGCGGTTGTTGTAAATGATCTGCGGGGTGAAATTAAACCCTTGAGGTGAATGAATAGCGATTGCGTTGTGGCAAATTTACACATCCTGCGCATTTCTTTTAAAGCACCAGGGGTGCTATGGACATCGAGTACGATTGCTTTTCTGCGGCGCGCGTTTCTGCCTTTAAAGGCAAAAAGCGCGAAGCAATCGTGTGCGATGGTCTGAGCATAAGGGACGAGCCACTCGGTTAGCAGGGAAGGCAAAAGAGCTGGCAGAGGGTCCGATTGCGTCTCAACACTTTTCATGTTTTGCCTTGTAAGGTAATTTCTGGTTACCTGCGACGAGTGGCTCAGTGAGTCAGTGCTCAGTGCTCAGTGCTCCTAGTCAGGCCTCATGCACATGAATGAAGGAAAGTAGGGGCTTACAGGTGCTTCCTAAAAGATTACCACCTCGAGGCGCGCCTAAAGGTATTGAGTTTCATCCCGGTGAGTACTAGTCTCTGGGATAGTGTTCGCAGTCACCAACGAAGTTGGGGAAGAATTAAACAAGGACCCTTGAAGTCACAAGTGTTTAGGATCACGTGAGAGCGTATAAACAATTCATTTAATTTACATAAATCATTCAGAAGCAACACGGAGTCACTGCGGCTTGCGTCGTGAAACAAGCTTCCAGCTTCCTAGTAAGGGACGTCAACAACTAGTGTAGGGGGCAGAACCACTTTTCTGTGTTATCGTATCTAAATTATATCTCCGTAAGTCTCGGATACCCTGGGGTTCTGCCAGCCTTGCACCCGAGTTCTGCCGTGGGCACCACCAGTTCTGCCAACAACACTATCAATTGCAGCCTTTAAATGGTCGTTTCTGCTCTTCCGGATGATCTTTTGAGCGGTTTTATGTTCCCATTGGCAGGCTACCCCCTGTGTGACGGCATCGAGGGTGACGTGACTCACTTGGCTGGTCATTCTGACTCAACATGCACCCCATAAAGAGCTGCTAGAACTAGTATTGCTCACAATACTTATCTGCTCGCCAACTCATACTAATAATGTCTCTAAAGAGCTTTCAATCCGAAATTCAGGAGATCTATGCACGGGAACTTGCCCGCCAACGTGGCCAAGCCAGTGGAACTCCTGCTCCTCGTAATATACATTCCAAGAAAACACAGATACTCGAGGAATCTAATATTGTGGGTGAGCCACCTCCATCCAGGGATGCCGGCATCGAGGGTGAGGTTGAAGCAGTCCTGGTACTCCACCTTCCATTATCATGTTGTACATTCGCTCAAATCTTCTCAGGCATTACTATCTATCCATGACTATGACCGAGCACGCACCTCCGTAGCACAACTTATCACTGGACGCAAAGGCGAATACATATTCCGCATTGGCTGTCAACCATCCCATGCATCGCTCTTTGCCGGAGAGAGCGTGGACGACGCAACAGGATGGTCGGGGGTCCCACGAACAGACGTCGAAGTCGCTTCATTGCAATCATCAGTTAAAAGGGTTGTGGAAGAGCTGGGGGGAAAGGTGTGTTATCTATTTATGTATAGGAAGCATGAACTTATCTCCAATAGGTATCCGTTCTTTTTGAGACTACTGACGGCCACCATCCACGTGCAACTCTACTACTACGATTACCTCCGCCCAGCATTGAATTAGTTCCCGAGGTTCGCTGTGCTGTTGTCGGGAATGTTGATTCGGGAAAGTCTACAACACTAGGAGTTCTAACACGTGGTATGATACACACATGCATGCATGTCTGTCTCAATCATCTGTTTCTTCTCAGGTCCTCTGGATGACGGGAGAGGCCGAGCTCGTGTAGCTTTATTTCGGCATAAACACGAGATTGAAACCGGACGAACATCCAGTGTGGGGATGGAAGTAAGTTCATGTCCCCACCAGCCTACAGTGTCCTACATCTTTTTACCCAGATCCTTGGTTTTTCGACAGCTGGAACCCCGGTACTCCCATATATACTGCCGTCTGCTGACGCAAACGTGATTCGACGCGATAAACTGGGCTGGGACGAAATTTCAGCACAGTCAGCCAAGATAGTTTCATTCAGCGGTAAGTCCGTTCGACGTGACTCTGTTTCGTATATACAACTCCATTTTGTAGACCTTGCAGGCCACGAGCGATATTTGAAAACTACTCTGTACGGGTTGACGTCCGGGGCGCCATCATGTGTGATTCTTATGGTCGGTGCCAACGCTGGGCTTATTGGTATGTCGAAGGAGCATCTGGCAATAGCTCTGGCTTTAAGCGTGCCCGTCGTTGTCTGCATTACCAAGGTAAAAAGTAACCCATAACCATCTGGCTAAGCTAATTTCCACATAGATTGATATGACCCCACCTAATATTCTTAATGAGACTACGAAACAAGTGGTAAAGATCTTGAAGAGTCCTGGATGCAGGTGAATCATATCCCTTACTCTGCTTTGAATCCACATAAGATTACTTTGAAGGAAAACGCCAGTTTTTGTGAACTCGATGGAAGTCGCGGTTGAATCGTCGCAGACATTTGCGCAATACAAGTATGCCTATTCGGCTTCGATCGTGAATTTCTGATGCTTATAGAACATAGACTATGTCCTATTTTCCGTGTCTCCAATGTCACTGGAGAAGGCCTTGACTATGTCAGTGTTATGCACTTTCACATTTGCTATGGCTCTGACTTGGCTGAAGTTTCGCACGTTCTTGAATCTCCTTCCATCCAGCGAAGCGGACACCGAGACGTTTGCAGTCGATCAGCCACTTGAAGTAGGACCGGCCCTTGGCATACATTCAAGCGTGCAACTGATATCTTTCGCTACAGTATTCAGTTACTGATGTCTGGTCTGTCCCATACGTGGGGACAGTCGTCAATGGCATTCTCAACAGTGGAAGTGTCAAGACAGGTGACTCCGTTCTCTTTGGGCCAGACTCCAATGGACATTTCCAGTCGACCGTTGTGAGGAGCATGCAACGAAAACGGTATTTTCGGTTCCTGTTAGCATTTTCTGTGGGTACTGAACTTTCATAGAGCTGATGTCGCGACAGCCGAGGCTGGCCAATGCGTCGCTCTCGCTCTTAAGCGAGTGAAACGTGCGGCCGTCAGAAAGGGTATGGTCATAGTGCACAAGGCCGATACTCCCCCGAAAGGTCAACATTTCATGTATTGCCATCATGTTTGCGATAACTCATCAGGACTCACAGCAACACGCCAGTTCGAAGGGCAGGTCCTTATATTATAGTGAGCTCAAGTATACCTCTCGCACGATGTAACGATTTGAGCAGAATTTGCAGTCACAATACTACCATGCAACGAAACTACCAGGTATGCTCAATGACTCGCTGTTCTCGCGGCGTATGCTGATGCAGTGTGCGCATAGGCCATGCTTCATTGTGGAGTGAGTAGGATCTTTTGATGCCTATTGTAGTTCTCATCAATCCTAGGCTGTCCGCCAAACTGTTCGTATCATATCGATGGACAACCCTGAGGGGGTCCTGCGGACCGGTGATCGAGCCACCGTTCAGTTTGAGTTCATTACACAGCCAGAGTTTGTCAAGGTCGGGATGAAGCTATTGTTCCGTGAGGGTAAGACCAAGGTATGTTGACGACTGCACCGTGCTTACCTCTGCATCATCTCTGACTGTCAACACTTCCAGGGACTTGGTGTTATTACTCGTCTGCTATGACAGAATTATGGTGCGGTGACCGGCTGGTCTTCCTAGGTTTCCTCACTCGAGAGGTCGTCCACGTCCTTCTCACTCACTAGCCACCCTTGTCGCACTCCGTTACAGTTAGTTGCACTCAATTTTTCTTCATTGTTGGGCTTGTTTGGTTGTTGTTTGGTTGTAATGATTCTTCGAGTGTGGTATGAAGAACTGTATTCATGTATATAAGTGATAGTTTATTGGTAATTTGAAGCAATAGATCTACAGCGTCTCATCTCTGTCAGTCACAGAAAACTATTCTTCACCTTGATCTACCTTCTAAGTAGATGAGATTATAAAAACTATTTTGCAAATATTGTAGATCTTTAAAGACACAACACAGTAAGTGTTCGACTATGTATTGAAGGTATCAATTCTGAGAGCTTGCGGAGACCCGAGAATACAGTGTTCGTCGACTTCGAGTAGCTGACATGCGAAGGTTCTTCCGCGCACCCGGCGAGTCTGAACCCAAGCGTGTTTTCATCCCGTCCTCCATGTCAGAAAACTCATCTTTGTCACTACCAGGCGGAGTAGGTTGCAATTCGTCGTCACCGTCACTTTCAGACGACACCTCCTTCCGGCGCTCGCTTACTTTCAGCCTTTTTGCAAAGGGTTTCTTGACTCCCGAGCTCGCTTTCTTCTTCCTTTTCTGCGATTTCGGCGCTTTTGGGTGCGTCTGGTAATGCAAGAACTGCTCGAACCATTCCGTACGGTATCCAACACATTTCATGACGGTGAAGTTAATCACAAGCCTACCATCATTGAGTGCCTCCCGAAGACCGTCTTCCGTAAAATCGACAAGGCGAATTTCACCCCCCTTTTCTACAAGTTCGGCATTCGTTCTTTCGACCCAGCTCCTTCCCCATAGGGTCGATAGGGCTCCAGACACCCAACGTTGAATGACCAGAGGTTGGAGTAGGTCAAGTTGGTTGGGCGAAATTTCACCCCACCGGGAGGTCTCATACGAACCAAGGTATATCCATTGATTTGGCTTGTCAGATGCGATGAGGTCGATTGGCCCTTCAATGAGCGAGCCGTCATTGAAACGCTTTACCCCACAAAACACGACACCATGACCGCCTGGAACGAGTGGGAGGTGTGGGTTGTAGGAACGCGTCATGGCCAAGCTGTGAAGCTTCAACTTTAGTAGCAGTACATTGGGTAGAGTCGAGATACGCACTATGGGAATTTATCCGTTTTTGTACGACCTTTCCAGTTGTTCGACGTGGTTTGGTGACCTCCGCCAAGAGCCTGAAATAAAGTTAGCCTGATTTGATAGATAGGGAAACCCCGAGCTCACGTCGCTGATCACAGAGCGCCGAAATCCGACGCAGAACCGCTCTTCGACCACAATTGGAGGTCCGAGACCAAGGTGCTCAAGATTCCAGACATCAAATTTGCCATCTTCACCCTTAACGAATGTAACCTGTTCGATCTGATCGGGTTCATTTTCCGACTTGATAACGACTTTGATTGTTGTATCGACTCGGACGGGCTCTGGTTTTACGGTCGGACTCGATCTAGAGGTGATTGGATTTGAAGGCTGCGAGGGCGCTGTGGGTGCGAAGTTGTCGGACATGTCTTGGTCAACGTCATAATGCCCTGTAGCTTCGACGACAGTCCCATTTGGCTGCCCGCAAAAGTTAGCATCAACACCGAAACGAAAAAAAATGGCCGCTTACTAGTACAGCATTCGACTTCAAGTTCTTGAGCTTAATCATGTTGAAATTGAGATTTTTAACCTTTTAAAAATATTATGTTAGTGGCTTTTCGTGAGCGTATGCACGAACTGTTTGGTCATCTAGTTGACGCAGGGTGTTCTTCAACTCATCTTGAAGCCCTGCGATCTCAGCGGTCCGAAGGTCTTGTTCGTTCTTAAGCTGCTTATTTTCCTTGCGGAGTTTAGTTAACTCCTTGCCCTGTTCCTCGACGAGGTTGGTCTTGGATGTCAGGCTTGCCTTGAGGACGATTACCTCCGGATTGAGGTGCGATGTTTTGTCTGAGTCTTGTTTCACTGGGCTAGCATGAAAATCAGAATCAGAGTCAGTGAGTTCTATGATCTCGTTATGCATTCTGACAGTTGCTAATGCAACTTGCACTAAGGTTTCCGAGGTGGCAGCGACGGAGAGGCGGCACCAGGAGCAGGCTAAGACAGAAGAGATGAAAACAAAAACACAAATTTAGTCTAACCGGGTACTGAGCACTGCAGGGTTCAGGACCGTCTCGCTAGTATATTAGGTTGTGAAAATGGTAGAAAATATTAATTTTCAATGGCAAGGGATTACGAGACATCCTACGTCTTCGGAAGATGATATTAATTGCTTGGTAGCCTCAGGGCCACATTTGTAAATGTATATGAACGCAGTTAGACTATCCTGAGTACCGAGTACCAGTCCTTAGTATGAAGACTCGAGACTCATCGATGTACTCATCTTTCGTTGTTGTCACGTTTAAGCATCTCATCTTGAAGGCATAACTTGGCAGCCATTTCGGCGGGGCATCGGCGTGGGGCTTGAACCTAGAGTCTCAACGGTAGCACTATGGAGCCCAATTGCTTATTCATCCAGGCCTAGATACACGTCCACGAATGTGTCCAGTCTGTCGACCTTCGAGTGAGTTCTTGGACAATCAATTTTCTTGTCTTCAATCTGTAGTCTGATCTTGGACTCGTGAGATATGGAAAATGGAGATGGCGAGCAGTAGAGTAGATGCCATCATGCTTGCAGTCCTTAAGTGCCACTAATAGTTGAGTTTGGTCAGCATGCCAAACTTTGTGGAGCTATGTACTTATGAGTCTCGTGCATGTCTTCGACAACATCGTACCAAGCAGTTCCTTCTGACGAAGGTAGTTTGCCCGCCAAGCCCGCTTCTCGTTTTACATCTCGCAAGACACTTTTTCTCTCTGGATTAGTGTTCTTCATCATCACGTTTGTATCGTATAAAGCGTTCTTCTCGTGGTCTATTCAACATCCGTCTCTTCAACAAGACTCTTCTGCAACCACTGGCAGTACCAAAGTATTAGAACCTCAAACATATTCATCCATACCGCCAGCACCGAGCGATACTCCAGAAATGCAAGGTCAAGGAAAGTACAGCGTTGGATAGTACGTGTTGGCCTCCTTTATAACGACCTCCTTCTGACTGTTTTATCAGCTTCGTAAATTGGTACGTGTTTTCATCGGTCATTTACGGAAAATATTGACCGTTCCGCCAACTATTATTCCTACTTGTAGGGGGATCTACGGTCGCAAGTTCCCGCCGTCAAACATCCCTGTTCAAGATTTGACGTAAGGCGCTGTCTTCTTGACATTTTCAAGCTCACTATCCATCTAGCCACATTCTCTATGCATTCGCTGATCTGAGACCTGACACGGGCGAAGTTGTTCTCTCTGATGCATGGGCGGACAAAGATATTCACTACCCTGGCGATTCTTGGAATGATGTCGGGAACAACCTCTACGGAAATTTCAAGGCCATCTATAAATTGAAACAGCAAAATAGACACTTGAAGGTCCTTCTCTCAATCGGAGGTTGGACATATTCCCCTAAGTTCCATCCTATCGTCGTCAACCCTGCCCTTCGTGCCAACTTCGTGCGGTCCGCAGTTCGTCTACTCGAGGATTACGGTCTTGATGGTCTCGATGTGGACTATGAATATCCATCCAATGATTACCAAGCTCGTGGCTACACCGACCTCCTAAGGGAACTCAGAGTAGGCCTAGATCGGCACGCTCAAATGAAGGGAATCTATCACAGATTCTTGTTGACAGTATGCAACTTTACCTATCCCGCCGAACTTCCAATCTGAGGTATTGTTTTTTGCTAGATCGCCGCTCCTTGCGGACCCGATAACTATCAAAAGTTACACGTACGTGAAATGGACCACTACCTTGATTTTTGGAATATGATGGCGTACGACTTCTGTATGTGCTGCAATGTTTGGTTGCATTACAAATTGACTCACGTGGAAAATATCACAGCTGGTTCATGGGATTCTGTTGCAAATCACCAAGCCAACATCTACGGTGGACCTATCAGTGCATCACAGGCGATTGAGTGGTACAGCGCGAACGGCGTCCCTCGCTCCAAGATGGTCCTCGGGATTCCGCTGTACGGTAGAAGCTTCATGAACACGTCCGGTCCCGGGGCACCGTTTTCCGGCATTGGACCAGGCAGTTGGGAGCAAGGTGTCTATGACTACCGTGCTCTTCCGCTCCCAGGCACATACGTGTTCCAAGACGACAAGGCCCTGGCGAGCTGGTCTCACGACTATCAGAAGCAAGAGATGGTGAGCTTTGACAACGAGCACGTCGGCCATTGGAAGGGCGATTGGATCCGCCGTGAAGGTCTTCGAGGAAGCATGTTCTGGGAGTTAAGCGGAGACAAAGGAAGCGCGCGAGAGGGAATGGAAGGCGGGTTTGGAAAGGACCCAGTGCCCGGGAGGAGCTTAGTTGCAACCGTCAAGAACGCCATGGGACCATTGGACCTGAGTCCCAACTGGCTGAGCTATGAGGGCAGTCAATTCGACAACCTGCGCAGCGGTACCATTTAGATTCATCGATTGCATCACACGATACAAGAGGACTCGGACGTCTTTTCCAGGACAATTACTGTAACATCACTTTTCCTTCGAGCATATTTCATCGACTTCGTATGATAGCAGTTTTGTAATGTTACGCTGTGTGACTTCTGTGACGGCCGTGATGAGCACTGCCAAAAAATTTAGTGGTGTGGGCGCCGGCACTGCTGCAGGGCTTTCTTTCAACTGTATTTCTCATTTCACGACCCATAGATTTTGGACAATAATCGGAGGCATCCTACACCGAGATTCGACTTCAATCTCACCTGTATCATCAGTGCTCAAGTTCAAATAGACCGGTCGACTACGATTTCCTTCTAATCGCACAATTTATCCTAGGACCTATATCCTGAGTTTTTCAAATGTCTCCCGCTGTAATGACTTCTTCTTTGGAGTCGGAATTCGCTTCGATCATCGAGGCTTTGCGCACTGCACCCTCTGGCCCAGGTTTACATCCCATGACTTTCTTGTGAGATAGAACTCATCATAATCTATGTAGACGCCAAGGCAGCAGCTGACAAGCTCGCTCTTGCTGTTTCTAAAGCAGGTATAGAGAGCTTGGTGTGCGTCCATTTTATCTGCGACATTGTAAAATGATTGCATCTAAAGTTTAACAGCGACCAAAATGTAATCACTATCCTTGAAAATTTCGCACTCAACAAGAAGTCTGGATGGGAACGAGAATCTAGTGCTATTGCATTCCAGTCATTCCCCGCTATTCTCGGTCCCGCCTGTGCACCCCTACTTCTCCCAAGCCTTCACGTTCTCTTCGATTTGTTGTCTGACAAGGGAGAGGTTGTTCGGATTGCTGCAACAGCTGCGACGAAGGCTATCCTCCAGCTTCTTCCCCCAGAAGCTACACGAACTGTTTTCGGCATTTTAGAAGATATCCTAGAGAAAGGAAAATGGCAAACAAAAGTCGCAGCCCTAGATGCTCTCAAGAGTTTCGTGGCTCGCGCTAAGGACGCAGTAGCTGATGAACTTGGACATATCCTACCCAAGGTCGAAGTAGCAATGCACGATACAAAAAAAGAGGTGCGTTATGAATGCCTTGCGCTACTTTACTCCGCCGACCGAATTACTGCAGGTTGCTTCTGCTGCCGTCAAGTGCGCCACTTCTTTGTGCACGACGCTTGCGAACCCCGATCTCGCTCCTCACATCTCCGCTCTGGTTAAGTGTATGTCTAATCCTGATGCAGTACCTGGTTGCATAAAGGCGCTATCATCAACAACTTTCGTCGCGGAAGTCACGGCACCAGCGTTGGCCGTTCTTGTACCGTTGCTCCTTCGTGCTCTTAATGATCGCAGCATGGAAGTGCAGCGGCGTACGGTTGTCGTCATCGATAACTTAGTCAAACTGGTCAGGAACCCCGTAGTTGCCGCAAGATACCTTAGCCCTCTCGTAATGGGCGTGCAGAAGATTGCTGAGGGTGCCGCGTTTCCGGAGGTTGGTTATACTCTTTTGTGTGCTTTGCGAATCTCATTCGGCCATTTACTAAGGTTCGTGCCTTCGGCGAGACGGCACTTAGTACATTACTCAAGGCAGGTGCATCTACCTCGGGGACGCCGCCGACGCGGGATGTCAGCAAGGAGGTAGCTGAAGCTGTTGCCGTCTTGTTGTCGTTGCTTCCGTCAGACCTTGTTATCCCTTCTGCGACTAGCCCAAATGCTCCGCTATCTGCAAGGCACCATCTTTTGGACCAATCTTTGCAATTTCAGGGGTCCATGGTTGCTGACCTTATCTATAATCGCCGTTTCCAAGATCCGGAAGTATGGAAACGTTGTGTCGGTGTGTATATGGCATTCTGGCTGGGGCCAGAGGGATCTGCTAGCTTTGCGGAGTCGGTACGGGCCCATTTCCGTGCGATTGATCAAGTGTGTGCTCTTTCTCTATTTTGCAAGGGAACTTTTCATCATTAGGCACCATCTAGGCACTACACAAATCTGTGCACGACAATGAGAGTGGCGAGGGCGAGCTTCTGTGTGACTCGTTGTTTTCTCTTGCTTATGGTGCACTTTTACTGCTCTCGCACACAACACTCCGTCTGTTCCGCGGGCGCCGTTACGGCATCCTCGGAACGAATGGATCAGGGAAGTCAACTCTTATGCGCCAGCTTCGGGACGGCAAAGTGGAAAATTTTCCGCCTCAAGATCAATTACGTTGTGTTATGGTAGAGCATTCCTTGCAGGGCGAGGACACGTCTATGTCTGTGCTAGACTTTGTGGCGTCAGGTTAGTACATTTATTCGTTATTAGTATGCTCGGTGACAGTAATTAATTTACCGCAGACAAGGCTCTGGCACAAATTCCGCGTTCTAAAATACGGAATCAATTGCTTGAGGTAGGATTTGACGATGCCCGCCAGTCAGACGTAGTCGGGGGGCTGTCCGGTGGTTGGAAGATGAAACTAGAGTTGGCTCGTGCAATGCTTTACAATGCCGACCTTCTTCTTTTGGATGAGGTGCGACGTGGTTTGATGCTACTGTTCTAGGGTTAGCTCACTTGCAAGTACTTTTGCAATGCAGCCTACCAATCATGTTTGTATTCGGATTATCCCCATTTCCATTGGTTGACGTTTTCCTGATAGTTGGACCGGGCTTCCGTCAAATGGCTTGAAAGTTATCTCATCGCTCACAAAAATGTTACTTGCCTAATCATCAGTCACGATTCTGGGTAAGTGCCTCTAACCCGATCCTAGCATTCAATCGCTAAATCTCTCCACGTGGCTAGGTTTTTAGATAATGTGACTACTGATATCATACATTACGAGTCCAAGAAGGTGAGGCCCTCGTCGGTCGATGGTAAACGCCGATTGATTTACTCCCCTCTATTGTAGCTCGTCTATTATCCGGGAAATCTTTCATCGTTTGTGGAAAAACACCCGGAGGCTAAATCCTACTATACCCTGGCGGCAACATCCGTCAAATTCTCATTTCCTCCGCCTGGCTCCTTGATGGGTGTTCGTAGTAACACTCGTGCCATATTGAAGATGTCAAATTGCACGTTCACGTACCCCGGTCGGTCACAACCTTCGCTAATAAACGTGTCTTGCGGTGAGTAATAATTCATGCTTCTATTTGTGATAAAGCCTTATTTACTCCACCTCGCAAGCATTATCACTCTCCAGGTGGGTTTGTGTGCTCCACATGTCTGATTGAGCGTGTTTCATTGTCATCCAGCCGAGTAGGTGTAATCGGCCCTAATGGCGCAGGGAAATCGACTATGATCAAACTTCTGACGGCAAGAGTGATGATCTGATCGATGGCGTCCCCTTAATGACCTTTTTACTTCAGGGCGAGACCGTTCCTCAAGAGGGAACTGTATACAAACATCCGGCCCTTCGTGTTGGTTACGTCTCACAGCACGCCACCCACCATATAGGTCCACTCTTATCTCCAACTTCAGCGTCAGATATACCAAACTAACATTGTTTTAGAACACCACTTAGAAAAGACACCAATTGGCTATATCCAGTGGCGTTTCCAGGATGGTCACGATCGTACGTATTTAAACTTAAAGTGACCCTGCCAGTGTCTCATTAATATAATTTGCCAACCATATCAGGTGAATTACTGGAAAAGGCCACTCGTGTTCTGACAGACGAAGAGAAGGAAGTCCTCGATCAAGATTGGGTTGGCAGGAATGGCACCAAGCGCAAATTGGAGGTTAGTATTACTTTACATTGTCGATCTGATCCACATCCTAAAATTATCCAGCTTATTATGGGTCGTCAAAAATTGAAAAAGACATTCCAATATGAAGTCAAATGGCGTGGTCTTGACCACAAGTTCAACACCTGGGTGCCTCGTGATGAGTTGATGGCCAAAGGTTTCGTAAAGTTGGTGCAGCAATTTGACGATCTGGAATCCTCGAGAGAAGGTGCAGGGACTCGTGACACATCTGCTCAAATTGTACGCAAACACCTCGAGGACATCGGTCTCGATGGGGACATCGCGCAGTATAATGAAATTTCGGGATTGTCGGGAGGTTTGTAATCAATTGTTGCGTTTGTTTTATCCTACTAATCTCCGGCGTTGCCAGGGCAAAAAATCAAGTTGGTCATTGCGGCCTGCCTCTGGAATAATCCCCAGGTTCATTAGACGCCTGGTTGTCATGATGATGTGCTGAAGTTACTTTGTAGGTTTGCGTTCTTGACGAGCCAAGTAATTTCCTAGATCGTGAAGCGCTGGGTGGCCTTGCGGTGGCTATCAGGGAATGGGGTGGTGCTGTGGTGAGCACCATGAAATAAGTACGAAATTCTAATCCAGCTGACATGGGGTGCCTTAGGTCATCATCTCACATAATCACGAGTTTGTATCGGCTTTGTGTCAGTCTTCGATGTTGTATTTCACATATCTTTCTAACGCAGCTTTCCAGGTCCTGAAATCTGGCAGATTGAAGCAGGACGGATGACACATCAAGGAAAGGCCGCTGTTGTCGAGGATGCCTTTACCGACTTGAAGTCTCCGAAGGGCAGCGGTGCTAATACCCCAGCTCGTTCGCGAGTGCAGAGCCCGGCTGTATCGGCTCATGTGACTCCTGCGGGGAGTGGGGCTGAAGACGCTGGCATTTCAAAGGTCATGAAAAAGAAGAAGAAACCGACACGCAACCAAGTGAAGGCTCAGGAAGAACGTCGGAGGTTGAGGAAGCTCGCGTGGCTTACTCACGGTGGACAACGGCCTGAGGATACCGACAGTGATGTTGACCCTTGAGACCGAGAGACCATGTGAATTTTGTGCTATTCATCAGGGGCCATTTCATTCTGATCCGCGGATGCTTTTCGACAAGATCTCTTATAGATTACCTTCCTCTCATGCTGTGAAGTAATAGATTTTCCGTTTTACCGCGAATTCGTTGAGCAGATTTTTGAGAAGTTTCACTGCCACGTAGTGTAGGCGATAAAAAGCCGAGTCTGTTACCTCTTGCAACGGGGTAGTTTCAGATGGCCGTGCCCACGCAGGTTGATTTCAACGTGTCGATTGCTGGCGGTGTGTAACATTTGAATGATCGTTGTAAGGTGAATCCGATGATCGGGACATGTGTTCGAGGAGGGACCAACTAATAATATTACATTAACGGATTCAGACATTGAGTGACAATCATTATGCGGCAGTTTCCGGAGGTGTGTTCCCGAAATTCATAATTGCAACCTTTGAGCTTCATGCTTATCTCGAATACTATCGACCTGGCCTGAAATAGTGCCACGCCTCAAGCTTCAGCCGCGGACCGTCAGAAGTTTTTTTTTTCTTTCATCAGAAGGACCTACTACCCCCTGCCCGAGTAACGCTTGATCGACAAAAAAAACAGATCCCTTCTCGCGCGGTTCTTGAATTGTTGCTATATGAATACGCCAAGGAGATACCCTGACCGGGGATCTGGAAACAAGTCCTGGGATCGACGCGGCGTGACGAAGGAGCTTTGCTGGACGGCAGGTTGCCGCTGATGCGGCGGTGAACTCGCGCTGCAAACCGGCCACATGACATCTTATCGATGGCCCATTCGTGCCGATGTTGTTGTGGCAAGCGTTTGTTGTATCTCACGTACTTATTATCAGTAGAATCATAAACCGAAGAGCATACTTAAAAAGATTAGTGGCGTAATTCACGGCCTTCTAACCGCGCGCGGGGCGGACATCCGTGACAAAATCGAGCAAGAACAACAACGTTGGGTTTTCAGACGTGTACGTGTGATCAGACCAGAGATGATAAGAACGTGATAAGTACATAAAAACTACGGCGACAGTGCATCAAGGAGGCAGGTACATGTGGACGGATTGGAAAAGGGCATCAGATTGCGTGGAGTGATATGGATATATAGATATGAATGGGTATTAAGGGGCTGGCGAGTAAGTTAATACGGTGTTAATGAATGATCGAGGTCCCAATGCAAAAGCATGACGACGCTTCTGTTGTGATGAGGAGAGAATGAATCTAGCTGAAATGAAGGCATGGTGTTTAGACAACGATCAAATATTCAGTAGCGACCAGGCTGCTGCCATTTGCGGGGATCTTCTTCGCGCCGATGGGGGATAGGTGACCGACTGTCCTGCACCACTGACCGGGCGTCCTGACTCGATCGTGGAATGTATGATGTATGTGAAACAGACGTGGGACTAATACTGCTGCCACCAAATGAAGTATGCGACACTTCATCTGTTTGAGATGACATGCTAAATGGTTGATGCGGAGTCGACACTGATGTCGACGACTGCCGGGTAGTCTGTCTCATTGACTGTCGTTTATTTTGAAACCTATGGAAAGGCATGAACATTGATCCTTTGATTTGTGCAACACACCAACCAGATCTGAACGCTGCGGGCTGACATGTCTAATTTCTTTGCGAGCTCTGCGCGTTCTTCAGTAGAAGGAAACGCAGTGCGAGCGTATGTCTCATTCAGGACTTTGAGCTGGGCTGCGTCAGCTCTCTTACGCTTTTTCTTGATGGCAGGTTGCTCGTTATCCATCATTTGAGCAGGTTCTTGTGTTAGTGCAGAATTGGTGATTGGCCCTCGGGCATAGGGAGAAGGACCATGAGCCTCGACTTGCGTAGGCATACCGCGCTCGGATGGGTACATGCCCATTGACATCTGCGGCGAGTGGTGCATCGATGGGAGTTGACTCGAATGATGACGTGGATCGGGGACGGGGGGATATGAGTATGAGTTTTGATTTGGATAAGGAGCATACTCGGTAGGATAGGTTGCGGTCGGCGAGCGAATATCACCATAGTTGGAGACAAGAGGTGCGACTGCCCCGTAATTACCCTGATATCTATCGGGCATATTTAATGGAGGCAGCTTGCGAGAGCCGTGGGAATCGACCGGGATCGTCGGCGAACTACGCGGTGGATAACTTGGGTATTGAGTTTGAGGGTATCGGTCATAGTGTTGTTCATAATAACTGGAATGCTGTGGGGGAACTGTTACCGCTTGAAGTAAAATTGATGAGTGTGTGATCGGGATGAGTGATGTCAGACATACTAGAAGGCCACTGACCATAGCTCGAAGAACTATGATCACTTTTTCCAGGGGATGAACGTTGCTGAGAATATGGAGGATAGTTGGGAACTATACTTGAGTTGAGCATATTTGCATTTACACTAGATAGAAAAACAGACCTGAAGAGGGTGAGGTTGGAAACGCTGAAGAAAGAGGAGGGAGCACAGTTCGCCCACCCTGTCCCGTCTGAAAAAAACCACTATTTTGAGAATCCCCTCCAGGAGGGCTTTTGCGGGCCTTGGAAAGGTTTGAGAACAAACGATCGTCCCTCGGGTTTGTCATAGTAAGTTAAGCAGATAGGCAAAAGAGGAAGTGAAGGAAAATTATGGTTCAATGAAAAGAAGGAAATCGATGTGGATATAAGTATGAAGGAACACGCGCTAAGCATGCCAATTGCCCGACGAACGAGCAAGAAAAGGCCTGCGGCACGGGAAGGCTGTGACTTGGATAAACCGATCAGGGCCGTTGAATGAACGAGGTAAACATGAACACCGGCAAAGGTAACTGAACACGAGGCGTAGTTGTGCAAACTGGGCAAGGGGGGGTGGTAGGATGAAGCGTGTTTTTTAAGTACAAGATGCGGAATGAGGTACTTGAAGTAGTAGGTCGGGAGTGAGTTAACTTTGGGCGTTAATAAATGAATTTAAGTTATACTAGTATCCCGAAGAGGGAGAGTATAAGATCTATGATCATCCGAACCTATAGGTGCGTTGTTATTGTTTTTTTGAGCTCGTAAGGGGACAATCTTCGCGGTCTTTCATTATTTTCCGCTTCGAATAAACCAAACGAGGAGACGGACCGTAATACAGCTCAAGGGAAGCACTGACGCGTTGGAAAAGCTGTGTTCTTCTCTGTGCAACGCGGAAATTGCATTGTTGACATCAGATCGGGTTCGAGCCTCGTGGCCATTTCTAGTGCGGACACCTAGTAAGTGTTTTTCCACTTTTCCCACAAACGGCTAGCTCCGTAACGTACTTACGGAGCAGAATAATCTCAATGCCGCCGCCGTACTTACTACCAGGTACTGTACGTTATATATACTGAGGGGTACAATATATTATATGAATCACCTTTAATCAAAGTTTTACAAAGTACAAGTATTCAAAGTATTTACACAATATTGCAAATATATGGGCGATCATAAATTTAGTCCAATGATTACCGGAATTAGTTAGTGACTACTGCAAGCTCAGTCCTAGTGCCAGAGCATCATCATCACCATCACCATCGTTCATCATGAATTCTTTTAAATACTATGATAACTCTTATCCCCTTTCGTCCCCCCGGGTATGGCCAGCAACAGAACAATCTCCATCTACAATCCTACCACCAGGTACTTTTCTACACAAAGGCTTCTATGATCTACTCGCAATGATCCCCACCCCCTCTCTCTGGGGTACTACTACTGGTGGTGGATCTAACCAAGCTTCACCCACACACGGGGAGCTGGCACGTCATGAGGACATCAATCAAAATTCCCGTCACATGCCTGGATCTTCTCCCCTAAAGAAGGGTAGAAGAGTCAGTAAAGCTTTGGTCTCCAGGCCCACGGGTTTCGTGTAGGTTATATTTTAGTATTCAGCGTTAACTACATCCCAACAAGGGCATTCGTACTAGGCATCTTGTCCACGCTTCGGACGCCGGTCAGGCAGAAGCCCTATTGACTCGCTGGGGTCCAGATGGTTTGGGAAAGCTTGGAGGTCAGCCATCAGCGCATTATCCACTTATGCTATCAATATCCTCAGCTCGTAGTTTAGACCCACGTTGGGCGGATCCAATAAAGTCTCGAGTAAGGCAATCAAACCAGGCCAGAGCGGTTAACGAGGTTATCAATGCACTTAAACCGTCTCAAGATAGTACAGGCCAGCCACCTCTCCTTAGAGTCATGAACGGTATCAGCACTGCTACTTCGTCTACAATAACAACCGCTGCCCGTGAAAATGTCCACTTTTCACCCGCAGATGCCTTGCCAGGGCGCCCAACAAATTCCATCGTAAAATGGAGCGGAGGTCTCAGGGTCCATCCAGAAGTTGGCGAGTACGACGACGATCTGGGCCTTACCCTTCCTGGCCCTTCACCAAGACCAATTACTCCATCATTAGCTACCTTGGAGAAGGCGGTGTCTGCTCGGATCTACTTTGAGAACCTTTACTTTCCCCTTCTTCGGCAGCCACCTTCTCGAGAACAACGAAGAATCGCCATGGAAAACGATATGGTTATCATGCGCTTGAGTGAAGATCAGAAAGAAGCTTTACGTTCTCAGTGGCGCCAAAACGAAACAGAATATCTTCGAGAACGCCGAAAGAAAGTCGATGCCACAGCGTTCATCAAACTAAAAACCATAGGTCACGGTTGGTGCCCCTTATGTACCTGAAAGAGCATTCTCACAGAAAATACTATCGATCAGGTGCGTTTGGGGTCGTGTCTCTGGTTAAGGAGCGAGCCACGGGACAGTTGTTTGCCATGAAACAGGTTCTTATTTTCCATTTTAATCTACCCATATGGCATTGTCTCCATTATTAATTATTCATTTCACTAGCTAAGGAAGACTGATATGCTTCGCAAAGGGCAAGAAGGTCACGTCCGTGCAGAACGTGATATCTTGAAATCTGCCTCGCTCGTCGCTTCGCCAGGTGGCGCGGAGTGGATTGTGAGGCTGCACTACAGTTTTCAGGACCGCGATAATCTGTACTTGGTCAGTAGCTCTAACCCCGATTACCGCCATCTTCCTAAAATTCAGACGAGCACATGAGTCACTGATTTCATTTCGATTTCATATCTAAAACACATAATAATAGGTATTGGAATTTATGGGCGGTGGAGATCTCCTGAATCTTTTGATCGAGAGAGACGTTTTCGAAGAAGACTTTGCTCGTTTCTATGTCGCTGAGGTTGGCATCTTCCTTTTCTCGTACTACACTTTGTTTAACGACAGGCACATTTACCCCAGATGGTTTTAGCCATTGAAACTTGTCATAAACATGGCTTCATTCATCGCGACATTAAACCTGACGTGAGTCTCGAAAAAAATACTGAGATTAAGGCCCGCTCTAGATTGATAACACGGCTATCCATGTGTTTCTAACAGAACTTCCTGTTTGATCCGCAAGGACATATTCGTCTGAGTGATTTTGGGCTTGCGTGAGTCATTAGCGGAACTGGTCCACTTTCCCGTCCCCGTTTTCTATGCGCTAAATATGTAGATGTGACTCCACAGGACTGATCTGCACTGGGCCCATGATACGTCCTGTCAGTGCGGAACAGTCTAAGTATACGGAATATGAAACTGATTCGGCGACCGCAGATTATGAACAGCAGCGGCGTCAGTTGTTGCACAAACATGGGATAGACCTTGAGGACGGCAACGGCATCGGGGATGGAACCAGAACCAAACGAATGGACCGCAAGGATGTCGAATTACTGATGGGCGACGGCAACGGCCAAAGTGGCATATTCACTTGGCGAGAGAAAAATCGTAGGAAGGTATGATCCACCACTAAATTAAAATGTATATTTCCACCTTGTGCCTCACCCTGTCTGTTCGTGCCGTAGCTAGCATACTCTGTGTAAGCAATGATATCGCAGCCTGTAGCGTGATTCTGAACACCCTTCTTCGGATCCACAGTTGCGGGACGAATTCTTACAGTATGTGGTCACCTTTGTTCATATTATTACCCCATGTTGCCATGCTTACGCTTTCAATAGTGTCGCCAGAAGTTATCAGAGGCCATGGCTATTCGTTTTCCTGTGACTGGTGGAGCTTAGGCGTTATCATGTTTGAATGCCTGTATGGGTAAGCTTCGGGGTTTTGTATATCCGGTATACCTCGTGTTGAAGAATGGACATCATCCAGATATCCCCCATTCGTTAGCAACTCCGTAAGCACACATATTTTGGCACCCACTTTTCGCACCCCAGTTCATCTGTGGCTGACTGCGGGGGGCAGAGGCATGTCACCCGTCAGAAGATTCTGAACTGGAAGCAATCCCTCAAGTTCCCATCTCGCCCTCGTGTCTCGGGTGAGGGCGTGAATCTGATGCAGCAGCTCCTTTGCGAGCCCGAGGATCGCCTTGGAAGTCAGGCTCCAACGTCTGTATCGCGCCCAGATTCCCTCGCCGTTCACGCACGACGCAGCGGCTTCATCCTGCCAGGGTCAACAGTCGGCAGTGTTGATGGTGTAGATGCAATCAAGGTCCGCGTCACTGGAGCTTGCGTTCGCAGCTACTGACGTCTAAACTTGAAGGCGCATCGCTGGTTCCGAGGAATAGACTGGGAAAATATACACCGCTATCCTGCACCATATCGCCCGGATCTGCAGAGTCCAGAAGATACACAACACTTTGACTCCGACATTCCGCCGGTGGTGAGTGCTTCGAGGTTTTTCGTCATGCCGGGTGTTCAGGTTGTGCCTAGCCACTGGCTCCCGCGAACGGAGCGCCAGCAGATGTGACGAAAGACCCCCTACTTAGGGACAGGGTCCACGGGGAAGAGATTCTAAACGTCCGCAAGGCCCTCGCATTTGCGGGGTTCACGCACAAGAGCCCTCGAGCGATCAGTTACGCTCGTGCTGATCGTGCATTTGATGGACTAGCGGACATTCCAGACAAAGAACGGGGCGAACGAGGTCGTCCAAGGTTTCGCAGCGGACACGAGGCTGGCACAGGCCGGGCTATATCGCTTTAGTGTGATGCATGTTCTGTGACCCTGGCTGTGTGTGGCTGAAATGGTGCCGCGACTGTGCCATGCGGCATAGTCGAGGATATGACGACACTTAGTCTACGGACATGACGCACAGACATGCTTTCACTCCATAACGTGATTACTTACTGTACTTGATTACTAGGATCTACGGACATGACTATGACATGCACTGACTTCACGATGCTACTCCACTATACTTGATGACTATGCTATACCCTTGTTTCCTTGCTGTACGCCGTCGCTGCCACCGGATCTACCGCTCCCGTTAACGGGTGGAGTGAGTCAATCATGTCCTGCCACGAGTCGAACTTGAACAAATTGATTTTCAACACCGAAAACCACTATTAATTAAAAAGGAATGGATACACCCGAGTACACTAGCGACGATGACTGTATAGAATAGATATATGAGTAATGAGTATGATGCTCATCAGCAAGTGCATGCGATTAAATAAATGCTCGTAAATTGCCATAAATATGTGCCGCCCATCATGAACAACTGATGCAATGTCCGTGAAAAATGCAACGAAGATCATGAGACCCGAATAGGAGTGATTGCATGTGCCTAGTATACATCCGTGAGGACAACACATGTCGCTCTAACGCCCGGAACGTGAATGTGCGTCGTTTGACTCGTCGCTGTCCTCATGATAGCGTCCTGAGGCATCGGCATGCACGCGAGCATGCCGACGCATGTTGCTGAGCACGCTGAAACTACGACCACAGCCCTCAAAGGTGCACGTAAAGGCTAGATGGGTAATCAGTATGACGATGAGGAACGTTGCGAATGAACACTCACGCTTTTCGCCAGTATGACTATTCAGGTGGATCTTCGGGTTGGCAGTCTTCATTAGCTTAGGAACGACGCAGGATATTGAAATACACACCTTTAAACTACTGGGACGATTGAAGCCTTTACCACAGTAGTCGCACTCGTATTTGAGTGATGAAGGCCCGGCATTAGCATGAGGACTGGAATCGTCTATACTAGATGTAGTCTCTTGAGAGTCTCTACGGTAATGCTGACCCCGTACATCGGGGTAGCGTGGAATATAAGATGCTGATCCTGGGGGCTCCATCATGGATTGCCCGGCATACTGATGCCTTGAATAATCCAGATATGAGCTGGGCCCTGGGTGACTCGTGTAATCATAGGCTGGCCGTCCCTGGCCACTATTAGTGGATGACCGAGAAAATTGATTCGGTGGATGCTGAGAATGATACATTGAATGCGGTGGATGCTCATGAGATGGATGGAGGTGCGTTGGGTGCGTTTCGTGTCGTGAACTACGGGAAGAAATAGGGTGGTAGGGTGTCGAAGGGTTTCTCTGGGAAAGTGATCACTATCAAGGTTTGATCTAGTCATTAGACGACGGCTAACCTGCAAGCCTGGTCCAGATAGGACATCTGACTGACCCATATGTGGTGCGCAGTATGGGTCGTGATTTGAACCCACCCAGGAAGGAGGAGGTATTACGGAAGGTCTTGGAGTACGAGATAATTCTGAAGGTTAAAGGTAAATAGAATGCACGGATATGGGCAGCTAGAGAAGCTCTACTAACCTGGGAAAAGTTCGCGAACAGAAGGGAGGGTTGGCCGAGCTGCTTCTCGATGAGCATCACTCTCCGGGAATGAGCGGCCAGACATTTTTATGGTATGAGATACAAGGGGAAAAGTATACAAGAGGACGAGTTGAATTGTAGTGGATGTCGGGGAATCTTATATGGTCGGATCGCCTCTAGTAGACCGCGGTAACGGCAGGATACCGTTGCACGCCGATCGTGATGCGGCGGGTTCGGAAGGCTGGAAAGTAACTTGCATGAAGAAACGTGACCGGGTCTATTCCATTATACTGCAGGACAGCACCTCGAGGACAAACCTGACATTCAAAGACATGGTTACCACTCGGTTACCATATTTAAGGTAGGCAACCGTGGTGATTGTCGCTTTAGACCTGCTGCGCACTCATTCACAACACATTTGTGGGAGTCTCATGATGGACTCAAAAGAGCCGTTTGGACGGTGCCAGGGTTGGAGATAGAGCACCGCAATGTCACACACTAAGGGGCGCGAATGCCGCGCATCATCCACGGGGGATGTGCTGTTAGTATATCTTGAATATATATATACCGTTACTTGCCGCATCTCAGATCAACTACAGCGGATCATTCTATTGGGCCCACCCGCGTTCCTCTAAACACACCCCTGCTTAGAGATCTATTGCTTCTTGCTGAATGTCAGTGATTGAATCCTCGGCGGTAACATTTCGGTAACGTTGGATCTCAAAATGGCTACAAATCGTCAACTTCAATTTCAACAGCGGGAGGCAGTGCACTGCAACCAATCTGGGCCATGCATCCCCAAGCATGCTTCGCATCTCACTGTGAAGCTCGCACGTTATTTATGAGCAGCCGTCGCTCATGTCGACGGTTCGGGTCAGAGAGCTCACCATAATTCGCCTCGCTTCTCCGTATACACGATCAGTCGAATAATGTTGTATTTATTCTCTCCCCTGTCAGTTTTCAGCTTGGCATCTCTGCGCCTCCTCCGATGTCTTAGTGTTTAGCGAAAGTGCATGCAACCCTTGAGAAAATTCTTCAGAAAGGGCAGAGTATATCAGGCGATGGCGTTGCACCGTGTTCTGTGAAGGAATAAAGCAGATATACCCGAGATTCGATAGCACACGCACCTTCCCTTTGAAAGCATCTGAGATTACCTGCACGGCAAAATCTACGCCCGGGTCGTCAATGAACAGCGTCTTTGGGGTAGTAGAATATGCTTACGTGTTTCTCCATTCCCGCCACCTTGAGAGCGCATTGCGGCGTGATGTCTATGCAACTGCGATTCGTTGGTAATGATTAGTTTAGACGGTTGGAGCAAGGTCACGAGCTATGAATGATTGCTCAGGAGACGGATCGACCTGCGCTGCTAGCTTGCTGCCTTACTTTTTGTCGCATGGCGATTTCCACTGGACCTGGAGATCCCAATATTGTGTCTGACGCCATGGCACGAGAAAGATTCAAACTCTGCCGCAGAGCAATGCGAAGGCTGCGTGTTGCCCAGAGCATAAACCTGCTGGCTACCATGCTGAGATTGCAATCAGAGCTGCGCTGATGCTAACGGGCACTTACCACCAGACTCGGAGCAAGCCTTCACAAAAAGGCGGAACGATAAAAATGCGCAGCGTGTTCAAATTGGCAATTGTTGGTCAGTCGTTGTTAGTCAGCAAGCTAGTCTGTGAGTGTGTGAAATGTTACTTCGCCACTGTTGACTTATCCTTGATGAGGCTTACTCTTGGTCTTCACGAAATCGCGTCGGCCATAGCTTGCCATTGTTCTCTTGCATAATGATCACGGACTGCACTACACGAACTAAAAAATCTGTCAGCCACTGTCAGCTTATCAAATTAGTCTAACTGTTCAACGACGATTTCACAGCCATTGAACGACTGGGCCATCAGAGAACCGATGATTCGAAGTGACGACCAGATTCCCCATTAGCTTTCTCAGGCAAGAAATACCTTACGGATACTAGGCACATACTACGCATGAGTTGACAGTGGTGACCGGTCCCGAAAGGTCTAAAGATTGAGCCGGACTCAAGCAGTGATAACGGTGATGATCAAAAAACAGGTGAAATGATTCAGTGAGTCATCGAGTCTAACATAACTAACAGTGCATGTAACGAATATCCTAGAACACAATTGGACATGCATGAATCGCCGCATTCCTTTTGACTACATTATTTGACAGGGTGCCCTTGCGACAGAAATGATATCTAGTATTCATTTTTTTCACATAGCGTTCGTTTCGAAGGCTATGACTTGTGCCTTATTGTCACATAGCACTGACGTATTCCATAGCCCACCATGGACGTATTCTTGTGTTGTCAGTTGTCCGTTCCGTTGGCACGGTCTCATCGGTGTAAACTGGAAAGTCACGTTACCGTTGTGTATACTAGTAGTGCCATACACGTTAAACGTATTCACTTCACTACGAACAAGTACTTTGTTGATTCACCTCGCCATGGCGTCAAACTCGCATCAAGACCCTCAAGAATGCGAGATGACCCGTAATCAGCGCGGTCTAGTAGAAACGTGTTTTGAGGAGGGTCAATACGAGTCTGGCATCGCAGTGCTCGAACAGCTAAGGTCTAAAAACTTTAAGCCGCCGGTGTAAGGTCATCTGGGTTATCTTTTCTCGAGGAGCATTGAAAGTAGTTCCTAGGTCTCTCGTACGTCAGCTCTTCTACATCGCGTTGTATCCCCCGCCACCATCCCTTGATCATGTGGAAGAGCGCGATCTCAATCCTGCTTCGCCATCAAAGGGCTCCCCTACAAAAACAAAGCACCAGGCACCAAAAATGACCTTTGCTCCTTCAGTCAATGCATCAGAAGCCGCGCAACGCTTGCTATTATCTTTCGTTAGAACAAATACACCTACATCTCTTTTCCAGGCTTTGCCACAACCGGGCAAGAGCGACGAATTACCATTCGAAGGTGATGATCACGACTCTGTTGTAGCAAAGGAGTCCCTGTGCATTAAGGACGCGAAGCACTGCTGGGCAATACTCAAGGAGGGTTTCGTACCGCGAATAAAAATCTCTCAGCCGTCCCTACTAGCAGGGAAGAAGAAACGCGGAAAACTCATCGCTAATACTGAAGAATATGTAGAGGAAAAATACAGCAATTCTGTTCTCGCTCTTGTTGCAGAGCATGCCTGGTTAGTCTTGCAGTGGCTGGTCGAGCTTTTTCAGCGGGACGAATCTTTGGCATCTGGGGATGGTTCAGGTGGGGGGTTATTCCTTACTTGTAACCTTTTGACTAAGATGATGTACAGTGAAGCATTCACCATTATTGTTGTTGCAGATTCCCTCGCCAAGAAGTGGTACTGGTCTTCGGTGGGAAGCTGATGCACCCCTGGATATCGTGTTCTATTGTATTTCGCAAGGTCAACCACAGCGACGACAGCTGGGTCTTGAACTGATGGCTTTGGTGAATTATGCTTTGCTTATTACAAGCTATTCACCTGACGTTCTCCGCAGCTCGTCGGGATTTGTCTAACAGCAGAATTTGATTTCAACATGTTTCTTGAACAAGTCACGTCACGATTATACTCAGCCTCCCCAGAGATCGTCCAGACTTTCATGTCTGGCTTTCATCTGTCACGTTCAGCGCAACTGTTCAAACTAGCGCTCTGCCGCAAATTCCTTTCCGATGAATCGGGTGGGAGAAACCCACCCAGCCGTCGCCCCAAGCCACAAGCGCGAGCTGTGAGAGCAGCGCGAGGCACTGCCGCTGCGAGAGAACAGAATCTGTCATCCACCAGTGCAAATGACTCGTCAGCCTCCTTTTCCGCGAGTAAAATTTCTATGCCTCCTAGCGGTGATATCGTCCACCTTCTTACGGGGCCTAACGGACGTACTTCTCCTGCAATTATAACTGTGAAAAAGGAGCTTCTTATTTCGTATGCCTACCTGCAGCAGATCGCGGAACAACGGGATGTGGAATGGCAGCAATTAGCAACAGATGGGCGTCTCGAAGACCAAGTCAATTCGGTGTTTGGTGGAGAGAGCTATGCTCAGCAAGACAGAGATGCTCTAATTAGTCTTGTGAGAGTCTGGGCCATGAATTAATGCGAGTAAGGCATAAGCCAATGTCTTGTGGGACCATCCTCCACGGAGCGTGTTATCTGTTGAGTTCTTTTTGCTGTATGATGGAACATTACTCACCCAAGCCGGTGACTAGATTATTCATACCCCTCATGAGGATGGTCAATGCTATGTATGCGTCCAGATTCTAGCCAGATGGACGAAGTCAACATATCCTGCGGTCGGCGGCCTCAGACTGATGAGATGGGTGCAATACTCCCTTAATTTCTGCTCTAATTTTGACAAGCTTAAATAAAGTGCATAATGTCCTCTGTCACCATGTACCTGCACTTGTGGTGATCTGCAACCGACTTTTCTGCTTGGGTGTTTGTAGATCAAGGGCAGTTCGAATAATAGACCCTTACGCATATCGATGTGAAATATAACGTGTCCATGCGAGATATTTCGACGCGTTAGGACAACATTAGGAAGCGTAAGGATATTATCGTATGCGAAGCATTTGTGCTGAGTATTGTGTGAATGAAATGATAACCCGAAAGGGTGTGGTGTGGCTATGTAACGAATAGACGTGAAGTATCACGCGAAAGCACGCGACGTCGAAGTTCCGGTCCGAGGGTTGAGTCACAGCATGAGCTTAAGAGATAGTATGAGAAGTCTGGCGTCCAGCCCAGTGAATAATTCTAGGCCAACACGTTATGAGGTGGCAATGGAGATAGGGGATAATAGTAATGTAGCGGAGGGACCGTTCGCGTGCGGCAGGGTTGGAACAGCTAGTACGTAAGACGTCGCGAGTAGACATGGGGTGCATCCAGATTTGCGGGATGTCGAAAAGTGGGTGCCAAATCCGGAAATGGTGGTTGGTTAGATCCAATGCGAATGCATCGTCCCTGCAAAGGGTCGCAATCGACAGCTGTGGCACACACGGAAGTCAGCCTTGCAAGGAATTTCAGCGATCTGTTGTAAAAAAGTTTGTAAATACCCGAGGAGAATATGACATCAACGCGGAGATAGTGGAATATCGCTTCCAGATGAGGTTAGCGAAGATTTGGGGTCAGAAAATAAAAGTTCTTTGGGCGTAAGGTTTTGGCAATGCAGTGGATGTATACTACTAGCAGGGATGATTAGACGGAGCGGGCGTGTCAGATTTTTGACAAAGCTCCAAGTCACACCTATGATGGATAATATACAGATGTATTGTGAGTAACAATATCTGCTAGCGATTGCACTGACTACGGACACGCCACGGTGCTGGCCGATCCACGGGTCGACGATACCTCGCATTGACGTAGTAGGTGGAGTCAAACGTAAAGGCGTGGACTCGGAGGAAGAGAATTTACCAGCCCACGTGACAACACAGAACATGGTAGTTAGACATGAGCATGCTAGCCACGAGCGGCTAGAATGCATTTTATTTTTATTAGCATAATTCACCTTTGCTGTTCTTCTGGAGAGAAGCTTTGATTCGGAGGAAAGCGTTGACTTCCATGTCGTTTCCAGAACTCGCCTACTCCAAGTGGGAGCGCAACCCCGTTAGTAGATACTGTCATCCTGCAGGAGATAAAGGATGTGACGTAGATTTGGCAGCTTACTGATGGGCGTCCGAACCTCGTACGGCCTCAGTGCTACCGCAAAAGCATATACCATATACAAGGACGTGAACGATGACCTGTCAATGGCTATCACCCTCGTAACGTTAGTGAACTTTGAGGTCTGTGGCCTTACGAGACACGGAACGCCGCTTGACAAAGTTCAACATTGGAGAACCAATGGAAAACCACTGAGAAGACCTGTTAGCCTAGAAGCACTTGTGCGACATGTAGTCTCCGGTCGACTGGTCAAATCTCAGACTCGTTGGCGTGTTGGGGAAATACACATCACACAAACCAAATGCAATCATATTTCACCGAAAATATGCCGAAACTCTGGGAAGTTCGGTAATAAATTAATTTATTCAAACACTGTAACCTGGTATTGTCTAACGTAGCATGTTGACGAGCGAACCACCTTTCGACTGAATTGCGTGTTGGAATTGGTATGTTCAGAATAAATATTTAGAAGCATATGCTGGCATGGTGCCAAGGTTACTTTCTTATGGATTTATTTTTTATTGTTCCAATGTTGGATAGTATTAGTACTGTACGATGTTTGGGGTTTGCCCCGTATATACTCTCTCGCTGATGAGTGTGGTGCGAAGTCTTGCAAGCGGGATTACCCAAAAGCCTGACCAAAAAGTGAATGTTAACCTAAACCTTCAAGGTTCGGAGTCAACCATCCGACTCGTCTGCTCCTCCGGCGACTCCCTCTGAATCTGGCTCTATATCGACCAAATCGCCATCATCAGCGTCCCCCGCAGTGGCCTTGGATTGCCCCTGTTGGTCTTTCCATATCTGAGCCAGAAAATCTGTAGTGCTGGCTTGCTCTGGCAATTTATCATCTCGGGTCTTGATAAATCGCGGGAACCTCAGACTGAGGCCTCTCGAGGAGGAAACTAAGCCCAATGCTGCTAGAGATACAGGGCTCAAAGTGATACTGAAAAAATAGGGTGTGAGTAGATATTCGTCTGTAACACTGACGGCTTGTAGCAGACTCACTCTGCCCCTCGTATCTCCCACACCTTATGGGGCCTGAAGTAAACGTCGGGCCTGAAGCCTGGAAAAACAATCAGCTAAGAACCCTAGTGCTCAAAAATAATGTTGGCACCTCCTGTATCAGTTTCCCAGAGGGGTTGCCTGGAGCAATTATCGGACCCCTCTGAGTAATACGCAACCATCTCCTGATACGAAAGTTCCGATAAGCAAGTTAGCCTGCGAAGACGTACTGCATGACAAACTTTGTAAAACGAGTCAGAAAATCCTGCGGAAGATGATATCTCAACATATCATTATGAATTACAATGTATATCACCTACCGGAGATACACTTGCAAACGGCAACAAGGCAATCATTCCTGGGATCTCGAACAGCAAGCAAAACTGGACTCCACCACCCTGCTTTCCTTCCGTTCCCATGCCACGCTCCAATAGGAACCATATCGAGGGTATCGCCGAGACCCACGACGTAGTCCTTTTTCAGCTTCAACCAAGCAGATGTTCGTTTATCTGTCCAGATTCACTAAGAGCACAGCATAAAGGAACGGCTCAATACACACCGGGTTCGTAAGTCGCGGACAAAGGTTTCCGTTTTCCGTTTCCTTTTCGCATTCCATCTTCTTGTATAGTATCACTACTTAACAGCTAGGTAAGCATTAGTGATGCCGATCAGCCGATCAGAGTCCAGACGCTGTCTCACCTTGATCATGAGACCTTCAGAGCGGCTCTCTATAGCTTTCTGCCAGAACTCCTCGATAGCGTCTTTGCCAGCATCGCTCTCACAGCTTTCAACGTGGTCAAGACGTGCTCCCTTGTCACTTGGTAAGAAAGGTGGAAAGTGAGACCTCAGCAACGAGCGTCTCTCTCGAAAGGGCTGTGCAAGTAAGACCTGTCGAGGGACATAAATAACCATTGACTGACATCGTCGCCACACAATCAGACACACGCACCTCACCATCTATATACATCAGATCGAAGGCATACACGCAAACAGAAACTTTGATATCGCTCATTTCCACGCCCTTCCTTGCCCTGTTCGAGAGCTCTTGGAAGGACTTCAGGCCGCCGTCAGATGGATCTATGGCAACAATCTCAGAGTCGATAATAAAAGATTGCAGCTGCGGCTGCTGTTGGAAAATGCATTTAACAAGGTGAACGATGTCAGGATACTAGTTTTTGCCGATAAGATGGTAGCCCCGCGCCTACGAGATTGCACAGCTTACCTTAGTAGTCATATCTTCTAGATGACGGGAGAAGATATGAACAGACGGATTGCCGCTATTCACTCCTCGTACTCCATGAATCTGAGCGCGTTGGCCATCATACTTGAATTCTGCCGCAAAGGGGAGATCTCCCAAACGCTCGTATATCTCATACAATGACCGAGTGGGAGAGCCCAGAGTCGGATGCAAGGGGATTCCTATCAATGATTTATTAGGTCGTTCATAGAGTGGGGGAGCGAAACGCCCACCGACAGTCAAAGGGACATGTAGGTCAAGACTATCCAATCCACCCTTGAATAGACCAGCTATGATATGCTCATAATTCGGATGTTGAACGAACACTTTTTTAACCAACGCTTCAGCCTGGATGAATTTCTCATGAAGTTTCTCACGTTGAACCGAGGAAATTGATTGTGAGGTGGCATGGTACAGCGAATGATCGCGATCGGGACCTCCCAAACTAGTTTGCGATGTCAAAACCAACGCTCTTGCCAGTGCAGTCAGGATGGAGGTCCTTACTGCTCCGACGCGTAGATTCAGCGATAAGGTACGGACAAGGTAGCGTGATTCTTCTCCTTTAGCCGCCACAAGGAGTTTCTCGACGATGGCTTGCTTCTGTTTGGCTGCGCCTTGTCCCTTAGAGTTGGCAATTTTCAATAAGTAATCGTGCACAGCCACGATCATTAGTGGAGGGTGAGGCACCAAGGTGCGAACATTTGACTTTGCTTCAAATGCAACATCACCGGGGTCGCCGAATGAATTGTAGAGCCGTCTTAGCGCAGAGGAGGTCAGGCCGGAGATATGTTGAATTGCCTTGGATATAACCGAGGAGCCAATGCCTAGCTCGACCGGAGAGTATGGAGGAGACAGGCAATTAGAAAGGAGGTACAGCGATGGTAGTAGGGATGGCCGATGCCAATTGAGTAAAGTCCTTAGCGTGTTGGTAAGCGTGTTGAGAATGATTGTCCTAGATCGTGTTCCCGATAGCGTGGCGAGAGCATGAACGAGGAATGAATATGGTGCTGGCTCATTGGCTGGCCAGGGACTTTCCTGGACATCATAAACAAAAGGGTCAACTCCTAGTGGCTGATAATTTGGCAAGGGTGTGATGTCATTTTTCATGGGAAGGCGCTTTGGAGGCCTATTAGATCTACTAGGTAGGATAACCCCTGACGAACCACCAACATCGCCGACTTGAGGAGCTGCGGTAGCCTGAACCTGAACCTGAGAAAGACCATTTTCAGATCCACAATCTCTGAACGTAGGTTCAGAATCTGAAGTTAGGTCAATGATATCTGGCGTAGCAATCTTCTTTATGTTCAGTTGTTTCCGTACTTGTTCTGGGACACTGTTCCTTCCCTTCTCTACCCCAGAATTAGGCGGAAGGATAGGCCTTTGAGAAGAACCGAAAAAAGTCTTCAATGATGACTGATCTGAAGCGAATTTTGCTCGCTTCAAGGGCTGGGACGTTGATGGTGAAGGTTGGGCGCGTTTAGACATTGCGGCTGTAGGCTGTAGCTGTGCAAGTTTCAAGTTGAACATGCATGACGTTCGATTGACATCCGACAAGTAATTTAATTTCCGACGTCGAATTTGTTCAAATATGATTATACAGTTATGTACCCTCCTGTCATTTTCAGTCCTCCCTGCATTTCGTGATGGGCGGCGGGCCCTTTTGCATTGCCCACCCATGTCATTAAACCACACGGCGATCATCATCGGTCTTTCTTTCGTGAACAGTCACATAAGGACAGTTACTCCATCTTTCAAGTTTTTATCAGACCACCAAGTATCTCCTTAGGAGGTACGTACTACTACGTACAGGGTCAAAGTGTCGAGCACCCTGTTATGACGGCGTCCACTAGCTCATTGATGGCCGATTACTGTCACAAAGTGCGAGCAGTCGGTTCGGTCTCTTTGACCCTGAGATGGACCCCAAGGACGTTGGCGGCTACGTAAGCCGAATACTCTGCTCTTTTTTTCTTATTTTTCCTCGTCGTCGACCACGATGATAGCCACGGTGTAAACGCGCACGTGCACTCAAACCATATCCCTGCCATTGTCAACTACGACCTCCCGTCGCTCGTGGCTCCAACATCTAAGTGTCACCCCAGCAACATTCTGCAGTATGGTGTGACGCTGCCATCGACGCAACTAGGGCAGCCTCCTGCCACCTACCGCCACACACCAACACATCCAACCAGGACCTTTCTTGTCCTTGTTATAACCCGGTGTTGCCACCACGACCTGCCACAGTCTCCACGCTGCAAGGGCAACGTCATGCAACCTCTCACTATGCTGGCACGCCAACGCAGATCCTTCCTTGCCTTTCATGGACCTGGTATTGCACATTCGACCACGATCTTTCTCGTGCGACCGCTAACCTGGTTCTGCTACCAGCCTCCCGCTGCTCACTTCGCCTCCCACGTCTTATCATTCTCGGCGCTTCACGCGGCCGCCCGTGACATCTCGTTCTTTCCCTGGTTGGCATTCTGGTGCTGCGCTCTTCATCTCATTTATACAACCCATACCTATACAATGTTATCACATGTTGCGTGTCGTATGGTTAGACAATATAATGATATTGTTAACTCTCAAGCATTGACTGAGTGCTTGCTCAGTTTGTAAGCACCACACGACATTCTTCATCAAGGAATGAGCTTGGATTTATAAGCAGATATATGTATAGCAATTACAAAAAGCAATAGATGGGATAAAAGATACATATGGAAGAAGAATGATGCACGGCGGTATGATATATCACAGGTGATAACGCATGGGTAGGCGATAGGAGGAACTTCTCCGGCCAAGGTGGGAGGGAGGGTTATGGATATCTGCCAAGCTCGTTAGGATGGACATGGTAGATGTCGGTGGAGTTGCTGCTGCTGGACGGATGATGGGGTAAAAGAAAGAATTACTCAATGTCGGGGTATAGGCATATATAGTTGCAGATAACCACCAAGTATACCTTGAAGCGAATGTGTCGGGGGTGTCGTGGGGTCTTGAACCCTGCGAATGGTATTCGGATGTATTCAGAGGGTAGCTGAGTGAACCGAGCTAGCTCGCAGTCATGACAGGCTACAAATGATGGGCCCACATAGTTGGCCCTGCACAGTCCGACCTTTTCGCGCCACCATGTCACCATCCCTGCGTTAAATTCGGAGGGTCTTTGTCGTTGGGAGATGAAACCATTAGCAAATTATTACACCTTGCTCGTGTCTACGGGTGCCTGGACATTATCTCTCTGGACAGACAAACCCAGGCTGCAGGTGAGAATACGCCCTTGTGCATATATGGTGCTATGAGACTTAGGGTCCGTGAACGCGCGCGGAGCTGAAAATCCAGGCTTCTGGGTCTATCTTGAATTCATAGCATTGGGGCGTCGAGAGTACAGAGCATTAGCCCATCACAAGAGTGGACCTCGCACAGCACGGTCCGATCGGTAGGAGCTGGGAATATCGTCGAGATTAGAACAAGGCTATGTAATGACATCTGATGAATAATGTTCAAATCAGCGAATCCGAAAGCGCGATTGATTGACCAGACCAGCCTGAACGGAAGCAGACCCGGGTCTCCCATGAGTCGCCGGTTTCGAAGAGCAAATAAGGTTGAAAGGTCATTCAGGAGGTCCTTGAATTACTGCTATTAGTACATCCCTGGCAGTCATCGTGGGCGACCCCACAGCTCCATGGATCAGACAGCGTACCTGATTAAACCTGCAGATTCCAGGATTTCCTCGCAAATAAAGCTTGGAAAAGCCGGATGAAATCTAAGTTTGGTTAGACAGGCGTCATTCAGGCATCTCTAGAGCCTGAGAGCCGTTTCAGGACAGTAACCCAGGCACGTAAGGAGCGTCAATCTTGACTGAACAGACGTAGCAAGATCTGTGAGGACCACAATTACGCCGTTAGGTCTCTGTCACCAACGGAGACGCGGCAATGTTACCGTACACTCACAAATATGGGCGGCTCTGAAAATGCATATCAACCCTGTCCTTGTCATAACATTTACCCCAGATTGAATCCTACCCAGCCAAGCACGAACATCATGAGCGACCGCCACAACTACACATTCCATCCCAATCAGCCACCACGTCCCCCCAATCAGCCACCGCGGGGCAGCCAATGGCTACCCAATGCTCAACAGCAGCCCCCTCATCAATCATCTTCCTATCAACCAGTTCAGCGTGGCTTCCCAGCGGCACAAAGCAACTATATGTCCACGCACCCTGCCCCATCTTCACCATATGCAATGCCTACCATGCCACCATCAAGCACACACTACACAACAAACAATCATGCCGCTGCACCATCACAACCCTACCCCCCAAATGCTGCTGTCAGTCCATACAGTCAACAGCAACAGATGTATCCACCACAAGATTACCCTATGCGCCAGCCGGCGCATTCACCGGGTCAGATATATCAGCCAGCGGGACCTTCGCGCAGTCATACAATACCGAACGTCACACATCCGTACGTCATCGATGGGCCGATAGCGCCTGCAGTGCAGTACCCAGCATCCCCTACACGTCCATTCTCCTGCGACATGTGCGCACTGTCGTTTAACCGGCAGCATGATTTGAAACGGCACAGAGACACACACTCGGGAGAGAAACCATTTTTGTGCAACGGAGGTTGTGGAAAGACATTCACGAGGAAAGATGCACTAAAAAGGCACCAGGTACCATTGAATTTGACCCCCTGGAAGATCATGATCTCATTCATTTGATCAGCTTGTGAAGCATTGTGGATATGACGAAGATGCAAATTGAAATGGCGTTGTTTGTTAGTAACTTGCTTTGTGCTGTGTTGCGAATTGCAAAGCTAACTTGATAATATAGAATCATCAATCGCTCGATTGCAATTTACTCCACATACTAATATCATATTCAACATTGAGGCAAGTTTGTACCGGAAGGGATGTTTGGCATAGTGAAACTGCAATGTAACACGTTAACATATTTATGTGTCCATTAAATGAAAGTTACCATTCACAGCGTGGTCAGATGTCGCAGCAGTGGTTGCAATTTCACAATTCAGGCTTCTCCTGGTCCTGTTTGTCTTCAGAATCAATGATCCTCTCTAATATCCACGCGTCGCGTGGCATAATCTTCTTGTAGTAATCCTCTTTGATGCCTGCTTCTTTGAAACCATGTCTCTCGTAGAACCTCTTGGCGTCAGTGTTTGAGACTTGTACGTGAAGATATATACGTCTGATTTTGGGTTTGGAATGAGAAGCAGCAGCCTTGATGACGCGTTTCAGGGCCTGAGAACCAAGCTGTTTGGAGCGATATGGCTGGAAGGGTTTGCACATTTGCCACGACTGACAGCGGGATAACTTACTGCCAGAACGCCCATAGTCATGAGATACAGATCTTTGTTGTTCTCTAATCTGCAGCAGATATTGCCCACAGGGACATCGTTATAATAGACTTAAAGAAGTTAGGCTAGTTTGTAAACCTTTGCAAGAATAACACGGACTGAGCTGACAGAAGTCTTCGACCTCGGGAGCTATGATATCCTGGTAGAACTTGTCGCTGTACTTGATGGGAAACAAGACTGAATTGAGTTTCTTGACTGTCCCAAGGTTTCTATGAGTCAGGCTCGCAAAAGTGACACGTGAAGACGAAGACGAAGCGGGTGGATTTGACATGAAGATGGCAGATTATTTTGGTTGGGCAAGTTGGGCCGCAAGTGGTTGGGACTCATTCGTGGGAACATTGCTCATCTGGGATTCATCCAGTATCTCAAACAAGGTTATACTTAACTCAAATTTGCTCTGTGCCCTTGTGGTCCCATAACACGTTTCCGGACTGAGAGTCACGCAAGCATTCTTGGTGTATATACAAATTGCCGATGCAGCTATCATGAACCAATTGTCGTCTCACTTGCTTGATTGACACCGGACATTTACGAACACGCCAGGGCTCACCAGGCCAGGGTCTCATCATGATCATGTCAAAATAAGCACGGCAGACTTCTGCATACCCGCATATGTTTGTGCCCAGAGACCTTCAGTCAAGTATTCCGTACGTACACATTATTAACTAAATATTTTGAACTGACTTGACAACCCATACGCCCATTGTATCTCAACCCACTCATGTTTTTGCAATGCCTTGGCAAGTGCAACGTTGCCATGGGATTGGATCAGCTGCGTATTCTTGCCAGATTAGAGAAGCGCAGTCAAAACAGTGCACGGTCAGATACTTCTACGTTTGGCTATGACCCGTACAAATTATAGCTCCATGAGTCCATGACCCTCGGGATTACTGAAACTCCATAACGCTGTATCTTGTCTCCCTGTCATTATGTCGATTTCAAGCTCCCTTTCTGTTCTGTCATTCTGTCTGTCGAGTCAATTGATCGTAGCGATCCATCTCTCCGGTCTCGCTCTCATCCCTTACGTCCACTGAGCCCAGACATAACTTATATTATAAAACAGGCAGATTGCCGCCGGCTTATCAGCTGTAGCATGTACGCCGCTCATTATAGGATGACATGCTCCGAACATCAGGGCTAGAACGTTGCGTCCATCCGCCCCCCGCATCGCTTTATTATCCATCTCGCAACGAGTTTTTCCTTGCTGACCGCAGGAATTTTCATGACGGAGTCCCTTTTTTTTCAAGTCAGCGACTTCCGCACATTGTGCTTTGTGGCGCCTGGCCACTAGCCCCCATTTCTGAGAAGATCCGGCATTTGTCTTCGTTGGCGTTAACACACTGCCTCATCTGGGCCCTGATGACAGGTGACTTTACTTATCTGAACGCTAGAGATAACTGGAAGCACTAGTCCGTCACTGATAACACAGTTGTTCGGACGATTTTCTTCTAGTCCAATTGTGCGGTTCTTTGCATGGACGGGACATGTCCTTCTGTTGCCAACTGAATTTGGTACCCCCCTTACTGCCAATGAGTGCAGATCAGAGAGCCTTTTAGGTATGATTTTTCAAACGGGTACTGTTCTGATAGCAAAAATTGTTCACGCAGCCTATCGCAATTTGCAGAGTTCTAGAATGACATTTCTATCGCACGCAACGTCGGAATTTGTCAGTCTTCATAACACAGCAGACACCAGGAATGGTATGGTGTGATCATGAGCGCGCAATACAATTTATAGCTAGATGCGTGGATCGCCGATCGAATGTGGACTGGGAATGGTCACCCGGCGACTCGGTATCACGCTTGCCTTCTTTCGTTCATGTTTCGATCTGGTATACACTGGCGACTACTTCCTAACAGTTCTGCGCTATAGAAGCAAAAGTCCCCGGAGGCCATGAGATGATCAACATCCTTGAAATTGCACGGTGCGTAGTCCGATGGCGTAGTCCGACGATGGTGTGTATGAGATACAGTAGTGGTACAGATGCAACTTGAAGATTTATGCGTGGACAGAAGGTAAATATCTTTTAAATAAGAAACCTCATGCTAAGGGGGACTTGATCAATGTGACAGTGACATGGATCAGCGAAGATCTATGGGGGAGTCGGGTACGTTTGCACGACGTTTTCGAGGAAGACGATGTAGTTGATCAATATAAACGTCGTCGTAGCTGCGAAAGACGCATATACCGCGGTCATGATCCGTCAGAGTGGCCCATACGCAATGCCACATCTGGTCTTCAACGAAGCGAAATGCGACTCCGGTATGATTCTGGTCCCACCGTTGTTCCCTCTCTCTCGACTCGAATGCCTTGTCTGTCAAGGTTATGAGAGCACAATCTTTGATTGTCCACTGTACATGCGCTTGCCCTGTTGTGAGAAGCTGCTCTAGAGACGAGTCCATTTCAAGTTCCTTGGGAAGACCTCTGCCAGGTACATTGTTGAGGATTTTTTTGACACGAGCGGAGGTGAATACACACACCTATGAACAGGGTCATAACCATCAACAAGAATTTGAAATGTAGTGTTGTCCGAGAAATCCAGGGTTAAAGTAGGATGTTTTGGAGAACGGCTTAGTTTCCTTAGTACCTTGCCAACTAGAAGGCTCGGATCAACTCCAAGGCTTTGTAGCCGTAGAGGTACTGGACGACAGGAAGATTTGGAGGGAGATGGCAGGGGGGTGCATAAGGCTGTGCCTTGGTTAGCCATTGTTACTACTGATGGCAAGACGTTTTTTTTTTTAAAAAAGGTTGCGAGATCTTATACCGTCGTCGCTGTGGACGATGACAATGGCATCCACATGTGATGTGTCCACATGCGATTGATCGATAAAAGTTACCCACAACAAGCGTAAGCGAGGATAAAAATGATAAAAAGATGACACTGACGAGATTCGAACTCGCGAGGTTTCCCATCACGGATTGGCACTTGACCTAAACGTGACGCCGTAACCACTTGGCTACAGTGCCATGTTTAACTTGTTTCCTGTACAAGATATGGAGGATTAAACGGTTGTAGATGGGCATTTTGTTAAGCCTCCTCTTGTCTGAGTCACTACGCTTTGTTAGCGCGTCGTATTGTCGTCACTCAGCAATGCATCAGACGCATTCTCGTCCTATCGGACCACGTACCCTTCCTCGGCCACAATCGCCACTACCACCGCTCATCCTAACAGAGACTCGTCCATTGGCAATTCGCAAAATATCTCATGATCAGCCAGCTTTACACCCTTCATCTGCTTCATCATCTCCCCCATTGGGCTCTTCTCCAGGTCCATCGCGTCCTCAGATTCCTGGAGCTCTCAGTTCAGGCCCGAGGCCTAACCAAAGACCTAAGCTTCATCTACCACTCGCACTGGATGGTGGTACCAGCAGTGCAGGTTATTATGAAGGTCCTGCACACATTCCACCTGGATTGGATGGTGAGAACCCAGGCGGCGTAACAGTTCGGCCTTACTTGACTTTGCAAACACCACGTCCTCCCGAGCCTATCGACAGTAGCGATAACAGCATTGCTCAGCTAATTGCTGTACTTGATAGGACCACCATCGAGTCCTACACCTATACACCTACGGAAGAGACATCAACCAATTATAGTTCTAATAAATGGTCGGACGGTGTTTTAGAAGTCCTCTCACGACTTGGCGAAGGTCAGGGTGGAGCTGTCCATAAAGTCAGAGATCGGCGTAACAACTTCATCTTGGCCCGCAAGACAATTACTACTCGTGAGGCGCCTTTAAGACAGCTCGAACGCGAGTTGTCAATCTCTGCGACGTCCAAACACCACAACATAATTTGTTTTTATGGCGCCTATATGTCACCATCGTCTAGTGAAGTCAAAGTCATGATGGAATATTGCGCTGGCCGCAGCTTGGAAGCCGTTGGAAAGCGAATCAAAGAAAAGAATGCGCGTATCAGCGAAAAAGTCGCTGGACGTATAGCCGAAGGGGTAATTATTGAAGCTTCTTTTATTTTAGCCATATTCATTCATTCACCAGGTTTTGCAAGGCCTGAGTTATCTTCATTCACTCAAAACCATCCATCGGGACATCAAACCATCCAATATCCTGCTAACTGGGGAAGGTGTCGTTCGTCTTTGTGATTTCGGTGTCTCCGGAGAGCTTGTCCGCTCTATGGCCGGAACCTTCACTGGCACTAGTTTCTACATGGCTGTACGTCCGTTCCTCGATCATACATCCATCACCACTGATGGTCACTATAGCCGGAGCGCATCAGCGGAAAGGAATATAGCATCCGAGCTGACGTGTGGTCCACTGGAATCACTCTTTTGGAACTTGTACAGAATCGATACCCATTTCCCGAAGACCTTACTTCCATTGAACTGATTGTCTATATTACCCAGGGACAGGTAGGTACTTTGAGCCTGTTGTTAAATCTTGCTCACATGAGAATTATTCTCTAGCCACCTCAACTGACCGATGAGGAAGGTGACAACATTGTATGGAGCGATGAGATGAAAGACTTTATTCGACAGACGTAAGCTCTTGTTCAGTCTCCTGTTGCGTATCGTCGTGTCAACGTTCGCCGCAGTTTGATTATTGACCATCAAAGTCGCCCTACACCGGGAGGAATGTTGTCTCATCCTTGGATCACCACCATCATGAAGCGAGAGGTGCCTATGGCTCGCTGGATCAGTCAAGTTTGGGACTGGCCTAAACCATCTAGAGAAACGTAAGATTGTTTGACCTAGGTACCGATGAGTACTGATCCTGATATACAAGCAATTCGAGACCGCCTTCAAGCCGCGGTGCTGTCGACAGAACACCATAGATTCCTTATTTTCACTCAAAATGTTTCGTTGTCATCCTGATATATCTTGTTTCTTCATCGCATCCCCTTTGTCACTGTGCCTATTTTGTACACACCACTTGCACTGCTCTCTGTACATCTTTCCATCATACGGCTACTATACCATCGCACAGCACAGAAAGGAACGGACGCCGATTACATGCTTGACTGATGTTGTATATCTGTGTTATTAATTCATGTGCACATTAGCTTGCTTTTTGTAGTTTGACGTGCTGCATATTAGCTGGACCATGACTGGTACTAGTAGTACTCCTGGTTCCCGACTCCCACGTTAATTAGTGGGGGAAGGCTCGTCGAATCTTCAAAGTTCCCAAACCTCGTCTCCTTCGTAAGCACGCCCTTCACTTTGGACACACATGCAAATCGTTGTTTCCGAAAGTAATTCCATCTGTCAGCCGAGTGCGCTGACTGCAAACACTTGGGCTGCATGCTTTAGTGCATGAGTCCTTCAAGTTCACATTCCTTTGTTCGCAGACCATCAAATGACTAGGTTCCAGGTGGGCACATCACGGTGCAATGTCCCTTCACCTAAAATCGGCACCGAACCTAACAGATCGGCATTAGCGAGGGACGGTGCCAGCGAGACGGGTCTTTTCATTAGCAAGATTATGCTATTGAAGCCACGATTCAGATCAGGCTTATATTGAATGATTCCGGTCCTGATAACCTGTTCCGCCTCATCATCAATCCCAAGAGCTTTTCCTAATCTGTGGACAATCTAATCCATCTTTCGTATCTCTTTCGGGATCGGTCCTGCGAGCGCCATTGTTTCTGCTGGTTTGTTTCAAAGTTTGGACTCATTTGGAACCGTGCCGTTCGGTTTGATGTCTGCTTAAAGGTGCTCATTGACGCGCTCGTCATCTTGATATGTCAGTTTGTTAAGACAGCCAGACAAATGTGACAAGTAACCAGCTCATTGTCTATTCCACCTTTCGTTCGAAGAGGGGCGGAATCCTCAGGTATGTGTATCATTTGCAAGTGAACTGTGAGATCCTTAAGTTAATGTGCGCGGCCATTGCGTCTTACCAGAATCAACCAGCGCTTTGTCCACTGCATTCGACAGGAAGTGCATGCTTTCGTTGATGCATTTATCCTACAGTACAGTCGGTAAAAGAGGCGAAAGGAGGGGAAGCCATGTACCATGACCCTGGGGGATAACCAAGCGGCCATCAGGTCTACGACAGCCTTTTAATCAAAATCCGGTCATTACCTCGTTGACGCGTTTCACGACGATCTGCAGACAATTCTACCAGAAGTGGACGGGAGAAAGACGATGATCAGATGGTCAGCAGGGCACATTGGAATCACAGGCAAAGAGAATAGCGCGAGGAGAGTCTTCAGCGACACACATGACCTACCAAGATCACTCCTAACGAAGGGGCGCACCCTCGCAATACTTCCTACCAGAAAATCTGCACTCCAACAACTCTCCAACAACGTTATCAAGAACGAAGCGCGAGAACTGACGCGTAAATTTCCCTGTTATCCAAAGTTCTGAAGCGTAGAACCCTCTACTCCATCAAAACACTTCGCTAGTATCATCAACGAACTGACCCGTCGACACAACTCCGAATCACACAAGTTCCAATTCAGAACCGGTCTTTTGAACAAGCACCTTCACGCACACGTGCACGCACTCTCAAAGATCTACTCAGCGACCAAAAGTGCACCAAGAAACTGCTCACCTCCATAGCTCAAAGCAAGCGTTTCGAAACCATCTTTGGCAACGTAACCTCACCCGCAGACCGCAGAGAAAAGAACTGATAATTCACGGGACACAAGATCCGATCCCTCAAAGCGAACATCACGCTCGTCTTGAAGGTGAAGAAGGAGGCGAGCTGGAATGCAGACCCAAATATACCAGTCAGATTATAGTCGCGTTTTCCTCGATCAAAAATCTATACAGGCCATCCCTGACGCACTATAAAGTAATGAGGTTGTGTGGAGGTGGAGTGTTGGTCAAGATCTCTTCCTGCGATATAATGGGCCGAGGTACTTGCTCTTTCTCCCCATCTTGTGGTATCTATAATACCTCTCCAGGAATCGTACAGGGCTCACGGAAGGGGCGTTCCGTCTGCTTGTCGAGCACTGCCACGTAGGCCCCTTTTCATACTATTTGCAGCCATCTGCTGAATCATCCCCAACTTCAGGGATTGCATGACTTCCTGCTTCTATGTACACTAAACTCGAGTTCCATTTCGAGCGCAGACCCGAATCACGCTCACATCGACAATGTGAGTGAATCCGCTTTCACGTAGATGACACATAAACATTTGAAAACAGTTTCTCGACGAAGAGAAATATCAATGACATATTGTGCTTGCAAAGCCTCCATCAGCTCTCGGATATCACTTTCCCAATATTAAGCCATCCCGATGGTCTACATGGAAAAGTGACCTATTGCAGGGCCTATGATGTCCGTCTCCTGCGAAACTCTATATGTGGTTTCCCGACGGAACGTCGCAGAAAAACAGTTTATATCAAACGTCCGCAGTCATCTCGTCGCTGGTAGAGACTGTTGTGCTGCCAGTGAAGTATGCGATTCTCTTTGACAAGCGACGAGTATATCATCAACGGATTCCCCACAGACTTGGAGGCAGTCGGGAGCATATTGCAATGGTCGCTAGACCACAGCAGTCACGGTATGCATGTTTTGGAATTTTAATGTGGGGGACGCTATTGTGCACTCGTGTAAGTAGTGAGAAAATGTGCACACTTTATTACAAGGAAATAGTTGTTTTTCGGGCGGAAGCCTGACAGGGGCAACCCGGCCCCGACCTGTGCAAAAGTGAGCCAAGGTGAGCTGCGATTCCCACATCAGTAGGAGTGACTACGAAGCAGCAAAGTGAACATCGAATTCCATCGCAGTGGCCGCAAAGCGACGCATCGAGGCGAGGCTAGATGAGGGAGCAGTTTGCAACTGAAGTCGTAGCAAATCGTCCGAGCATGAGTGCGGGCATTTCTTTCAATACAGGCATCTGCGTCAATGCAGGCATCCATGTCGGTGCGGACATCTGCATCAGTGCGGGCATCCGCGTCCACGAAAGTGCGGGAATTCACGTGCACACGACAAGCAGGTGTTGGCAAGGACGGTACTCTCGCTCGCCACTGGTAGAAGGCGTTATGGCCTCCACTCATCAGGTTCTCTGGTGAGAAACCCAACGAGAGTTCACGACAGTGACTTCCTATACAAGCACGAGTAGAGCTAAGAGAGCAGTGCTCTCTATTCGTGGCCGGCTTCCCCGCCGGACCTGTTTTCATTGCATGCAGATGCACACAAGGATCTGAGCCATCAGAGCTCACCGGAGTTGGTGGCACGAAAGAAAATCCTAAAGGTGGCAGGCCGCAGACATGGCGCCAGATCTTGCTGGGGTGTACCCTGGATGCTGTGTGGTAGGAGGAGAAGAGAAGCCACGTGCTGCACGGCCGCTGCACGCAAACCTCATTCTAACCCTGCACTCCGAGTACCCCACTCCGAGTTAGAATTCCAAGCAATGGTGAAGAAGACTAATACAATATATCGACCCAGGGATGCTGAGAATAAGTCTGGAGTCTACTGATGGGCGGTGGTAAGAAGTCTCCGATTGACAGACTGCACAGAAGGAATAATTCCTTCTGTACTAGGATCTGTTTTCATATACGGGGCCGATACTTACTATGGCTCAACATTCTGATCCGTCATTTTCTTTGCCCGCGTGGAGCACCACGATGGTTGAGAGTTCCGCAGGCCAACTTTGTCTCATTCAAAGAAGTTGATACATCAACAATGCAAGCAACGTTGTACCAATTCGACGGAGCGCTAGATATGCAAGTCTTTGCAATGTACCTGAAGAGTTGGTGACCACAAGGTGACCATCAAAGAAGCCATTCCCAAGTCACTCTGACAACTTCTCAGTGCTCTATTCCACATGTTATCTTAGTAATTAGGATGCAAAATTGCCGTCTTACCGTGCCCTGACTGACCGAGACCGTGCCTTCTTAGAAAAGCCCGAGCTTTGCATTCATGTTGGACTTGTCGAATAAGTGGGTTCAGAACACCATACCGAAGCATACTCACCTACGGTCGGAACCTCAAAGTCCAAGCCCTTGTCTATGACCTCTTGCAGGAGTTCAGGGCTCAGCACGAAATCCCTAAGGAACGAGGAGACCAATCAGAGGGGCATGGTTTACGACAATATTGAGACAGAATGAACCTGAAGCCGGAAATTTTATTCTCAGTGTTGTTGTCGCCCTCGCCGTCTGCTGCCGACGCCGCTGCCTCGTTGACAGTAACAGCTAGAGCTGTGCCATTAGGGATGACATCGTGCTTATCCTGATGAAGTTCAATAAGTTCCTCGTTATCGTGGGAACTCATGGTCGTGTAGAAAGAGAGTAGGCTGAGGGTACCGGTCAAGTTGTCGGAGACTAGTTAAACTGGTCCGACTGACTCATCCTAATTTGGACACTTAGATTTTGAAACATCACCTGTGAGGCCCTTTTGTGGACCACATCGCCATAAGTACTAAGTGGTTGGTTTGAGAACCATGGCACAAGCGCTCAAGTTTTATTGTATCCTTCACAGCCAGCCATACAGGTTTATAGACTCCTTCGACATCAGTACGCCGAACCCTTCGGAAAACCTTATTACCAAAGATGCACCTCTCAGCTCGTGCGACGCAGCCTCATGCTCAGTTTGACTGTACTGCACCTGCTGGACCCATACAAAGCCTCGAATGACCATCAGACGACAACGCACGCTTCCAGATACACCAACCAGTCACACGACAACGAGGAGGAGGAGGAGAGCAACAATAATCTTCCACCATAATAATGTGCCACTCCGTGTGGGCGGGTCAGAAGAACATAACATTCTGTAGTAGTGGCGAGGTACGCAGTAACACCAGCCACTTGGCTATGTTGGAATTTTCTGATATTAGTAGCCGAAGTCGATGCATCTGATGAGCTAGCTGCGAAAGGTATCATATTGATATCGATATGTCCATCTTGCTCGCCCGATTTGCTTTTCACGACAAGTGCACCCCAAAACGCGTTGTTGAAGTACTTATAGTCAGGAACGTGGCGTTACAGTGTAAAGCGGGTAAATTTCCAGAATTGGGCACGTTGCCCGACGCGCGCTCGCATGCATTTTCGGACTGGCGCAGATTGCGCCTTTTTTTCACCCCGATCAGGCATGGGCAACTAAATTCTGTAGAACATTCGCCACCCATTGCTTTATCGTGAAACTTTCTTGTGGGCCCGGATCAGATATAATAGCGGCTTTGATTTCCATTTTCAACTCCCTCGAGTTCAGGGAGCACCCTGATCATTTTGCAATTTACCACATAGATTTTCAGGGTCGTTATGCTTCGAATACGGTCGAATACGGTTGCAGGTACAGCGGGCAACTTGTAAAGCACCCTAGCCACGATGTGATAGAAAACACGCTACTTGAAACACTGTTAAAGACGTCAATATGACACACGATTTGCTCACTTAATATGACCATAAACCCTGAAGAATGAATATCAAGTTCACGAACCTCAGGGCTGTACTCACCACCCATCAGGTGTTCTGACGCGACTCACAAGCCAGCGTGCATAATTTCGTCATCATATTACAGCCATCTGACCAGCAATGTGGCTCGCAGGGAGACAGCTGGACAGTGCGAATAAACGTACCAACGTTCAGGTATTCCCCTGTAGCAAGAATTTTGTGGCTTGATGTGACTAAACCCCGTCACAAGCTCAAGCACGTTCAGTTTTCAGGGCTATCATGATACGTCAGTTCGCTCCAAGCAAACCTTGATCTAATCGCTTCCAGAGCGATACCAGAATTCATTATAGCATCCTTTTGATAATTCATGCACTCACCTGAAGGACATTTATTCATCTGAAAGTAAATTGCAGCATGCCCTTCACTTACGCGAGCTTTATGCTAGCTCGATAAATCGATGGTACCCACAGTGGGTCCTGCAATCAATTGTTATCAAAGGTCGACCATACATTTACCATACCTGAATATTTGTCTATCCTTATGACAGAGACCGTCGATTGTTTCCAGTGGCTCATCCACATTCCCGCGATAGGTCATAGCAGAACTGCACCAGCGCCAATCGGTCGGAAACTCTTCTAAAACGCCGCGATGCAGGTTCGGAATTAGTTACACGAGGACGTTCCCATGTATTTGAAAAGTACTGGATACGCACTATTGCCTCTGGGCCCGCTGTAGAATACGAGAGAGAATACGAGTTCCCCCCAACGTTCTGGTAAATGAGGTAATTCATCCCGCGCAAAGATTTAGTGCTCTCATCAACTTGTGGGATCCACGTACTAGGTAGGGCGCGAGAAATGAACGAGAGATTAGCTGTGCAAAAGGTAAATTACAATGGCCCTCAAACGTGGGCGACGACCGAGAACATAGTACTCGGGCTATAAACACGCGAGACATCCCCAATCGATACATGTTCGGAGGATGTAAGGATCCGTGATTTATCGAGTTCGCGCCTGGAATCTCCACGACGCTGTGCAGATTATTGGAGTGGCATATTACCACTCAATCTGAGGAAGCATGCAAGATGGTCATTTCTCTACTGCTGGCTATGCAGGCTGCGGAAGGGTTGAATCCTGGCCTGCCGCGGGGCTTACCTGTAACATAATAATACACTGCTAAAAACTGCAGCAGCAGGTGTTGCGTTCAGTTCCGACCATTGAACCTGACAGAATCAGTCCTTTGACAAAGGCGCGTCGAGGGTTCTTAGCGAAATGTGTATATATACTCAGCTTTGGCCCTCGGAAAGCGTTTGATTCCGAGATAATGACATAAGACGATCGAACGATTTAGTGATTTTAACGGTGCATCACTCAGGTCTATCAACGACACAGCTTGGAGCAAGTTCTGGCCACTGCACCGGGGTTATGCAGGTTTCTATCAGCTTCGAATTCATGGAAATGAGCGCGCTAATTTAGGCAAGTCCTCGACTCCTCGCCGCATCACACTAAGAACACCGAACAGCGCATCAGTCAAGATCAGATCCTGGAGGCCGATCCAGACCAAGCAAAATTTGGAAGCGACAACTGAATTCTTAGAGGGGATGGCCAAAATGATGCTCAAATATTAATGTCATGACGGATCTTTAAGAAAAATCAAAGAGAAACATGAATCTTATGGGTATCTAGGGTGATGATCATTAGATGAATGTGCCACTAAATGCCTCTCCTGGGGGTGTGGGAACTGAACGAGATAACATTCAGTACAAGAATGGCAACAACCCAAGGAATACGTACAAAAGGATCCATGGGGTTTACACTCGGCATCATTTGAGGCTGGCTCCAGTGCTGAGGGGGTGGTTGGTGGTTCATAGATCGCATATTAACATGGTGCTGAGATTGAGGAGGGGGAACGTGTCGTGAGGGAGCTGGTGAATGTAAATGAGTAGCTGGAGTAGCGTAAGCAGAGTCGTATCGGTGAGGAGGGTATGGCTGCATCTCGGATATCATTGATAAAACATTGGAATTCTGATTTGGATGCACAGGGTAACCTTGTGGAGCTCTGCATATTTGTTAGAACAGAGCGAAATTAAAAAGAACTTCAAGACTCACATTTGACGTCGCGCAGCATCGGGCTCTGGCCCGAGCCTAAGATGAGGGTCTTCCTCGTATTTCACTTGAGGTACTGGAGCAAAAAGATCACTGAAACACGGGTTTTTGGTCAGTAAATAATACGTATAATGGAAGATGCACATGCCTGTGTCGACGGGACATTGGAGGTTGGTTGTAATCGCTAGATACACGAGCTTTTGCAGGCGTGCTGTCCCGAGTAGGAGGTGTTGAAGTCTCCGACAGTCCTGATGAATCTGCAGTGGATGGGCGGCCGTCGACACTATCTTTCCGAGATGTTGATTTCTTGCGGGTGGGAACGCCTTCTGGCCATGTGCACTGGACAAGTGTTTAGCTAATTTTTTTTTGAAAGACTATATGACGATGCGCACGTCTCGCTGCCCATGAGTGCATCGCATGCAGTTAGGTTTTGCCTCGTCACACTGAATTGGAGGATGAATAACGTGTTTGAGATGAAGTATGGAGTGGCATACCTTTATTTTTTTGACTCGACATGTCATACAACCAGTCTTGCTTCTTGTATACTTGGGACGCTTCCTTTGTTGTGGCTCTTGACGTTGCTGGGGCGCTATGAGATGAGCATGCCCAGGATTGTGAGCGGAAGGTGGATAATAGGATGCTGGGGGAAGGTAAGCGTTAGGGGCGGAAGAGCTGTAGAAAAGATGTTCAATGAGAATGATAGCCAACATAAGGACATTGACTGACTATGCCATGCTTTCTGCCATACGATGAATAGGAAGTATGGGAGGTAGATTTTCGTGAGGAAGATCCTTCATCGTTTTATACTAAATCTTGTTAGAAGTAAGAAGCAGAGAAGGTTAGAAGGGTGGAAAATGGACGGGGACACCATTGTCACGGACCCGGGAAATCGGTCTAAATCACTAAAATTCTGATCTAAGGGTCGTGGATGCGTCGTAAGTGCATTTTAAGACTTGCCATAACAAATTTCGTATAGGGAAGGTGGGGATTTTTTTAATCAATTTCCACACATCATTGGCGCATCATGTTTCTTTGCGTGTTGGGAAAAATCAGAAAAAAAAACGAGGAGCAGCACGAGCGATCTCCTAGATGAAAGGGTTGTTTCATTGAAAAGAATATTAATGTCTTTCAGGCGAAAGAAAAGAATTCAATTCAGGTCCTAAACCTTAGAGGTACCGGTCATTTTTACACCAAAAATTGACGATCCAATTTCCTTAATTGTATTTTCACTTCTGATGCGCTACTCTAATTTAGGTAATTCGTCGGCCATCAACATTCCGGACTGTCCTGACATGTGGTCGATCCTTTCAAGTGACACATCGCGTGGTGATGGGGTCTATGCCATTCGTATTCACTCACTCTTTACTCACTTAATTTCTCTGAACTCACACTCTAGTCTCCGTACAACTTCCCCCCTCACTATACCGTAATGAGGAATTCCTACATGTGAATGACAACACGTCCAACGACCTATAACTGTATGTAAGATTCCACACCTTATACTGTAAACGTCTGCCAGGTCCCCGTAAGTCGACGTTTTTGACCCTTCACGTACATGTGTTGTCTATTCTAGCATTTCCCGTCTAGTTTCTAATCTCCACCGCTCCCGCGGCTTTGAACCATGTCTCCGATGATCACTGCAGAACACCGAGCGCTCCCTCTCCCATTTGTTTTCTTGTACACTGTTAAGCAGACCAGGTGCCAAACTGCGCACTGTGACACTTATCTTGACACTTTCCTACGGCCCGTAAAGGGCAGCCTGTGGCTCTATTACTCAATAAAACCAAACGCTCAGAAAACGTGACGGCGTATCCGATCGCTACTTATAACACGTTTCAACAACACATGGCATGATTGACCGTCATCCATAGAACGGTAGTTAATACATGTGCTTCAGGATGTCATATATCACCTGGATGCATACGATACTCGATCAATGAACCAAACGCCGCTCAATTCCGGGCTCACTGAAAACCAATGGAAAACCATGTATGATTGCATGATCTTCTAGCCTGATAATAATAATAATAAAGGCGCTGGAGCCTACTACTATCCAATTAAAAACTTGGCATCAGCATCAAAACGAGGCTGAATACCGATTTAGTCTCAAAATAAGGTACCGAGAAACTGAAGTCGAAGGTGCTGTTACTGCGCCTCCAAGTCTCCGCACCAGTCATGACGTGGAATGACAGTTGCCAAAGAACAGCACTGAGTGGTCAGGTCGCTAAAGATTCTCAGGCAAGGTACAGTCTTGCACTCTCCCTTCTCATAGATATACAGATCACGTACAATTAACAGCCATTTCTATGCTCCTATTGCCCACACTGTCACTTAGAGTCCGCTCAAAAAGACTCGGCGTTCCGCAGAGGTTCTGTCTCCCAGGCTCTCAACTTTGATCGATTGGAATATCGAGTATTATTAGCCACTTGATCAACAATAAAGACTCACGTCGAACATCAAGTTTGAGATCCCGGCGGTGACAACAGGCGTGGGGGAACGAGCTAACGAAAGAAGGTCGCGCCCATCGAAGCGGTTTGATGGCCTTTGGGTATACACACATGATAATCATTCGAACGTTTTCGTGATAGAGATGCAATTGGCTTGCGTCCACGAGAACCCACAACAATACCTGTGCTACAGCAGTCTCTTTGATGGGTCCTGGACGAGCTGGGAATATGATCCACTATTTACATAAGCGTTGGACGTCGACGCTCGGAGTGTGGAAGAGTTCTGAAAGGATCAAATGTACACAGTTTCTGTCACACGATATGAGATGACAGTAGTGACTGCGGATCATTCTTTACCTGAGGGCTTTCCGCACGCTCTCCGTAGCAATGATGCGTGCAACCGTTACCATTGGCGCTGAGTCTGGGAGAGCTGGCAACGTCTTTCACACCAGCACTGATATCTACCTGCAACTCCGCGGTCACGTCAGCGTCGTTGAGTGTGAAAGATGGGTCCTGGCGATCTGACAGGAACAGTCCCCTTCTTGATTTGCCAAGACGTTGCATGCCGACGGCGAGGAAGTTTGAGCAATTTGTCGTTACTGAATTCTACGGTTGATTAGCTGACGACGTTGAATGTAGAGTACTAATTGTAAAATTTTGACAGGGGGTATAGAGGTCGCGGATAAGGTGGGACATTTTGAAGTGTCAAGTTCATTACTTGGCACACTGCTCCAAAAGCGGATTGCACCATCAGGACGGCGGTGACCGGATGACTACCTGATACAACAGCAACATTTTGTTGAATGTGGTCACTTCTAACGAAATATCTTCTTCGCGTTCGCGGAAAGCTTCAGAGTGAATATGAGTGAACCTTGCCTCACATCCGCTTCTACTGTATAACATCATCATTTGAGTTTGCATGAAAAAGAAGATTCGTACCTTGAAGTCTAAGTACCGTCATAGTATTACATACCTTTAACTCAACTATGTAGAAGCGCTGAAGGAAAGGAGATGCTGTGACATGGCAATTCCATGTTCGCCACAATGGTTTGTTGCAAAGTGGGTCCTGGCGGAGTTCAAAACTTTACTGGAGCCTTAATTTGTCTTTCACGGTGTTTGATCTATCACAAGCACTGAGCACTACTTTGCAACTCGCAGAGCTTCAGTCTCCAGAACTCAATTTTCAAACTTTGTTACTTATAAGCGAACAAGATGTCGTGTGATGGGCCTTTAATAGCGTTTGATATCTCTTTATCTTATCTCGTACACTCACGCATCATCAGATTTTCAAATATCCAGTTCAAAAACTCTCAGGTAGATCCTCGTTATCTACCGTCATACACTTGGCACTCACTACCATCTCACCAGAACGTGATAAATGCATCAGGAATCTACAGCATGTCTGCCAATTGGTTTTGACGTCTGGTGGGAGTACACATCCGCTTCAAACTTACACCGTCGCTTCCTAGTATTTGATTTCCCTCAGAACTGTTAGTATCACTTGCAAGTTCTTGTCATACCGCTCAAACCCGGGCTGACTCCTCGTGCATGAATAAGTCATTGGCGTCCCTGCCAGTCTTGACATCAGGTTGCAGAACTAGAAGTTCAACCCTTGGTCCTTTACGTCGACCCATAACGAAGTTATTTTATCTCAGCGATTCTTGAGGCTACTGCCGCGAGACTTGTCATACGGCACATACCGATTTTGGAAACTTATGACCAGACTTATCAGAAGCCTACACTCATGTTTTGCAGGGCCACGAACGTCAACGGCATATGTGTTGTCCTACGTCGAATACTTCTCTGAATGGAAATGGGACCCTCCGAAAAAACGGCATTCATGTCAGTCGCCGCACGGTCTCAATTCACCAAGAAAGATCTCTATCGGCAGCGCAGTATTCCCAGAGAACAGCATGGGGTCCTGGTTCGATGCTCTCACTCGAGCCTTTGACTCGCTTCCCTCACCCACCAATTGCTTCGACCGCTAACCGCACTTGTTTCAGTCAGGAACTTCCCTCATTTCCTGTAGAAGAACAGCCCTTTTGTTTAGCGATATCCCTCTGCTTTGCAGCAGATTCGTTCGACCAAGAGGGTATTCCTTCTCAAGTTTAAAGATATCGAGGATACTTAACCGAGGACTTCAACGTGTGCTTCGCACTATCTGGTGGGAGAACAAATAATATGAATATGTGTATGTGCTTCACCATGCCACTGCTTTCTGACTATTAGAACAAACTAGCCGTTTGCCCGAGTCATTCAAACGAACTTACATACGAGATCGTGACGTCTGATTTAGCGGCTGGCTAGCGCCCATACAGGCGCCTAGTATGTGTTTCTGTTACGTCGCGGTCATCCCAAGAAGCTGGCCAAATGAAAGAAATTGTCATATAGGGTTTTTTCAGTTCCCTGCATCCATGTCACAATTCGTCTAAGGAAAGAAGCTGTCGGGAGTACTCATCGCACGGGCGGCTTTTGTCGCTAAGCTTCAAGCTCACACTCACTCCACACGACTCACACCCTCCCCCTCATTTGTATTACCACATAGAGAAGACACGATCGACGGTGCTCAACTCAAATGCTATCGCCTTCCGTAAGGTGAGGTTGCTATGGACTACGCTGCATACATATGGCAAGAGACAGTCTACTGGCGATGAGTCTAGCGAAATTTGACTTTGCACGGACGTGCCTTCCGAATTCACTCTTGGTCACCCATTGGGACTGCTATATCATTATGATAGGCGAAGGTATTCCGGAAAATGTGATTATTTGTGTCGCTCTCTAATGTAGTCACAGGGTGCCTTGTTAAACCCAATATTTGCCTCCATCTTTACTGTAAAAACTGAACAGGACTGTCGAGTTCTCAGTGAAAATGGCTATTTTCGAGTTCTCTCTAATTATGAAACAACACGATCTTGACAGTGAGACTCTGAAGTTAGCATCAAACTCAAAAGCATCTACTGGGCAATGGTACGTCGTTTTCACAGGAGAGTGCGTGAGATTCGAATCATTGACAATCTTGTAGGGGAAGGTTGGAACCACTTATCGGAGGATGGTCCTCCGTTCCTAGAAGACTGATTATCCCCGCAATATTGGAGATGTGTTGGATACATGGTATAATTTTAGGAATTCCGAGTCTTCTCGGTTAGATTTCTTCAACATCCTGAGGAGCTGAAATCCTCCACAATAAGCTGTGGGAGGTAACCAGATAACTTGGCAGGGAAGGGGGGTACTCCGCGGGCGCGACATGGCACGACATGGCACAGCAGAGTTGCACCAGTATGTTACCTTGTGGCGCACTGCAATGAATCTGATAAGACTTGAATAGATATTGAGGTCACATGCGATAAAACACTGCATGCAGCCAATGGCTTTGACAGTTCGTGGCACTAAACTTCTTCTGTTAAGCGATTATCTTTTGACTGGCCTCCACGATGAGTGCGGGGAAATTTTCAACTTTCTCGCGATAACAATTATTTGAAGGTACAGAATGATGCAATGAAACCTGACTAGAACGCTCTTGGGAGCAATCCCCGTCTTTCACCCGACAATCCTGATATTTTTAAGACACAACGAACAGACCATTGTACCTAATATCCCCGAACAATCCAACGTTCGTCAGAACTGCCCACACTAGATGCAAGCGCCCCATTCCCTATGCAGGCATCGGCATCTTGATTAATGCGGCGAGCCCGGCCGAACATGTACCCCCGCCTCCGCCTCGTGGGAATCCTGCGCCCCACCACCAACTCGGTTCGAGTCCAAGCGAGTGCACCCCCCATCGACCGTTTCCTGTGATCATTCATGGGTATTTCAATCGAATATTCTCTCAGTATTAACCATTGAATGATCTTTCCATATATTTTTTCAGCTTCAGAAGAACAAATCGTTCTAGACGACGCGCACGTCCCTGGCGAGGACGCGAAAGATGCATTCGATGAAAAAGTAGCCGAATCGATCAAAGAGTCGATCAAGAAGTCACGGCGCTCTTGGAAAATTCACCATGAGTCTTCAATGTGGGCCAGAGCAGCGGGTCTGAGCGACGATGAACTCACGAGCTTCTCTCGAGATGATCTCGTACAAATCCGAAACGGACAGGCGAGCTACGGACACGTTATCTTTGGGAAGTTGAGGCTTCCTGCTGTTAATGATAAGCTCGGCGAGGGATATGTTCACGTCAGGTGCGGGTTCTTCCATTCGAATTTCTACTGCGAGGTCTTGGGGTTTTTTTTACGGTGTTGTAAATATTGACTTATGAGTTGCTGTGGTCCAGGATCCACCACGAGGTGAGCATTTCATTCCGTCCGCGTTGATTCATTACACCTCTCATGTTAATCGTCAGGGAGTTTCCGGATGGAAACTACACGCTATCCATCACCTCACAGCATCCTTTGACGAGGATGGCCATCCTCATTCTTGGCGTGCCATCCATCCTGATAGCTATCCCTTGGAGTTCTTTGAGTACCACTCCGAGCTTCACGAGGCCCCACAACGTTCCTCTCATCGGTGAATTTCGGAGTTATCAGGGAAAGAAAGAAGAGTGTGATGGTTATTTTGTACGATATGTCGTTGTGACGTCCGCGGAGCGTGTTTTGTACTAATATCTCCCTGCAATAGTTACGTGTGATTGATTTGATTGCTCGTCGCCCTCAGAGGGCATTCACCCGCGAGTAAGTTGTCCCTGCTGTCTTATCGCCGAATGGGTAAAGTAGCTACTATAGACGGTCTCCGTCACATTAATATCTGCCTGGTACATGAAGCAAGATGACGAGACATGTCCAACCTAAGGTTAATGACTCTAGAAGATGGAGTCTAATGAAAAAATTGGACTGGTCCCGCAGCGTCTACTCGCGCCTGTTGATGCTCAAAGCAAGTCTATAGGGTATGGTTATATACTAGTACACAAGAAGACAGGAGGACCCAAAGTGTTCATGGTGAAACAGATGCCGCTGCACTCCCAAAACAACAAGACATAAGCACATACTCGGACAGGCAACAAATAAACTATATGTACAGAAGGAATATGAACAAGACAGAAAAATAGAGACGCATAGGCATAATTGATCAAACTGGTTAGCACAGCAAACACGTGGGTGTCCATGGGCGATAGTAGTCAAAAAGCATATACCGATGGCCAGGATTCGGTGTGCGATACTGAAAGACCCGCTGCAAAATATAGCTGATCCTCATCGTGACTCCGACACACATCGTTCGGCATCGAGTACATGAACGGAATCGGTACCGGCTGCAACATCTTGTCGTTCTGCGCGCTCGAAAAAGCGGCGAACTGACAGGATGGCGGCGGCGGCGTTGACATGTCCATGAAACTTGACATCTGAATAGTGCGATCCCCAAGCGATGACTCTGTGGGCGTAGGCGAGTAGCTGAGACCAGGCGTCGGTGGACTGATCTCGGAGTCGTTCGGACTGTTATCCATTCCCAGACTCGATTCGGTTGGCATCCACCGCGAAGTCTCAACGGCAGACGAAATCGTCGCCGAACATGAGTCCTCGCGATAGGTGTGTGCGGGTAGCGTGGCGTGCCGCCTGAGACCCACACCAGGCCTTGCCACCAGAGGTGAGCCTACTGACATCGGTGATACAACGGGGCTAGTCTCCATAACCGACTGCGTTCTCGGACTGCTCCTAAGCAAAATGTTGCTTTCACTTTTGCACTTTGTGAGCGCGCGTCCAGTAGCAACTGGCGCTGCAGGCAGCTTGCCAACCCAGAGGCGCCACTCAAGCGCCTCACCCAGAGCACGTTCGCAACGGCCAATCTCCCGTGGCGGAAGGCCCGAAAGTTTAGCCCATGCACGATTCGAGTAACAACGATCTTGCATGAATTTCGATGCAAGAATGAGTGACGCGAGGAAAGTGCGGCGAGGACACAGGAGCGGCGAGGGAAGTGGAGGAAGCGGCGTTAAACAGCCACTACTCTGCTTAGGCTTGTGGGAAGACACCTTCTCTGCGTCGAATACCGGCTCTGCAAATACAGAATCGGCCTCAAGTGTAACAGGGTTGATGCGAATAGTATCTAGCAAACCATTGCCTGCCGATGTTTCCGAAGAAGAAGGAAGACCACCAAGGCCAGCGCCAAATGCGCTGACCTCGCATTGGACGATCCGTTCAACCGATTCCTTTTCGCAAGTGGACCCAGGGTAACCCTTCTCCTGCGAGACCAGCTCTGGGACCTTGGCGCGGATAGCTTCCAAGTAACAAAGGGCTGTCTGTAGAACGGTACCTGACGTGCGAGAACGGCGAAGAACCTCGTGAACAAACCCTTTCATGGGCGCAACGTCGCAACGCGGTGCCTGATCTCTCGAATCGGGCGTCAGGGGTGTATCGGGGGATTGCAGGGAGTACGGATTTGGGATACATGGGGCGGGCGTGGGAGAAGACTGTGTCGTTGGAGATATGGGAGAGGGGAGCTGAGTATTACGCCCGTGGAGTGGAATACTGGGGACGGATACAAGAACGGAGTCGGTAGAAGCGGTAGCCACAGTCGGACGAGAGGATGTCAAAAAGACAAAAGGTATATCCTGAGGGTTCCATATTTCGCATATTGATCCTACAGCTTGATCTAATGGCGGATACAGATGCCGAATTTGAGATTAGAGGCCAAAAATGGCTAGTGAGGTTCGAACTTACCGACTAAACCAGTGACATATTTCGATTTCTGGGAGTCGCGGAGCTGATATTCTCGGGGGTGAAATTGAGGATTTCGCTGTCGTTCTTGTTCATAGACTGATGCTGATAGAGGTGAAGGTGTAATGGATGATACAGATGAGGCGGGAGTGACGAGATATGAAGGAGATTGGCGGGAGGAAACTGATGAAAGGGTGGCATAGTAGGGTTGCCAGCGAACCCGAGTGTGCGAATGTGATGTTGTTGTTGGTGGCCCCCGATGGGCCAGAGAGTGAGCAGCGGCACGAGCCATAGAGATGAGCAGATTGAGAAAAATAAGGCGTGGAGAGACGAGAGAGTAAATATTAAGACGAGATAGACGAGCTTGAGCGGATTATCTAGAAAGACTTGACTGCAGCATTAATGGAGTTTACTTTGGTTACTTTGGAGCTGAACGTAAATTTGGAGACTGGCTTGTAGACGGGTGCGGAGATTGAGTTGAAGAAACGGGGAATTACTGGGGAGCACATCGTGACTCCTTTGAGGAGGACTATCTAAAGTCTGAGACTTTAGACTATCCTAATAGTTATATAGCCTTGTCGAAAAGGCTATAATAACAGAGAAATATGGTGAGTGGGGAGGATCTGGAAGCAAGGATAGTAGATAAAGCCTAGCTAAAGGACTTGTAGGGCAGGCGGTACCTTCAGGTTCAGGCGGGGCGTTATATAAACTGAAGGAGTCACTGGGTACTCGAGGACCCTGATCACCTATAATCCGGGGTCCGACTTGACTCATACTAACTATACCCACAGTGACCCACATATCAAATTGACTTGCTGTTCTCCCAACGCAATACTAGCATCGAAGATCATCATCAAGAGCTTTTGCGCACCTAGCTGTATGCACATTACTGACTTCCCTGTACTACCTGTACTATTCCCACGGTCCCGCCTTCGGGAATCGGGATTGCATCCCGCGCACCGGTGGCAGTGTTCCTTTCTGCTACTGCGCACAGGCGGTACATAGCTCCTTGGGCGTAAGTGAAATTCATGCGCTGCCTTGTAAGATTTTATTGTTCTTCCTCTGTCTGCTACCCCACTTGTTTTGTTATGCCACGTCACTCAACTGATGTATCACAGGGTTATCCTTAATAAGGGTGAAACACCTATTCGTCTCCTCTATCGGATCTCCAGTAGAGCGTCCCCTATGCATCTTTTTGTCCATTCTTAATTCTAATTTCTGACTTAGTGACTCTCCTTGACTCTGAGACCACGCAATTATGACGCCTGCCAGCCTGATGGCCTGTGACATCCGATCGGGGATATCCTCCGAGGAGCCCGTCCGAGTCACTTCCCATCCTTCCGTGAATGTCCATTTGCCGTCCGCAAGTCTAGCAGATCTCGACGTGATCCTTCATCCGTCCGCCATGTGTTTTTTGACTCCAGTAGTGCGTTTAAATTGGTACATACATGACCTAGTAGTAGTAGCAGTGTGGTTTGCACGTGGAGGGGGCGTGCCAATAATCATAAACCTTGATTATTTTCCGACCATATCGTAGTCGACCTCTTGTCCGGAACCCGCGACCATCGCAGTGCTGTGCTGGGGCTTCAAGTACTATGTGGTCTCAGTTGACTTGGATAGCTGTATGTATACGTGATCATTACGACCCTCTACAACTAGACAATTCCTATCGTTGCGCAATTGATCAAACAGGTACCACATATCCTATTAATGTGTAAAACGTGACCTCAGAGGCAACTCGTTGACGCCTCACGACATCATCATATTCACACCCTCACCAACGGAGAGCGCAGCTTCCCATCTTCACGGAAAAAAACATCCATAATGGCCGGCGGCGTGAACGTCGGACTAACGGCTTACGTCGATATTCACAATTTCAAACGTGTGGCAGGTCCTTTGTGGCTCCATAGAATTACACCACTGGACAGAGATCGGAACCGAATCTTTTTTGCCTCCTTGAACTGGATGATCCGGAATTCGGAGCTTGCACGGAAGGCTCGTTGTTTACCCAACGAATTCGAACCTGAAATTTTTGATGTCCCAGGGCCTGGTTCTTCTTGACGTTGACCTACTATGCCTGTCGAATTGTAATACGTATGCAGGATACTCGTACGACAAAGGTCAGACGACACCATATCAAACGTTGGCGCTCGGCAACTGCCATTGTTCAGCAAAGGTGTTTGCCTTGGTTGGTGTCTGCTCCGTGCACTTTTGGTGCTGACCATTTAAATACCCCTCAGCTATGGTGTTGCGTTTGAATTTTCGTAAAGCCTCTGCGCCCGAGGTTAAAAGTTGCCTGGAATGGTAGCTGTTCCAAACAACCTGTCAGGAACTTTCCGAGGTCCCAAGCAGCACGTGAAGCCGGAGCGGAGCGCATGGAGCATTTGCACCACCTGTGTCAAAAGCGGGTAAAAGTGTGGTGCGCTCGAGGATTGTGACTCACACTTCAAACATCCGAACAGAAAATAACCCAACTCGGGAGCCGTTCGGGCTCAGGGGGCTGCGGAATAACTTGAACTGGCCTGGTCATTACCTGTGCCAAACCTATACAGGTACCCGGTACCGCGTGAGCCCGCATGAAAGACAGTCCACCAGGGACTCTCAGCCTGAGAGTTATAATCGAGGTACACGGACATGGATGTACCGTAGGATCCGTTCAAAGTTGTAATCTCTCAGGCACATTAGGAGAAGAAGATCGCAGAAGAATGCAAAAACGGCGACAGAAAGCAGCATGCAGATAGGAAATAGGGTGTATGCGCCCGATGCCAACCCAGGCCCCAGGACCGTCGAGTCAGACTGGCTCGGATCCGACGACAAATAGAGTGGCAGTGAACGTAGAAGGCTTACCATATATAGACACCCGAACAAACAACAGTTCTGCGACGGGTTGGCAAGAAGGAACAGGCCTAGGTGAGAACGTGGCGCAAGAAAACGCTCAACTTGATACGTTACTATGCCGAAACCCGTATCTAAGAAGCATTCAGATAAGTAACTTGAGAGAGCGATTCGCCGTGATGACTACATGATAGGTATCGTGACGACTAGCAAAATCCCTCTCGTCAGTTGTCGTGACCGTTTGGTAAGCATCGAATAACCGCTACACGCGACCACTGCCCTTACCTGACGGTCCGAAGGCCTGACCTACTGAATATCACAAAGTAACAAAGTCATAGGTGTCTACATACTCGCCAATGAAGCGGCACCATGTTCCGGCTCGGCAGCTTCGACTTGTCTTGCATGGGCCCTCCATTGCATAATTTAACATAATGGATGGTCTAATTTGCATCTAGGCAAAGCGCATTGTCATCATATCCGAGTCAATGTTTCTAATTCATTGTCTTAGAGCCACTTTCAAGTATCCCAAGATAGTGTGGGCTTGAGACCTGTGGTACCGGTCTCAGACTTGGAGCTTGAAATGTGAGTTCTTGTTGGAACCAGGAGGATTCATGCCAGGCTGACACGCATACAGCGGCTGTAGCGGGGTGGATGCAGACATCGTAGAGCCCTCAATTTTCACTCCGGACGACGATGACGATGACGGCCACCCCCGCTCACATGTGGACCTACGCTTGAAGCACGCTAACATTTTGCTTGAATGCTACGTGACCCAATGGTCCCAACAACGCAGTCGCTATTTTGCCCTAAAGTTGGTCCAACTGTTCTTTATCTTCACTCATCTGCTCTACCCCCTCTCTCTGCTTATAGTCCGACCAGTCCGCTAGTTTGTCATAATCTTCTGGCTGCAATGAAGCTTACCGTGTCGTTTCTTGCTGTGTTCACTACTTTTGCCATTCAAGTCGTCGTCCAAGCCGGCCACAGCTTTGAAAAGCTTCCTGCGCAGCGGGCTGCGCCGGGGAGATATGCCACTATTTCCGCTCGAAACAAGGGTGGCGATAGCGCACCCAAACTGCTGCGGAGGAATTGTAAAGGGAGACCGGTCAGTCGTGTTTCAAATTCGAATGATGGCCGCGAAGAAGCTTATCGTGGTTTCTATGCTCTTGTGTAACTGTGCACTGGTGACTGTAGGTTAGCTCGGGAAGTCCTGCACCATCACCTTCTGCATCGTTTGCAGGTTCACCCTTAGCTTCGGCTTCTGAATTAACTATAGTATTGACCAGCACATCGACCCTGACTGTGCCTGCAGCATCGTCACTACCCTCAGCATCAACATTCGGCCAGTCAACTCCAGCATCAACTACGGCTCTGCCTGCAGCATCATCACCAGCTTCAGCTTCGAGCACAGCATCAACTACATCAACCAAGGCTCTGCCTTCCGTGTCGTCACTAACATCAGCACCAACACCTCCTGCAACTTCATCAGCTCGTCGGCCCTCGACATCAGACAATGGACCCAGCAACAACTCTAGAGGTGGACCAATTGATGGACTCGTCAACGTCATCTCCTCCAAAGGCTGTGGATCTAGCGGTGCAACCGGTACGACTTTCTCGTATTGTAAGCGAAGGGAGTATACTTGCTGATGGACATGCATCTTTACCAGAGAAAGTCACTCCATTGAGTGGTCCCAATGGCCATATCAATTTCCTAACCTGTGGCATCAACGGGACCGGATGGAACCCACCCTTGATTAACATTAAGGGTATCGTCACTGTTGACCTGTCAGCGGTCGCGTACCAAAATGATTCAGCATTCACGAACTGCCAGGACTTTGTCGCGACATTTGAGCAATATGGTAGCCAGTATGGAAGTCGGTGCCATTTTCCAAGTTTTGCTACATTTCCATCTGACGTTGCGTGACAGTCCCTGCTATTCTCCTTGCGTCTTTTGCCATGCAGGAGAGTTCATGTATACCGAGCACCGTTGGTGGAGCTGGTGAGCAAGGTTTGATGCAGCTCACCAGCGACAAATGTGTTGGTGCTCCCAATGGTGATTGCATGGACGTTGTAAGCCATGCCGTTATCGTGTCAGACATGTCATCTTGATCACATCCATATTTCTCCCCAGGATTTCAATATCGGTGCTGGCGCCATGTTCTTTTCGCAACTGCTTGACGAAAATGATGGCGACCTTCTCTCCTCCATTGGTCATTACAACGGCTGGTTCCAGGGAATGACTTATGTATTTATTTTGTTGCCATACCTTTAGAAATACCGGTGCTGACTGTATACGTATAGGCGAATGCAACTGCTGCTGCCCGTGGTGGTGACTGCAGGGAACAAAATAATCTCGACTAGTAAGCCTTTATTAATCTCCGTGTTGTGTGATTTAATCTCATATATCGAAATAGTTTGCACCAGTTCTTGAACGGTTGGTGCCAGAACATCAACGCCTATGAGCACAACCCTCCTCTTGGCGAGTATTTCAACTTGAATGTCTGTAACTAAGCAACGTTCCATGGGGACTATTTTTGCTTTCGCTGGGACATTATCATGGACACCATTTATTAACATCAAGCAAGAGTTTAAATCTTATACCACTTATTACCGCATACACCCATACCCGTTTTATGGTGGCGTTGTCACCGCTTCCCCGTGATCTCACTTATTTTTTCTGGTTAATGCGAAGCTTTTTATTCGCGAATCTCTAGTCAAAGCTCAAGATTCCGATAAATAGTTAATGTAAAGCCACCGATGCGAATTTCCTTTCTCAGAAAATTTCAGGTCGGGGTGATTAATGAACTGGCCAGTACTTGCAGATCGCGACGTACGCTTCTTAGCTAGTGAGCGCTTTCATAACATGGGTGATTCATCGTCAACATCGTCTTCTGCGCCTGCATCGACTGTGCCATCTTCTCTTCCCTCCCCAGAAATTCAAACTTTGAGTCTAGGAGATGTAACCGACGAGGATCGGGCGAAGGCCGCTAAGATCAAGATAGAGGCAAATCAAGCGTTCGCAAGTGCGTGTTGAAACATTGGCATTGCATTCGTGATGATGTTCAAGTTGTCGCGATCTGCTCAACAGGTCATAATTTCGTGGAGGCCGTTAGACTCTACACCCAAGCCATAGAACTGAACCCGTTAGATGCGACGTATTGGTGCAATCGCGCTACAGCTCGGACAAAACTAGAGGAATACGGGTTCGCGCTTTTGGATGCTTGTAAGTCGCTGTATATGTCAGTCTAGGTGTTTTAGCATCTCACGCGACTATAGCAAAAGCCATCGAAGTCGATCCTAAGTATGCCAAAGCCTTTTATCGGTATGTGATAGGTTGCGGGTGCAAATAACCGAAGTTAAGCGCTCGTATCAGCCGCGCGACGTGCTATCTACAGATTGTGAAACCTCAACTGGCGGTGGCGGACTTCAAGAGAGTCGTCGCGCTAGAGCCTAGAAACACAGTCGTCCAGTCACAGCTCACAGCTACTCAAAAGCTCGTGCGCAGAATAGAATTTGAGAAGGTGTGTTTAACGCTTTATGTTAATCTTGCGGCTGATCTTCCGGGTAGGCGATTGAGGTAGAAGGGGAGAAAGATCCAGTAGAAAGATGTCACGAAATCATTGCGGAAGGTCAGCTGTTCGATTCTCCATGAATTCTGCGATTTCATTATTTTCAGGCGGCTGTGAGCTCGACAAAGCTTATGCTGGTCCACAATTGAGTACTGGGGACGACGGGAAATATGTGATGACGGAGGAGTTTATCAAAGGAATGATCGAGTGGTTCAAGGCAGGCAAAAATCTTCCAAGGCGATACGCGTGGGAGGTTATTCTTGGAGCATACACGCATTTTGTGAAAGAGGAAAGTCTGGTCGACTTGGAGCTACAAGAAGGCGTGACATGCGACGTCATTGGAGATGTTCACGGTCAGTCTAAGCGCTGTAGCGCTTGATATAGAGTTGTGCTTACTGTGTCGATTCTAGGCCAATTCTACGATTTACTGAACCTATACTCGTTGACGGGTACTCCCACCGAGAATCATTGTCTTCTTATGAATGGCGATCTTGTTGATCGGGGATCGTGGTCCGTTGAGGTTATTCTTACCGCTTTTGCGTACAAATGTGAGTATGTGAACTATACGAAGGGCCTTGATACTGAAATTATGTGCAAGGGTTATACCCCACACGCATGTTCATCAATAGAGGTAATCACGAAGCAAAAGACATGAACCGAACGTATGGTTTTGAAGGCGAAGCAAAGCATAAACACGGAGAGCAAACATATAAAGTCCATTCCCTCCATTCTCCTTCTGTTTAAAGCACTCACAGCTTCTTCAACAGTTGTTCGCTCATGTTTTCACCACTTGTGAGTATTTATGGATCTGCTAAGTTCAGCCGATTGATCGCTGGCTCTTCAGTACCATTAGCAACACTTGTGAGCGCCACCAAAGCACCCACCAAAACAAGCACTACGACGATTCTATCACCAAAAGGGCTCAAGAGACACTTTGTCGTGCATGGCGGGCTATTCAGTAAAGACGGTGTTACCCTAGATGAAGTTCGCAAAATTCCTCGAATTGGACGGCAGCCAGGTCAAGACGGTTTAATGTGTGCGTACCCTCCCACTCTTCCAACTGTCATAACTGACACGCTCTCAGCTGATGTGTGCATTTATGCTGTACTCATGCTTACAGGCACTTATTTCCATTTCAGCTTCTCTGGACTGACCCTCAAACGCTTCCTGGTCGCGGCCCGAGCAAACGTGTATGTGTCGGTTAGCTGCCCAATCGCTGTGAGGCTCACAACTTCCCTTCCAGGGTGTCGGCATTGCTTTCGGTCCTGACATCACGAAGAAGTGGTGTTCATTGAATGGCATTACTTGTATCATTCGCAGCCACGAAGTTCGCCAGGGTAAGTGTTCTTCGTCGCATTACTAAGGAACCTGACTCCAATTTGGGTTTGCAGATGGGTACGCCGTTGAACATGATGGCCTCTGCACGACCGTCTTTTCGGCCCCAAATTATGTGGATCAAGTGGGTAATAAGGGAGCGTTTGTATGTCCATACACTGTTCATCCAAGGCTTCAAATACTCACATCTTGCTAGATACGAATAGATGCAGAAGGAGACCAAAAGTACTTCCAATTCGAAGCGACGCCTCATCCGCCAATGAAGCCGATGGCATATGCGCAAGGAGGTCTGGCAAGCTTGATGATGTAGATTTTCGTGGCGAATCTTACAGGGATTTATGGACATGGACTAGAGTCACGATGTAATGGGTGCGGGCGCGTGGGAATCTTGCTACTTGTAGTTACCAGTCGCCTTTTTGGAGCTTCAAACTAGTGCTTAACATACTCTTTCACTTGACTTTGAGATTTCTGAAGTGCAATGGACAAGACGAAATCAAGACTGGCTGCGTTCTTCGATGACGACGAAGAGTCTTCGTTCCCAGTGCGACGAATAGACATTATTTATGTCCTTGAAACACTTACCAATCGCTTCGTACATTAGCAAAAGACTCTCGATGACACGAAGTTGTCGCAGTACGCGCAAGGCACTGTTCGCAAGTCTCGCCGAGAAAAGGAGAAGGAAGCTGCGGACGCCAAAAAACGAGAGGAGGAAGAGAGTGCTGCCAAGGCATATGCTGATTTCATTGATGCGTTTGAAGGGGAAAGTGCGGACAAGCGGAAGACTGGTTCAGGATTTGTTCGCGCATCCGATGGCACGAAAGTGTCTTACCAACCACCAGTCAAGGGTGTCGCGGAATTCTCGTCGCGCAGCAGGCCAGTTCGATCTAATGAAGATGAAGTATGTGAAACGCTTCATGCGAGCAACTACTTGTGCTTATATTCTTGACCAGTCTACCGCACCAGGTGGTGCACCGAAGCCGAAAGGCAAACGAGCCATGGATTCATTTCTCGAAGAGATCAAGAGGTACTCAAGTTCTTACTGTCATGTGCGTTACTTCATCATCCCTTCAGAGAACAGGCAATGCGAGAGGCCAGGTATTCCCGTTCCTCCCATGGGCGTTCAGTGACTGCATTAGCAGGTGGGATTTCATTTGCTTTTATTGCCCCAAACTCAAATGTATTGCATTGCAGCATATGAAGGGCAGAGTGGCAGCAAGGACCGCGGTGATCCTGAGGTGAGCGCGAACACCTTTTCGCTTGTTCGTCTTCCGATTTCTTTTGCAGACTTCCAACCTTTTTGTGGCCAATTTACCCTCCAATGTCACCGAGCAATCTCTTGGCACCTTTTTTGCGCGTCACGGTCCTGTTGGCTCCGTAAAAATTATGTGGCCACGAGGAGATATTGTTGCTGGTCCGGGTGGTGACATGACTGCTTCGCGCCGCAATAGAAATTCCGGATTGAGTGGGTTCGTATCCTTTATGAAGCGTAAGGATGCAGAAGCTGCTTTGAGGGAAGTTGACGGCCTTGATTGGGGGGGTTCGATTCTTCGTGTGGGATGGAGCAAAGCTGTGCCTATGGCTGCGAAAGCTCTCTATGGTAGAGGTCATAGCAATTGCCTTGAGCTTTTTTTTCACGTACCTTACAGTACCGAGCAGGACATCCAGGTCGAGATCAAGATCGCGAGGACACGAACGTAGGGGCAGGAGTCAGTCACATTCGCCAAGGCGTCACTCCCGATCTCGCTCTACGGGACGCTATCGGTCCTCTAGACGTTCCCGCAGTCGTTCTTTAAACGATAGTCGCTCACCTCGGCGGCGACGGCACTCATACAGTCGTTCACGCTATGACAGCCGCAGTCCATGCAGACGGTCACCCAGCCCTTCGAGGAGGCACGAGTCTGAAGATGAGGCATCTGCCGTCACCGACACGTTCATTCGTGCTGTGGCCGCCGAGGTCAAAGGCCATGGATCTGAGTACGAGGAAAATCTTCGTGAATGGGAAAGGAACAATCCCAGGTACTCTTTCATGACGCGGCGCAAGGTATGTCAAGATATCTCCTTAGTGAGGACGTTGACAGACTGGGACAAGCACCGACGGCACGCATTCTACAAAGGTCTAGTCGAGCGAGACGATTTTACTGGTGCAGAATTTGACGACGAGGTGTGCGCGTTGCTTTCTCTTAGTGAACCATGCTAAACACGTGCCAGGGGTATAACTCAGCCTACTCTACTGATTCTGCGGAAGAGTCAGAGCAAGAACGAACACGCAAGACTGTTCTAGGCAAGCTAGCTCGCAAACGATTCGAAGCAATGCTGCGTGGTGTCTCTGGCAAGAGAGGCGAACTCGCTCGTTGTATGACATTCAGCTTGGAGCACGCGGAAGCTGCCCGTGAGGTATAGTCACAATTTCCATCCGAAGAAGTGCTCTGTTCTAACTATGTTAGGTATCGGATATCATCATCTCTTCACTCTTGGTGGATGGTACACCTGTGCCACGCAAGATTGCTCGGTTGCATCTTATCTGTGACATTTTACACAACTCGGCAGCCCCAGTACCAAGTGCATGGAAGTTTCGGCAGGAATTCCAGTCTCGCTTGGGTATAGTGTTCGATCATTTCGCCACCATTTATCATTCTTTTCCTGGTCGGATCACCGCGGAAACATTCAAGAAGCAGATCACAGCCGTAGTAGACATTTGGGAAGACTGGATAGTCTTTGCTCCAGACTTCACTGCAGAACTGCGTGCTAGGCTGGATGGCACCACGCAGGCTGATTTGAACAAGCCGAAGGCAGAAGACGATGCTAGCGTTGCTGCAGCCGAGGCGCAATCTTCATATGTTTCCAAGTTCAAAGCGAAATCTTTCCAGCCTGCGCAGGAAATAACCGAGACAACCCCTGATGTCGTGGACGATGCTAATGATCTCGATGGTGAACCGATCGAAGACATGGATGTGGATGGAGAGCCGTTGGATGTGGATGGTACACCCCTTGATGACGACGTTGACGGCGTTCCTCTTGATCACGGCGAGGACCCTGATGTCGACGGCGAGCCAATGGAAGACATTGATGGATCGCCCATTGATGCAGATGATGTTGATGACGTTGATGGTGTCCCTCTTTGAGAGGTTTAATATTCCAATATCCGTCCCATTGTATTGCAGAGAATATCATAACAAGATAGTGTGTGGTTTGTCAATGGTTTAAACACAACAGCATGATGTACACCTAAAACCCAACATCAATGGACATGATTGACATCTCAGTGGCGTGGAGGACGGCCAGAAGATGTTTGCTTCAAGATAGCTTCTTTGGCAGCTTCGACAGCAGATTCAGACCCTACAGTACGATGTCAAACCAGTGATCTTGCATGGATAAAACCGACTTACCAATAATGATTATAGTACTGTTTTCCCTGCCAACTGTAATGTCAGCTCCAGTCTCGTTTCGAAGGCGAGCGACGTTAGACCCCTTTGAGCCCACGATTCTCGGGAATGCAGAGCGATCAGGGAGAGTCAAAAAGCCCACACATGTCATGGCTGCAGCCTGCGCAATAGCTTCCTGGATAAGGCTCTGGGCCCGCTCCAGACCAGCAGCATCGTTGCCCTTCAAAGTCCACTCCGAGTCACCTTCCTCAGCATCCAAGTAGTTTTCGGCAACCTGCCAGTGGATTTCGATAGATGGCGCATCCTCAGAATCATCAATGCGGGCAGTCGTAGAGCCATTTTCAGGGGGAGCAGTAGGGACTGCTGGCTTCTGAGGTTTGCCAGATTGCTCGACGGAAACCCCGAAGTTGCGCAAAGTACGGAAGAAGTGGCCCTGCTGTGAAATGGCGTGATGATACTTCAGTGGTACTGAGACAATCGCTGTCATGACCTCGGGGGCGGCAGGCTTCACGTTGGTCTGCGAGGAACATAAGAAGCAAAAAATTATAAAAGAGGTGTTGTATACCTTGAGCTCTTCAACCGCCGCCTCGCAGGCTTTGCGGGCACCAGAAACCTTGACGATATTGGCCGGATCAACATCTGCCATCTCACTTGCATTTTCGGGGTCACCAAATTGATTGTATGAGCGCGACCCAGGGAACTGTACTTGAACTCCGGTGCGGTTCTGAAGATCATTCAAATGTTGGCCACCTCTGCCGATCAAGTTACGGTGCTGCGACGCAGGGACCTCCACAGCCAAAACAACACGGTCACGCAACGTGGCCACGATTTTCTCGAGTTCCTCTTTGACCTTGTTAACCAACTTGGGCTCTCCACGGAGGCGAACCTCATCAGAGGCTTCATCTTGGCGAGGGCTGAGAAGCTGTTAGCAAACACCAAGATACAAGTGGAACAAACATACAAACGGACAAGGCCAGCTTGGAGTTTAGTGTCAGACGGACCACCACACCTGCTGATGAGATCTTTCAAACCCTGCCCACCAGCACCTATGATGTTACGGTGGAACTTGCGCTCAATGACCAAGGATGCCGTGGTTTCCTCGCCCACTTGATCGGCTATAGCCAGGATGGCGGTCTTCGCGGCATTAATTGCGTCCTTTGTACCACGAACTGTAATTTGAGTGAGAGAACCGATCCCGTCGTTGGTTTTATCGACATCAATTTGAGCTCCGGTGACATCCTTGATCTCAAGGATGCTGGCACCACCTTTGCCAAGGATACGAGAGACTGAACGAGTGGGAACATCGAATGTGAGAACCTTGTTGTTTTCCTTCTCAAACTCCAGAGCGTCAAGTAACTCAGACTTTGCGCTAGCAACGCCCCTCTTGCCACCCTTAATGAGGACCTCATCAGGTTTAAGTTGCTCCCTGGTCTTGCCCTCCCCGTTCTCGCCGGATGAACGAGGGAATGTGATCTTGACACCATAGTTTTCCTCCAGCCGGATAGCATACCTGCCACTCTGACCAATGAGCTGGGCGTGATACTGGTTGGGTATTTTCAAGACTTCAAAAGTCTCATCAGCCTGGGGGAGTGTCAGAAACGGGAATGTCGAATGATGCCACGACTTACGAGCCTCTCAACTTGCGATAAAATCCGTTTTTTGGCTTCTTCTGCATTCTCCTTGCGACCTGTGATCTGTTTGCAAATACAGTGAGAAATAGGGAGAGGAAAGACGGCACGTGGAGCGACTACCTTGACCCTGGATTTCTGATGAGTGGCCTTCTTCTTCTTGCCTGCCTCTTTTTCCTTCTCGTCTTCGTCCGAGAAATCAACCTTAACACCAAGAGAGTCGCGAAGTTTGTTGACACCTGAACCCTGTGCGCCGACGACGCGGCCAACATACTCCCGATCAATGTCGAATTCAATGGACTGTGTGGAATGAATCAGCCAGAGCAATAACTACAACATCTAATACCCACATAGCTGCTGACAATGGCATCATTCTTGGCATCCTCGACGACCTTGGAGATCTCGGTGACGGCACGATCGACGTCGATGCTGGCACCTCGGACAAGGATGACATCCTCATCAGATGCGTCGCCAACCTCTGCGCCAACCTTGATAGAGAGCGTTGTGTCTTCACCAATAATGCTGAAACACATTTGTAAACACAGTCGTCCCATGTAAGGCGAACTCACGCATTCAAAGTGGTGCCTCCTTGACCGATGACGGCTTCGTGCCAGCGCTTCTCGACCGAGATTGTCTGGCTTTTCACATCGGCAAATTCCTTGGCCATCTTGAGGAGTTCTTCCACAACATAATCCAAATGCTTGCCTTTCTCCACGGGCGAGGGCGACGCCGAGAGAGAAAGGGGATCGTAAACCAACAGGACCTCGGATTGCTCGCCGGACTCCGGAGGGAAGAAGACTTGGACATTGTGTGCCTCGTGGAATTGCTTCAATCTAGTCATATTGAATCAGCTTCGTACTTCAGCTATATCGCAAATTAAACTCACTTCTTGGCATTTTTACCCTGGATAACGCGGTGGATGAGCCAATCAATCGAAACTTCCCTCGTCGCACCGAAGACTTTCCCAATGAACTGAGAGATCTGTTTAATCACCGCGTCCACCGCGGATTTCTCGCCAGCGATGTCGATATTGAGAACTGATGCTTGGGCAATTGTGGCAGGAGACGGTGTAAAGATCGAGACATCAGGATGATCGTTAGCCAAGGTTGCCTCGTAGTCGATCCGTGCCATATACGTGAGAAGTTGCCTTGAAACCGCCACGGGACCAGGTAGAGGGAACTCGTGGATGAATTGCGAATTTGCCTTGGTCATGACGGCACCCAAACCAGCGGGAAGATCAACTGCCGAACCCCACACCGTGACCTCGTCGCTAGGATCCTCCGGAGAAGCGACTTCAACCAAACATTTGCTCTGCGCCAAAATGTCATCGACCGCTTTACCAGTAAGAAGACGATGCTGGCGCTTGGGCAAAGAAATCTTGAGGTTGGTTATGCTTGTCTTGAACACTTCGATGGTAGCTTTGATGGTCTCGGCAACACGAACGACGCCCTCGCGATCTCCACTGACAGTGATCTCCCGCTCAGGTTTATTCAAAGCGAGATCGACATAATAACCTTGAGATTGCTCCATAAAGTGGTTGCGACAAGTAAGGATGAAAGGTAGAATGTGAGCCGGAATGTCTCGAACTTTTTGAGTACGTTGTGAAGGTCGAGAAGCGATAATCTCGTTGAGCATTCCCTGAGCTTCCAAGGCATGCGGTCGCGGGCCGATGATAGTGACGGGTACCATAACCTCCTCCTCTTCCTCGTCGCCTGGGAGGGGGGCAGTAGTTCCGTTTGTTTCGCTTGCATTTCCGTTGGGAGTACCGTCCTTGGGAGGAATGTCGACCTTGACACCTGTAGCGTCGCGAACCTTCTTGAGAGTCGCGCCTATAATTATGAACAGTAAATACATGAAATGCCAGCGAGTGCAAAGCCTTACCCTTGGGTCCGATTATAGCTGCAATAGTAGACGCGGGGGCATTCAAAATCAAAGTAACCTGATAAAGCGATTAGGATGCAGGAAGAGGTAGCTCAAGATTTTTGTGATGTACCACAGGGCTCAAAGCAGCTAACAAGTGACGCTTAGCCTTGTCGAGGTCCTTTTGAGTCTCACCCTTCATGTGAAAGGTAGTCTGCCGACTCTGATTTGTCGATGCCTCTATTCTAACCCTGTACTTTGCCATGACCTGCCTCATGGCTTCACCAACCGAAGTTTGTTTACCATCCTTGGCGGGAAGCTCGGGTTGAGTGACCGTGAAATAATCTGTGATGACTGGTGTGGATTTGACAGTAGCCTTGATGCGAGGGCCAGCATCAGAACCCCAGGCAGACTTTCCAGGTGCAGCAGCAGCAGGCGCGGAGGTGGCGAGAGTCGGGAAATCCGCTTGCGAGTCTGCATCAGTAGGGACCTGAGCGACACGTTTGGGCTTGGATGTCGCCTCTCCAAGAGAGGGGAACGGGTCAGGAGCTCCTTCGAGTTCGTGTCTCTTCTAAAATTCCAAATAATATCCATCAGGCCAATACGTTGGTATACATGGATAAACTGACTGACCTGGAGTTCAGCTGCGGTGAGTTGCATGTTTCGAGGCTTACGGGTGTCCAAAGCACAGAACCTATGACGAGAAATACCTGCGTTGAACTAAACTCGACGCGTGAACAAAAATCCAAAAAATGAAGAGGGTAGGAAACAAGTAGGGAAATGTGTTGGTAAACCGGAAAACGACGGACAACGTGTCGAAGCCCGAATGGGTTTCGCCTAATAGGAGGTTATATACGTGCGAAACATCACATCACCTACTAATTTTGTAAGTAAAACGACTTGCGGAATTAATTGTGACCTCACTGCAGGGCTCGTACGATGAAGAGGTTCATAACCATGTCTCTCTCGATCCCCTTTGTGTACACATTGATATCAATTTTAACGGTATATACCGTAGTAGCGGTAGAGTCAAACCAACTAGTAACCAGTAAGTATACACAATGTTTGAGAATAAATATTATACAGAGCGTCAGAGCATATACCAAACCGCAGAGCATCCACACCACGAAGATAAATACAATCCTACCATTTAAAGTCTTCCTCTTGCACCAGTCGAAAATTAAGAGGAACCGCGGGAGTCACCCCATCTCCAGCTGGTGGCTTAACGACAGATGTATGAAATGCCTTCAACTTCCACTCAATTTCTTTGATATGTCCGTTGGCATCCGGATCAGTTGGCAGCACAAAATGCAGACGAAGCACGACCGCGGCAATGATTTGCTCTGATCAGTCAAGAT